GGTTGTTACTTACTCATAATTTCTAGTTGTCCAGAATCCAAGTGGCTCAGTTCTAATTCAAGCAATGCGAGTCTTCTGGGTCGGTCTCAAGAGAGGCTGCAATCTCGATGCTGCAAAGCCATCAGTCTTGGCACGAACTCACCCTGCAACTACTGTTTCCTGGGACGATGCATTTGTTGAGGAATTGAAACGAGCACTCGTCGCATGTTCTGTATTGTGAGTTATCTGAAGCGACATGAGACCCTTGATATTTGTGCACTGATAACTTTCATGCCTTTCGTCAGTTGTGTGTTGTAAGTCTCAGGTCCCAACTGCCCATCAAAGACTTGGATTGCAGCAGACTAAGCTGGATTGCAGTCCCATTTTCTGGGTTTGTTACGGTCAGACCAACAGCAACCTGGTTAGCCAGGCAGCCACCATGAAAACCTATGGCATTCCGAATGACATGAGTATTGCAACCGGGGATCCTTACGCGTTATGAGAGCACTAATTGAGGCCTATAGTGGGATGCTTTAATCCAATCATGGTTTTGACCTTTCTTCCAACCATGTACGCATACTGCTAGGCTGTCTTATATTCCATTTTAGATACTAAGACATTCTCTAGGGAAAAAGTCGTTTACCCAACCCTGCGAGGGTTTCGCCTCAGCTTTAAACCAATCAGTCGAATCACCGCCGGTTTCCTGGTGATGGCATGTGCCATTGGATATTCGGCAGGGATTCAAGACCGTTAGTAGTAAAATGTTTCAACCCACTCTTCCAAGGCCTGCTGACCCAGGTCGCAGTGATTTACCGATTACCTCCATGCTACGAACATCCTCTTAGCAGATATTGCAGCGACGGTGGAAGAACGCCAAATGACGTAAGAGAGTTTCTTTCAACCATTCTCGCTCATCCCAGCGAGAGCCTAACAAAAACACAGGTCAGCGTCTTCCTGCAAGTCCCCGTCTACACAATGACAGCCCTTTCTGAAGTCCTTGCGTACGTCGCCGGCATGGAGTACGCATACACCAAAGCCCGTAAGTCCATGCGTAGCGTCGTATCAGCTCTCTTCTCCTCACCTGCCCACCGCGGCCTCAATGCTGGGCATCACGCTCTCACCCGGTCTCAAAAGACCCCAAGGTCCTCGGTAGAATACGCCTCGTTGAGCGGCGTTTATGCCTCGTCACGGCCGTCTTTGTTCTTGCTCGCCTCGGGAAGTACAACAAGATAGAGGAGAAAATGAACATGCTCAATAGCGGAGACGGGGAGTCTACCTCTGTGAATGAGGACGCGCAGCAGACGCAGATAGCCAGAAGTGTAAGAAGGTGCGCTTCATCATTGGAGATCCGGTAAAATGACCTTTGAAGAGTAGATGCGGTCGTCCGGATTAGATTGAGGGTTTCTATGGTCTCAATGGTCTCTGCTGACTTGCCAGCACTTTGAAATTCTTGGTCAAAACATAAAGAGTTCTTGGAGCAAGCGCTTGTTGATGGGAAATAGGAAATGATATCGTATACACTTCCATGCTGCTTGGTAAAGTTGCATTCGTTGGAACCGAATCAAATAGTTACTTGGCACTATTTTGCTTAGTAATCCACTAATTTTAACTTAGGATTTTCCTAGAACTATTGACATCACTTAGATAGCCTAGTATCTATTCTATCTAAATATATAAGAATTAATTCAAAAATATCCTAGTGGTTGGTGAGATATATGGAATAATCATTTCTGTCATGAGTTGGAATGGAGAATAGTTGGTGGTTTGTATATATATATGATTAACGTTCGACAATTACTATTAGTTAAAGAATTAATTTTTAACCATTCACCCATTCAACTCTATAGATACTGAATTGATATTTTAGATATAGACTTAAAATGTCTATAATTGCCATATATTTCTATATAAAAATTATAATTTTATAAAGGCATGTTTGATAGGCCATTAGTATAGGCCTAAGATTAGGAGAAATTCAATTTCTGAAAACCATGAATTAAATCCTTTTAAGGTTATATAAAATCGAGACTGAACCGAACCGCAATCTAACCAGTAGTTAGTTAGTAGTGGCCTGGCTAGGCCTATAGGCCTAGTAGCGGTTTCTTGCAGTTAAACCCGAACCGAATCTGAACGGATCAGGTTTGGTTCTGATGTCTAAAATTTTGGACTAGAAATCGCAGCAGTTTGGTTCCAACTAGGGTTGGACTCGCCCGAAGTCAGACCGAATGCAACTTCTAGTCTGGAGGTAAACAGTATTATAACAATCTTTTATGCTGTGGTAAGTACCTAACCACCCCTGTATAATTAGCTTAGTGAAAAGTAATATTAGCCACTCAGAGCTAGTAGCCGGTCTGTCCAGTCTGTTGAAGACTGTACTCAGCTTAGAGCATAGAGTCATTCCTGGGAATCTGATCATTGTTAATCCTAGCCCAAAGATCGATTTTTGCGGCATTGCGGTTATTCACAAACGCATTAGTAAGCTTAGGAAGCTAGTTCCCAGACTTTTAATGTAGTGAGCGTGATAACAGAAGTTTCAAAGTAGATATTTGTGCTATCCAGCATTTTGTTCGTGATATTGAAGATTGCATTGTGCTTCTTGGGAAGGGTGGTCGCTGAGACAGCACCTTGATTACTAATATAACCTCTATCGAAGAGAAACGGGCTCTATACTTGACAGCTTCCAACGCAAACATAATGACCACGAGGGTTGTACCGAAATGAGCTCCTTGGCAACCATGGAGCAATCATACCGAAGTCAGAACCTGGTCAGGACTTTCAATTTTCCCACTTCGAATGCTAAATTGGTCATCAAATACCACCGCCCCAGTCCATCACCAACCTAGAATGATACTGCTGCGTTGCGTCGATAGCAGCGGGGTGCTGGAGATCACATAATGCAGACCCAGTTGTATCGAACAGAGCCGACTGTCTATTCTCCATTGAAATATCTCTGCGTAACATTTGAGACGCAGGTGGAAAGACACCAGATCTTTCAATAAGTACGTCAGTCCAAACTACTCCTCTCCCGAAGCGCTTTTTTCTTCGTTGGAATAGACTTCCTGTGCTCATGAAGAGCAAAAAACATCGTGAGGATGATGCCAGACGCAGCAAGCCCGACGCCTAAGTACCAGGCTCCTCGATAGCCCCTCAAGAGATCTGTTCCGTTCTTGTTGAGATCAGTCTCGACTATTGCACCAAATCCGAGACCCAAAGAGATCGCATAATTCATAATGGTTGCAACCAAGCTGGCTGAGACCTGCAATCACAAAGTTAGCTATTTTCTCCTTTCTCAAAGCTGAATCATCAAACAGCATCAAGAGACTTAGCTCCAAGGCCTTTTGGAAGGGTCTGAGTAGAAAATGGACTTACTCCTTGATGTTCTTGAGGCATCGCGTTTGAAAGTAGAATATTGGAAGCTGGAAAGACATTTCCCTGGCCGCAGTCAGTCAGTACGGACAACAATACGAGAATATAGTCATTAAGTAACTCACATGGCCCCAAGGCATCACTATTATGGACACAAACAGCTGCGCCCAGTAGCTCTGTTTGATAGGCATGGTGGCATAGAGAATGTCGGCTGTGCAAAAGGCCGCTGCAGAGATCATCATGACCACACTGGCAGGCAGTTTCTGAAGGATTAACCCTGTTGTGAAGGAAGCAACAAACCCGCTGATGGCTGCAGGCGAAAACTGCAGACAAGCAAATAGAGGTGAGATGCCTCGAAAGTTCTGAACAAACTCCCAGCCATAGAATACCCAGACTCCAAACGCAGCCCATCCACATGCCAAGGTGGCCAGGACGAAGCTAATGTCTGGTGTGATGGCTGAGAATGGAATCAAGGGGAAAGCCGCCTTTCGCTCAATGTATCCAAATAGACCGAAGAACACCAACGAAGCGATCAGGAGGATATAGATGTATGGGCCCTGCCATTGCGCTCCGGGGGCTATGTTCAAGGCAATGTTGAAAAGGATGAGGCCGCTAATCCCTGTGACGCATCCAGCGATATCCATTCTTGCCCATGGACTGTGCGTTGTTTCCTTTCGCGGTGTTGGGGTGCGTGGAACCAGGAATATGGCGACAATACCGCAGACCGCTTCCAAAATGGCCATAAACCAGAATCCCCAAGGCCACGATCGATATTTGGCAGCGAGAGCGGAAACCAGACCTCCAAAGATGAATCCACTGGGTGCCGTAGACCCGAAGGCGCTGAATACCATTTCCTTGCGCATCCCTGGCTCATATGATCTCGCCAAAATAGCCATTCCATTGGGAAGTAGAAAGGCAGGGCCAATGCCCTGAAGAACCCGACAGCAACAAAAAAACACAGGCCCACTGGATTCCGCGAATGCGGCAATCAGTGTCCAGATCGCAAGCCAGAAGAATCCAGCAGTGAAGAGGAGTTTATGGCCGTACAAATCGCCCAAACGACCGGCACCTAGGATGAATGTTCCCACCGTCAGAGAGTAGGCAGCCGGAAACCACGAAAGTTGACTCATGTTGTTGCCGATACCAAATGATTCCCCAAGAACAGGGAGAATTGATATCACTTGGCCAAGACCAGCTTGGCTCACAAGCTGGGCCATGCAGACCACGACGATGAACGCAATCTCGCCAGATAGTGACTGAGGACGTTTGACGTCCAGGTCCTCTTGGGATCCTGTTGGTGTGGACGAATCGTCGTGCTCTCCGTCGACCCCGTGCGCCTCATCGTCAATGAGATCGTTGCGTGGCATGATGGCGTTGGCGTTTACGTTTGCGTTTTCCAGAGACTGCTATTATGGTCTCTTTCGCCTGGGTTCTCGAGCTGTGGTGATTGTTTACACACCAACATACAATGATGCCTGGAGATGCAATAGTATATTGTGATTGTAATATCTGACTCGATTGATGGTAAGAGAGATGGTACACTTCATGCACTGTGCAAACGGTTTTACCCCTGGCTGACTGAACAGTCACTCCACTTGAATTCTGACCTGTCCTGCACTCTATCTTCTCGATCCGAAGCCGTCGGGACGGGACAAGGCAAAGCCACTTAAGCACGTCAGTGGCCTCGGAGGCACACCAGCCGTACGTATAGCACTCAACTTGAGTAGTTTCGTAGATAACCGTGTTGGGACAATTCTACACACCTGTCCGGATTGGTTCGGATTTCGCCTATCGAAGACCCACAGGGCCCCATTTCAAAAGTCCGTTGAGGCTTCGGTAATTCGGTAATCTTATCGTGTCAATTCCGAGGCTTGATATCAGATCCGAAGCTCTTGCCTGATAAGGCGCAACCGGCGGGTTGTACCGTCATCCCAAGCCACTAGATGATTTCAGTAGATATGGGTCTCTTAGCTCACCGGTCCGGCATCCCAAATGGCAAGGCGACCGAACGATATCACCAGTCTCTCGGGAAGATTGGGAAAGAGGGAAGAAAATACAGCTTTGAGGATTTATGCAGGGCGCCTGATTTCAGCGACGGATGGCTGAGGCTGGGCCTCTTACCGTTTTGGTCTATCTCGTTGTGTTTGTGCATCCAGAAATATTACCACGTACACAACGATCCGCAGTTCTGGTCACTGCCGCCGATGTGGCGGTTACCTCGTGAGGGAAATTTGTTTGTCATTAAAATCCGCATCTGATTAAAATTTTATGCCATGTAGGATGTCCTATTTATCGAACGGATGAACCCCAAAAGTCCTTTGCATTCCTAAATCCGCCCTAACATGTGATTCATCATTCTTGGGCCTCCGTTACCTGTCAAAAACTCCTGTGTCAAGGAAGCTGTTTACCGATGGAATTGATGTACGGCCGGCTGACAAGTAACACTCGTGCCCCATCAGGATCTCTCACCGTGGCATAGGTCGCCAGAGGTTCCGAGCCAAAACTAAATGTTGCGACGTGAGGTTTCCCTCCCATACCCAACCTGTCCAAACGTTCCAAGGTGGCATTGATCTTGTCCCCCATCCAGAAAGATGTCAGGAACAAACCCGTGTTTGGAGGATCTGAATCGACAGTAGGAATTTTCTTGGCATCTGGAAACTCGACGAGGTAGATGACGCCATCGGTTCCGTTGTGAACAGATGTCGTATCGCCGAGAAAGTAACCGGGTAGCACAGAGGTGCTAGTTCCGAAGAGAGTCGTCAGATCCCCTTGAAAAGTGTAGTTTCGTATGATGTTGAGCCCGAGTCCATCCACATAGAACCTCAGACTTTCCGACAAAGAGCTGGCCGAAACTACAGTATGGTGAACTGCATACTGTGGCGCAATTAGATCATCAAACGACAGGTATTGGACCAGATTGCCCGGTCGAGACTCACATGAGTATCCGGTTCTTGAATGATAGTCGGAATTTGTGCCGGAGGTGAAGCACCAGTTAATCCTGCTGACAGACACAGGAGAAGCTGTAAGACCGCAAATCGAGCCATGTTGAACGAAGCAAATTTGATCCGCATGCTACCAAATTCGTCAACGGGGGAGTCCCAGGGAGACGACGACCGAAATATATGTGTATCATGCTTGTTCAAATCAACCCATCGAAGATGATGTAAGACAGAGAGAGTTATTGGCTGTCGTCTATGTCTCGGATAAACAACACCCACTTTCGGAAGGCAGTCCGGAATACGTGTTCAGACTGATCACAAGTAGTACCTTGAACATGAACCGCGTGAGTCACGGATCAACAGGAGACTGGACCGATAAATCCTATTCGCTGGCCAGATGCCACTGATGTCGCAGTATCTCCCCGGAGCAAAAAACAGCGCAGATGTACTTAGCCGCAGACCTGATTATAGATTATAAAAAAGGCGGTGGAGGCGCTATTCTCTTAGCAGTAAGCCCATGACTATCGCACCTCTCATTTATAGCTTGCCTGTGTAATACCCAGTCGCCGATCGCACTTTGAGATTGCAGTGCACTGCATTTCTTAGGCTGGAGTATTCATTCCGTACTGCCATATCTTGCAGACACGACACTACCGTCTCGCGATTTCTCAGCTCTATTTCGAATCCATCCGTCAGAAATATGATTGCATCATCCAGCATAGTGCCTCCTGGTGGCCTGGTACTCGTCACTGGCGTCACAGGTTTTATTGGCTCGTACATTGCGAACGGGCTGCTGGAGCTTGGCTACAGAGTGCGCGGAACAGTCCGCTCGAGTGAAAAGGCAACCTGGGTGACGCAAGCCCTGACCAGACGCAACCCCTCTGCAGATTTCGAGGCTGTCATTGTACCAGACCAGAATGCCCCCGGCGTCTGGGACGCAGTTCTCAAGGATGTCGATGGCATCGCCCATGTCGCAGGAGACGTGAGCTTCGGACCCGACCCGACCAAAGTCATTACGCCAAGTGTAGAAGCTCTTCGAAGACTTCTTGAGGCTGCTAGAAAAGAGCCTTCAGTCAAGCGTTTCGTATTCACCAGTAGCGATCAAGCAGCAAGCAATCGTTCGACTACGCGGGAGATCCCGATCAATGAGGAAACTTGGAATGAAGAGGCCATCGAAGCGGCGTGGAAACCACCGCCTTACGAGGCGGAACGTGGGTGGGACGTTTATTCTGCACTCAAAGCGCAAGTTGAGAAGGAAATGTGGGAGTTCAGCCAGAAGGAGAAGCCAACCTTCGTGGTGAACTCTGTTTTGCCAACTTACACAATAGGGGCCATCTTCGACGAGCAACAGGCAGGTAGCACGGCGAAATGGTTGCTAGACTTCTACAAAGATCCATCAAAGGATGGCTTCATGAGAGGTTTCGGAGCCTCATATTATGTTTATGTCGGAGATGTGGCGCTCTTGCACATTGGTGCGCTGACTCTAGAGGAGGTACAGAACAAGCGCTTGTTGGCATTTGCGGGCCGTTTCAGTTTCAATAGTTGGCTCGAGGTTTTCCGCAAACAAGACCCTGGCAAGCCCTGGCCAGAGGATGATCCTACCCAAGCGCTGGATAGAAGACGAGTTAATGGTGAGACGGAATTGGATATACTAAGGCGGTTTGGGAAGGATGGTTGGACAAGCTTTGAGGACAGCGTCTTGAAGGTATTGGAAAGTCCTTGATATCTAAAGACATGAATACATTTGGGGTGTGCGGTATGCCCAGTGCAGATCTACTTGGAAATTGAGTTCTGTTTCACGCTTCTGAAACATTGTACTTGGTCTCAGAAATGTAAAAATTGTAGGGGTTAATTGCTGACAATCCGGAGAACGGCTGATAAAATCCCCTTGGTCAGCTATTTGTGCTTTGCTGCTATTCCTATTCTACTATCTAAGAGATGATGAAAAATTCATCCCTGATCAGCTAACTACCACCGTCCATCTTGGTTTGTGGAAAGTTGATTGAGCTCTTGACAAACGGTACACGCAGTCCACTCTTGACGCTCAAGACCTGAGCTTTCTCCCAGTCCCAAACTTTGCCAACGGTGAATGGATCATTTTGAAGAAGATTCAAAGCTTCCTTCTTGTCATGAGCTTGAACCAGAACCCAACTACCACGCTCAATATTCTCTTCATGATCGTCGTACATAGGGCCTTGGTTCGCAACGCGTTAGCAATCATTATATTCCACACTTCCGCATTTTGTATTACCTCCGGCAAGCCAGTATTCTGATTCTCGTTCAACGAAACGTTCGTGAGGGCTAGAGAGCTTTAGAACCGTGTCATACTCGTTGATCCGACCAGGACTTACTCGGTCCAGGACTCTCGGTTCTTGAGACCATCCGGGCCATCAGGTAAGATGAACAGAAATTCGTGCTTTTCAGACATTTTTGTGGTTCCAAGTGGTTGATTAGGTGAACAATTCAGGAACTTCCAAAAGTACTTTGCACTTCGTCCAAGCTAGAAAGTGATATTTTCCGCTTATGAAGTCAGGCTGGTCGTTGATCACCCGGTTTGTTGAGTCTTACGTGGAATCACTGTTCCCGACGCTCGGCTCTGAACATGATGGACATAGCCGGGTCGATGAAAGTTTTAACCACTGGAACGACACGGCACCATGAATTCAATCCGCGTAAGCAGTGACAACCAAATCTACGGATGAGCTGTACCGGGCCCCTGCATATTTCCGAGCAGTGTGGTGCTTTCAGTTTAGCGATCTGTAATTTCCCTGAATTAGCGGCTGTCTGATGAATTCAAATGACTCGTCTGCCCCCGTATAGCTGCATTTAGATCCGGTGCCAAGGTCGGTACGGACTAGTATATATACCGGAAAGCAGGACACGGTTGTGTTGCATCAATTTTGCTCCGAGAGCATGTCGACTAGGCATTTGTCCTATCATAAATTGGTGCTGCGAAATGCGCGAGGGATGACACGTAATCTCGGAAATTGTTGATGTATCCTAAAAACCTGCGCAGTTCTAATTTGTTCCAAGGCTCGGGCCGGTCCAGGGTCCAGACTCCATCGGTTAACACCAGAGTGGGGAACCCGGGAAAACCCAGACGAATCAAGAGCTAATACTCAAGGGAAGGTTAACCGATAGCAGGGTCTCAAATTGGTAGTTCTTGATTGATGATCTTCATAAGTTCCTAGTGTAATACAGAAGGCGTTACTAGCTCGTTTCCCCCACTAGGCCCTCCGCCCTCAGTGACGTGAACCTCATTTTCATCCATGTTACAGGTCAGGTGGCATCATTCTAAAGATGGGACGCCGCGCTAGTTGATCATCCGACTTATATTGTGGCTTCTGGCCTTATCAGCACTCAGTATTAGTTAGCCGGTATCAGACCTTTACATTAATATTATTATTGTCGAGAGTCGACTGCTTCTTAACTACTATACAACCACTCTTTAGCTAGTTCCCAACTGCTTGACAAGTACTTGCACTTTGAATTATATCCCCCACTAATAGATACAATATAAGTGTAGCCGGTGACATCAGTACATGGGTACTCAGAGAGATCATCTGTATACTCGATATATAGCATGCGAAGGGGGTTTGATTTTGCATCTGTTAGGTGAATGAAAGCAATTGGTTGCTAAGTAATCCCAAACCAATTAAAAAGTACTCATCAACCAGTTGGACGGCATACCTCTTCAATTTCCTCAACATCGCCTATATTTGAAGACATGTCTTCAATCCTGCCAAATCTAAAAGGAATATCCTCTTGATTCGTGTTGTCGTGGCTGGCAAAATCAGTTTACAACTGATTGAGAAGTAGTTTCAAAATTTCTTGAAATTGTAAAGGAACGAAATATTTAAGCAAGATAATTGAAATTTCGCGGTATGTGGTACAGTATGTGAAAGCTGAGGCGCGCAGCTTCTTCCAAGCCCCGGTGGCGCCCGCTTGCGGCGTCGGGGAAGCGGCACCTTATCTGTGTACTCCATTTTCATCGATTGAGTTTCAAACCGGCATTTGCGTAATAATCCCTCTATCCTTGGCATTTCCCTCACCTGGCTTGGCCCAGGAGCAGCTCCACGAGTATCCTGAGATATTATTCATTCAACTAAGGCAATTTACTGAGTTTTAGAGAGCCGGTGCTTGGCGCTGCGATGTTCTGGTTGAAATCGATGACCTGATAATCGATCTCGGAGTGGTGAGCGAGGCATTTTATAAGCCTCTGCAGCGCGGCGACTACTTGGAATCCTGCCATTTCTAAGAGCTCCTATTGCAAGTCGAAGCCTTCCCTCTTGCTCCACCGATGATTGAGACGATTGACGCGCTTTTGGTGGCGAGGTGGTAGGTTGAAGATCAGTAATAGCTTTGATGAGGTGGTTTACGTAAGGAAGTCGGGGCGGAACAACGGAGACTTTTGACCAAGGTACGGTACTATAGTAGACGGTGTTAATACTGCAGGAAATAGATTCTGACAAATCGACATCAGGATCGACATCAGGACAGCATCAAAGAAGACCGATGAGATTGCGCTTTTAGACAGGTGGGGGTCCATCTCTTCATATTTTCATCTTCCACATATTTAATTCTCTTTATTTTATCCGCAAACCTCTTCGCCTATGACTACAGTCAAGTACCATTCAATTCCTACTCACAATGACCAGCTCATCCCTAGAAGGGCTGGAAACTGCATCGCATCATTCCAAAAATCCACCATCGAGGCATGGTGATGGTAAGTAGCTCTCAAAGATATCCTGCAAAAGCTGGAGGCCTGTTGATCCCGTTGACTAACTCATACAGATGGAGGTCTAGGTTCTGCACAGACTGCAAGAGATGAATACGTCTACATTGCCGATGGCTACGGCATGATTCGGCGGATCATCTTCATCACGACGGTGTGTTCCTCCATGTTCACGAATCAGTTGGGCCTATGCAACAGCCTCACGACGCTCGAAGTAATCGGAGAGTCCTTTGGTGTCACCGACCCTGGCAAACTCTCGTGGACAATCGCTGGCTACGGCTTGACTCTAGGCACATTCATCTTGATCGGAGGACGTTTGGGTGACGAGTTTGGCAACAAGGCAATCTTCGTCATCGGTATGGGCTGGCTTGCTTTGACCAGCATGATGGCGGGAGTCTCCGTCTACTCCAGCTACCCCGTCTACGTCCTTGCTCGTGTCCTGCAGGGCCTTGGTCCCGCCTTAACTGTGCCTAATGCTCTCGCCATCATGGGCAAATGCTTCTCCCAGGGCCCTCGAAACATGGGGTTCGCCTGGTTTGCTGCATCAGCCCCAGTCGGTGCGATGGCAGGTCTCCTCTTTGGGCCCCTCTTCGCCATGGCTTGGTGGCCATGGATCTACTGGAGTCAGGCTTTGGGGGTTGCCTTTGTCTTCGTCCTCTCTATCGTTGCAATCCCAAACATGCCTGTCGAGGGTGAGCAAAAACAACGACGAACGATTCGCGAAATCTTGGAACGAGTTGACCTCCTGGGAGGCGCAAGCGGTGTGACAGCTCTGGTTCTGTTCAACTTCGCCTGGAATCAGAGCCTAGTCACTACGTGGAACGAACCTTACGTCTACGTATGCCTGATCCTCAGTTTCTTGTTCCTGGCGGCGTTCCTTTACATCGAACTTCGCGTAGCTCGCTATCCAATCCTACCTGTCGCCGTCCTCACTTCCGACATTGCCTTCGTCTTTGGTTGTACAGCAGCGGGCTGGTCCACATTTGGCATCTGGGTAAGTACTGATCTTTGCCCCGAAATTATGTCAAACTAACGAAGTATCTAGCTTTTCTACGTCGTCCGAATATGCCTCAATATCGGTGGCCAAACTCCCATTCAACTGGCTGCATGGCTTTCTCCAATCCTCGTCACCGGCATAGGAACAGCATTGATCGTCGGCAAAATAATCACCAAGGTTCCAGCCTCGTCCATCATGTTCTTTGCAATGCTTTGCTATTTCCTCACTTCCCTTCTCATGGCCTTGCGACCCGTCCACTCGACGTACTGGACCTACTTCTTTTTCGCCACCATCATCGCCACCTTTGCAATGGATTCATCGTTGCCTGCTGCCACGATCATCTTCGCAAACGCAGTGCCTCGACAGTACCAGGGCATGGGATCCAGTGTGATCATGACGATTGTTGTCTACAGTATATCGCTAGGTCTCGGCTTCGCTGGTACCATTGAACTTCAGATCAACAATGGCGGACACACCGAGGCAGACTTGCTTCGTGGTTACCGGGGTACTCTCTGGTTTTCTGTCGGGTTGACAGCATTCGGCACTGCTCTCGCCCTTATTTTTCTACTCAAAGATCATCGAAGACGAATGTTGGCCCAGAATCAAGAGGAAGAGGAAAAGGCTGATTCAACTGAGGCTTGAATGGTTGAAGGGTTGACCACTCGTCGATCATTCTTTGAACATTCCAAACGACCAAGCATAATTAGAGGAGTTGATTGCAAATAAGCTTATACAACGAGTATTTAGACTGGTAGTACTTGTGAAACCATGGTAGTCAGGTTGTGCAAAGTCTCCCGACCTCCGCCCCTCTCCGGACTGTTTAGTGCCAGGTATTTACAAGGTGTTCATTCTGTCAAGATGAGCCTGAACTGTGGCCGTTGGTCTGTCGTCACATCATCAGACGCCTGTACCCGTTGTCTATCCTTTATGGCGTAACGTCTATCATGCGTTGTGTGTCGTCTATCATTCGTCACCTGAAATCCGTCATACAGTCTGACCTTTCCAATCTCAGCCCATCAAGGTTTCCAGACTGTTGAGCGAGCTGCGTAAGCTTGAGGGCATCGGCTAACGGCAATTCGTTGTCCAAGCTCAAACCCCCGAAAATTCCACAGCACATACTTAAGTATGGCAGGCTTTTCTTGGAACCGCTACTCACAATATCCAAGAAAGTCAAACAGATCGACACTGCGATCAGGTTGATAAGCTCGCTAGAGATCTAAGATTAGCCAACTCATTCTCCCCGGGTTAGATGTCCTTGTCTCACCCGCCGAGTATGTCACAGCTTGCGATTCGAGCCGCGATGGCTAACACAGCTTGGGCTGACTTTACGCAAAGCTCCATGCTCCTCTTGCGATAGTGTTCGGAGATTAGTCCTTTGGACTGGCTTCCGGTCCATGGAAAGAAAATGATAAATATGGCCTCATGATACTTGCGAACCATGGTCAAGGTCAAATGGCGCGTCTTCTGGTCGTCGAGGGTGACATACCCCGTTTCGTGCCGATGGATATTCTGCAGATGTACTGGAAGACCTGTTCTCCAGCTTTCGAGGGCCTTGTGTGCCTGCATCAGATTTCGTTCTCGCTCGGCCACAGTTTGGCAAAGGGCCCTTGAACTGTAGAGCGTATTGACCGCTGAGCTGAGAACGTTGGCATGTTGACATTGGATGAGCAGCCAATCGGTATCCTTGCCGACTTTGGGTAGCGCATAGTCGGTCCAGTCGGGGGTGAGGATCTGTTTCGGACTGTCAGAAAGGTCCGAACAAAAAGGGTGGCACACCCGGAACTTACCGGTGGCATTCCATTGCGTATGGAATGGACGACTTCTATCGAGTAGAGGTACCACAGAACTCTCCTTGCAAGGTATTCTTTTTCTTTCGTCATGGTCATGTATACCGAGTCACGATTCATAAATCTTCGGGATCTGGCACAGCTGACTGCGTATGACAAAAGTTCAGTGTGAATTTTGTGGTCAATTTGCTCAGAAATTGCCATCTGGAGCTTGGTTAGCTGTTGGAAGGAAAAGTTCGGAACCTTTTATCGTACCATTGCTAAAATTATCTGATCAATCAACATGTGACCAATTCCACGTGAGGAATTGCTGACTTACCTGCATCTTCAGGAGTGTGTCGGGCGATCGCTGCACGGCATCGCGAGAGCTTAATGCCATTCTTAATCGAGCGATCGCCTTCCTGCTCACATCGGAACCTGCAGAGGGCTGTGATCTTGCGGTCAGGACTTGAAAGCCGAAAGCCATAACTGAATCGATCAGTGGTTTCACTGCTAAGCCCTCAATGGATGGCGACTCCCTTGCTTGTTGGACATAATTGTCAAAGAGTGATCTCGTCAAAAAGGTGGAAATGCTGGCATGGTTCAGTCTTATCGCAATGGATGATACGGAGCTGCGACGCACCCAAGGGGTTCTTCAAAACAAGCTTCTAAAGTTAGACTCTGACGACAAGGTGAACCATATGGCGTGGACAGGGCACATACCAGACTTGCACTTTTCCATCAATGCTGTGTCGCTCCAATACCAATGTGAGTGGGTGGAATCATATTGCTCACCGTCGAGGCCAAATGACATCTGAGACTGAGCGTCAGAGAGCCGTCTGAAAATTCCATCTACTTCGTCTTGTTGAGACGGACTTAGATTTCCGAGGCGCTGACGCCGTGGCGAGAAAATTGCCACCAGAGAGAAGTCGATTCTTGGGCTATGGTCTGAACTCCCACACCATTAGCAATTGTCTTTGAATCAAAGTAGCATGTAACCGTCCCTGGAAGATTCCTCACTGCAATCTACAAAGACTGTGTTAGCCCATCTGGTGTTCATACGGTCACTTGCTGAAAAGGGGCAACGAATTGCCTCCTGATCAAAGCTTACCTTTGGACTAGCTTCTTTCCACATATTCTCATCGTAAATGTCTCTCATTGGCCCGGTTGGAGACAGTAGCAAATTCAGCTCGAATTGTGAGGTCGAAGGCAGGTTTGCTGATGCATCGGTAGGGTGTTCGATTGGATACGGGGTGTCAAAATTGGTTTCCGAATAGGTGGTTTTCGGGGGTGACCAAGGTAGCGTTCCCAGCCCGTTCATATTGCTCATGTCAACAGAGAACGGTGCTGCTAGATTGTCACTGCCAAACCACTCCGTAGATGTGGCCGAGAAATCGTCGTGAGCATACTCATCAAACATGACCGGCATGATATGCCGGTCATTCGTGGCAAACATCATCTCTTGGAGATTACTGCCTCCATTTCCAGAAACACGGTTGGCTGCTCCAAGTCGTGTGGCCGTTAATTCTGGCAGTATCTGTACATCATTCGGCGAGGGAACGAGTGTAGTGACTCCAGCTTCGTTGTTATCTGCGTGCGACGGCACCATTGAAACGTCCTCGGCTGTTGACGCCATCGGAGGCCTGTTAGAGGTCTCCTGCTTCTTCGAGAGCTGGTACTCGCACTGCAGATTATGCAACTGATGAGGCTTATTAGCCGATGTCAACCTGTTGAGGAAATTTGTTCTCACATTACAATATCTACATGGCGTCGCACCATCGCCTGTGCCATGCCCAAAGTCAGCAACATCAGATCGGCTACCGAGGTTGAGCTACGCACAGCGGACTTTCTTCGACTTGCACGTCTCACATGCACCTCTGCGCCGAGACATCCATTTCTTTTTCCTGACAGAAGAAGAGACTTCAACTCGGTCTGCTTGCATCGTTGTACAAGATGTGGTGGGCAAATAAGCACTTGTATTTGTCCTTTGCGTTGAGACCGGCCAACTTGCTTGGACTCATCAAAGAAGCCCCAACGGCGACGTTTTTTTTTTTTTATATTCTACGCTATCAGCTCTGCGGCGCTGACGAAACGCTGATCTGAATCCTAGTGTAGCTACATGCATGACATCCCTCCTAGTGCTTATCAGGATAATGGGGGCCGGGCGGCTACACGGAACGTCAGAGCTCTCTAGTACCCGTGCCTTGGCCTAAATAGGCAGGATCCCCCCTTCGTGTCTCAATTGAGACAAACTAGTTTGCATTAGCTCAGCCACCGTGAAATTTTTGAAATTTTACAGTACGTTACATCAGATCATCAGTCAAACTGGTGCTTGACGCCAGGATATCCATGTAATGGCGTAGTTGGCATAGCCTCACTACTTGTTCGTTGGCGGAAATCCTCCGGGAGCCTTTGTTTGGTTCCAGGTCTTCACGGGTGAGTGTAGATCGAGGCTTGTGATGACATAGTATATTCCAAGGGTAGTTGTCGTGGTTCTATATCGCTTATCATGAAGACATAACAGGGGTCATGATTATCATAGGCTTCAGTATTTCCAGGGAATCGGGTAAATCCGTCATTATCACGGATGAACGATAGAGTATCTGATGCAGAAACGCCTTCGCGTTGAAGTTGTCATCTTACTTCGGCGTCGAGTATTCTATCGGGAGGGATGGGACAGAGAGAGTGGTTTAGAGAGATCAATGTACGGTAGGTAGTACTCTCTTGCATCCTCAACTATGGCTTGTCTTCGTGAGGAGGGGAGTACATGAGTTGGCAGTGGCACCAGAATTGTCTTGCCAGCACTTTTTGATGACACTTAATTGGTGAATACGGAAAACAGAACCAGATCGCCACTGAGGTAATTCATTCAAGGCATCCAAACGGGCTATCATCTCTTGAACAGCATCCAGGGTAAGTCAATAATAACTCGATATACCATAACCATCAGAGTCATGCTCTTCTCTCCCAAATCCTGGATAGGAGGTTTGAATGTCTGAACAACTGGCGTCAAAGTCGCCCCCGTCACAATTCCTCCGCCAGGAATCACAATCTCACCCTTATATACCACAGCATCAGACCCGTGAATTGGTAGAGGCATGTCTGCATAATCGATCCAAGTATTTATTGCGGCGTCGTAAGCCTGCATCTCAGGGAAAACGGCAGTGGGAGTACGGCGGTCCCCTTCTCCGCCTGCCATGAATATCTGAGAACCGATAGTAGCAGAAACGGCACCCCCACGCGCAATAGGCATGGACTCGAACGCTGTCGACCATTGGTGAGAGGTGAGGTTGAACCCAAACACAGTGGAGACTACATTCTTGTTCCCAAACTCGCGTCCCCCCAATATATACAACATATCCTGGGCGATGCCTTTACCAGCGTGATCACGCGGGGCAGGCAGGTCTGGCAGGGTCGTCCACTCTCGGGTTCTCACGTTGTACGATGTGAATCGGGACACTGTTCCTTCCTGATCATAGGTAATGTTTGTGTACGCAAGTCCTCCGGGGAGGTAGATGGTGTCATCAACAGCCAAAGTCGCTGCACTGCCAATTTCTCGTCCCTCGGGCATGCTAGGCAGTACGGTCCACTCGTCAGTGGCAGGATCATAGACTGCTGACTTGCCTGTCGCATTCCAATACGTTTCATCGACTGCTTCCAAGCCGCCAAGATAGTAGATCTTGTCATCGACGACGGCGACATTGGCATGATTCAGAGCGGCAGGCATCGGAGCCGTCTCTGTCCAAGTGCCGGTTATCATGTTGTATTTCTGGACGATATTGGTGGTAGCATATTCCTTGCCATCCCACGGCAGAATGCCGCCAAGAACGTAGATCTCGTCGCCAACCAGGACCGCTGCGTGCTCTTGGCGAGGGTATTCGAAACCATCGCGCGTGATGTTGGGCAGTGTTGACCATTTACCAGGAAGAGGAGTCTCGTTGGTTGGCAGACCCTCACAGCCAGAAGCCAGAAGCAGGAGCGCTGTGATGACAGTCGCAATCATCTTTGTGGTATGACAGGAGTTCAAGAAGCACCACTTGAGCAGTGCATAAATTTCACGTTTATGATTGTCAACTATGAGCGCACAGAGCTGGCGGTGTGATTGACGGTAGCTTTGAGAGGCTGAGCTAGCAATGTCTTTGATGGAGCATCTGGTGAATTATCTGGTCGCATTCTCCTAGCCCACGAGGTTGATCACGTGTGAAAGGTTGGACAGTAGCATCATCCGATATTGTTGGGGCATGGTAGTGTTCGCGCCAAAGTACGAGAGGTCCGAAGGATCACCAAAAGGACCTTGCAGGATATCGTATACACTAACCTCGACGTCTATAATCTCACAGCTCCACTCGGCGTTGCCGACCCAGCTATAATATAAGACACATTGCCAGACCGGGTGGGTCCACAGTCTCTGATAACCGGATAGCCGAGGTGATTCAGTGTTGGAAACGTGTTGGATCCGAAACCACTAGGCCTGGCAAGAGCACCCCTGGCTTTCGAGGTTGCATCGATGAGGCCTATCTTACTGCGCTCGGTTTTGCACGGAGCATAAGATGTGATTCGCCTCGCAGCATGTGGGGTCATATTCGCCCTGAATCCTGATCATGGTCGGGCCAAGGCTGGAATCCTTGCTGAGAGACGAAAACTTGATACGACCGTCGACTAATGCCATCATCTCCCAGCCCTGTCGGAACTGCAATTTCATTGATGGGTGGTCAAAGTACCTGCGACGTGGGCTAGTGGTTCCTCGACCGATTCAATACGTGCTCCGTAGTATTGGATGACCAGAAAAGGCAGACCAGACACTGAGTGTCATCTGGCATCTGAGTCTCCTCCGATCTGCCACATACAGGGGCTTTATTCGATCAAAAGATTCCAGATCAAGTCATGTCTCCAATTCTTGAGGTCTGCATAGCGTTGACAGCTCTTTGTTCGACAGTCGCGTCGCGGTATACAACTCATGGTTCCGATTTCCAACCCGATCACATACTCCGAGTGTCTGAGCAAGTGTTTCCTGTAGCTTGCGTGACCCGGCCCAGCACGTTAGTCAATGGTTAGTCTAGCTCCCGTTGTCATCGTAGTCGCCCTGACTGAAGCTCATGAATTATCAACAGGAACCTCACCAGGTCCAGCCCTCTACCTGAGGGAAGACCAAACCACTTGGGTGAGAGTGTACAATGATCTGGAATCAAAGAATACTACTATAGTATTGACAAATCTCCTTTGACTATGAAACAAGTATGACCTGACGATATTCCAACAGCACTGGCATGGTCTAAGTCAGTCCACTGCTCCGTTCTCCGATGGTTCACCTCAGGCAAGTCAATGGCCCATCAAGGTGAGTTCGTTGAGAGGCCGGAATGGAAGAAAAGATCTACTGATCAACCACAAAGCCGGGAGAATACTTCGACTATGAAATCAGGCCGAACGTCGGTGAGGCTGGAACACATTTCTACCATTCCCATGTCGGGTTCCAAGCAGTATCTGCAGCCGGACCTCTCATTGTCGAAGAAAAGCACGGTAAATCGCCACCTTTTACGTACGACGAAGAACGCATCATGTTCATTTCCGAGCTTTACAACAAAACCGACTCGATGACGGAGACTGAGCTGCTCAGGCCCTATAATGTGGTCCGATGGTTAGTCGCAACTTATGCCGTCAACCCATGGTCGAACAGGGTTAAAACTGATCTCTAAATGTTTTGCTCGCATTTTTCCAGGACTGGCGACCCCTCGACAATACTGATGAACGGGAATAGTTTCCCTGGTATGAGTGCGAATGAGACAGATACGCCTGAGCCGTGGGTCATGCCAGATCCATCACTCGTGGAAAGCTGTGGCCCTGAGGTAATTCAAGTTGATCCCGACAAGACATATCGCATGCGAATCATTGGTGGACCAGCTCTGAACCTCGTGACCTTGGGGTTCGAAGACCACCAAGAGCTGTCGGTCATGGCTGCAGATGGGAAATACACCAAGCTGGCGAAAACGGAACGCATCCAGATTGCCTCCGGCCAACGCTTCGATTTTCTTCTCCACACGAAGACGGAGGATGAGCTACGACGTCTTGGAAAAAGTGCTTTTTGGATCCAGATGGAGTCACGCTATCGACCTATGAACGTCTCTTCTTACGCGCTGCTCTCGTACAATACTACCAGTGATCTTGCCTTCAACCAGACTACAGACTTGGTGCCTCCCGAGAAACAGCCCCTAAGCCTGCCGAACAAGGTCTACGACTGGCTGGAGTATGTTCTTGAGCCTTTGGAGCCCAACGGGTTCCCAACCGCCGACAAGGTGGACCGGACAGTGGTCCTGACATCGATCCAGCTTATCGCGAAGGAGGGCGTGTATGCGACTGTATCGAACCACACTTGGACCGAAACCAATCCACACAGGGGAAACACTCCATTCTGGAAACAGGAGCACCAGGGGGAGACCCCATATCTGGTTGACATCTTCAGGCGCGGGGACAGGGCAATACCAGATTACGAGACCACGGTACAGAAGCATGGGGGATGGGATCCCGATCTCAACGTGTACGTAGCCAAGGTTGGTGAGATCATCGACATCATCATGGTCAACCAGCCGAATGGTCTGGACATCGGCTTCGACCTTCATCCATGGCATATTCACGGCGGCCACATCTATGATCTTGGCAGCGGGCCTGGCACGTACAATGCGACAGCTAACGAGGAGAAATTGAAGGGTTACAACCCCGTGATAAGAGATACGACCATGCTTTACAAATACACCCCGGGGCAGTATGTCGGCGAGAACAAGAATTTTACGGACCAAGGATGGCGGGCTTGGCGATTACATGTTCAGGATCCTGGGTAAGTCTCCTTCACTCACGTTTTGTGGAAGATCATTGTGCGCTAACACCGTGCTTTTTTTTTGTTCTTCGCGCCAGGGTGTGGATGGTACACTGCCACACACTTCAGCATATGATCATGGGAATGCAGACTGTGTGGGTGATGGGCAATGCATCGGAGATCACGCGTGGAGTATTGCCGGAGTCTTTGGAAGGCTATCTAAATTACGGAGGTGATGCGTATGGCAATGCTAGCTACGATCCCCTTGTGCAACATCATTTCGGAGATGGATTGCAACAGATCCTCCAATAAAGGGAGAGGATGTCAACTGGATTGGGAAGAGTACAAGACATTACCTGAGGGCCATCCCACTAGTGAGAAGATAATTTTAATCTATGCCGTGATGTCCAAGGTCGAGAGTGATTGATTGGACCTTTCGGAAGTTGAAGAGTACTTTGGATAATGATGATAGATTCCCGATTGGCTTCATTTCATTGGTCGGCTCGTAAAGTACTCTTGTATAAAAACAGAATTTGGCGCTCCGACCCGGACCGAGCAAAGGCGATGCCAGTATTTCCAGATAAGAAGTGTCGCAAAAGAAAATATAATCCCACACATGAAGGTACCAGTCATGCGTGCCATTGTACCTGGAATGCTGAAGTAGAGTCATGATCCACAACACCGTGGAAGGGCGAAGCCTGCGGTGTCGAGCATGAATCATTCGAAAAGCTCGAAGCCTTGGCTTAGTGGTGCTCGATAGCGGGGCCTTAACAGAGATGGAGTAATTGTGTATTAGTGGCCCCCAAGCTTCACGCACTATAGGGGTGGCGTTACTGTGTCCAGTTTCCGGCCAGGGTCTAATTCTAGTCTGTGCCTGCCAGGGAAGTCGCACTGGGCATTCGGGCTTGCCGATTCTTGATGCAGATCTGGTCTTAGTATGGCTTGCGTGTGACGTGTCCCTATAAGCTAATCTGGAATAGGCAATGAAATAGGTGGCTTCCCTTAGCCTTAGTGGCTAAATTCACGGGATACCCCAGGCGGACATCCGTGGCGTCCTAGAATGAAAGCAATAGATCACTTAGGCCAGCGCATACCTCTAACAATAAACCCGACAGGTGGATTCAGTCATGCTCTGAAAGTTTCGGTCTCGAAAGTGTGGAAGTTACATCACCACAACATCTCGAACTTTTAATCTGGTGGGGATCACCCTCATTGCGTCTCGGAAACTCGGAAAATCAGAAATGTGTCGGGGCATGCAGACATTTTTAATTCCCGGCTATGCAGGGGTACCGATATCAAAGTTGATATCCGGTACGTCGGAATCCAGCATGCAGGAGTCTTTGTCGGCCTCGTCTCCTAGCCGGCATGTAGAGAGCTCAACGACCTTCAGTATGGATAACGGGTTGCTTCTACCGACTAGTTCTCGGCGAATCCATCAGTTCAACAAGGATCTTCGGCGTTACTCCCACATGGATGTTGTCAGAGCGATGGAGTACTGTATGGAGTAGCCGCTTCCTCCAGGCATGCTAAAACCGTCTCTGCATCCAGCAGCTCTTTGGCAATCTCTCTTACAACGCCGTATCTACCGGCTAAGTTCGGAAACATGCTAGCCAACGGAACGGTCGGTAAGCGTAGACCTGTCTGTTCACTAATATTGTACCCGGCATTTCGATTTAGTTTTGGTTAGGGCAAACAATGCAAAGATCAGTCGTCAGCCAAATGTGAAGTTGTCTCTGCAACGAGGTGAACGTAATCATCAGCACCGGCCCTTCTTCTCAAATCTTCCCATCGGTCTATGAGAAGGTATCGCGGCATTCTCTTCTTAGTAGCACTCAAACAACGACAAAATGAGTTCGAAATTTGACGTTGTCATCTGTGGCAGCGGCACCGCTGGTTTAGCAGCCGCGACATGGCTGGCACAATACGGAGTTGGATGCAAGATCTTAGAGTCTCGATCTGGGCCACTGGAAGTTGGGCAAGCAGATGGCATTCAAGTCCGATCTGTGGAAATTTTCGAAAGTTTCGGCATGGCCGAGGAACTGCTCAGAGAAGCGTATCACAACATTGAAGTGGCCTTTTGGTGCTCCGACCCTATAGGAAGTGGCATGGGCATCGTGCGCAAACGAAGCGCGCACGCCACGACCCCGGGCCTGTCGCATATGCCTCGTGTTATCTTGAACCAAGCACGGTTCATTGCTATGTGGTTGGAAGCTATGAGGCGACGGAATCGGCAGGAAGTTGACTACGGACACAAGGTGACGAAAGTCACGGTTGATGGAGAGAAAGCCATGGATCCAGAAGCTCATCCGGTGACCATTGTGACTGAGAAGGGCGGTAAAGAGGAGGTGTTTGAAGCCAAGTATTGCTTGGTATATTATGATTTGTTCTGCGGTTAGTAACACTCCAGCTAACAATCTGTAGGCAAGCGATGGCGCCCATAGCGCTGTCCGAAAGTCTTTGGGCTTCAATATGGTCGGAGAAACGTCCGACTCGATTTGGGGCGTGATGGATGTCTTTCCACGAACCGACTTCCCCGACATCCGGAAACAATGTATAATACAATCTGACGCCGGCAGCATTATTACCATACCTCGAGAAGGCGGCTCTATGGTTCGCGTCTATGTAGAACTCGCGTCAGGGACCAGAGCGAAAGACGTAACACTTGAAGATATACAAAATGCTTCGCGTCAGGTCTTTCAGCCGTATACGCTCGACGTTGCAGATGTATGGTGGTGGTCAGCCTATCCTATTGGACAGCGTATCGCGGACCATTTCTCAAAAGCCAACCGCGTCTTCTTAACGGGGATGCTTGCCACACGCATTCTCCGAAGGCAGGCCAAGGCATGAACGTCAGCTTGCAGGATGGGTACAATATCGGCTGGAAATTAGCCTCCGTCCTCAAAGGCCATGCTGGACCAGAACTGCTCGAGACTTATGTCCTGGAACGGCAGAAGGTAGCAGATGTGCTGATTAACTGGGATAAAGTCTGGGCGAAACAGATGTCCTCGATAGCCAAAGAGGACGGCGGTGTCGTCGATGCCAACGGCAAGATTGACTTCAGCGAAATCTTTGTGAAGGCAGAGGCGTTTACAGCCGGACTGACGGTCATCTACGACGATTCCATCATAACCCAGGCCGAAGGAAGCAATCAGCAAGCGGCCACAAATCTCAAAGTCGGGATGCGACTTCAGGGTGTCCAGGTGGTTCGATTCTGCGATGCAAAAGTAATGAAGTCAGTGAATGCTCTACCTTCTGATGGGCGGTGGAGGATCATAGTCTTTCCAGGAGACATTCGACAGCAGTTAGCCTCTACAAAGCTAAATCAGGTGAGTATGCTTCCACCGAAAGCACATGTATCCTAATACGTAGCTCAGCTTGGGACATACCTGTTCTCAAATCATGGTCCGATCCGGAAATACCTACCTCCCGGCGCGGACATTGACAGCTTGATCGAGGTCATTGTAATTCTCTCTGGTGAGAGACTCGAGATACAACAAGAACAGATACCAGATGCTTTTTGGCCTGCAACTGGCAAATACAGGATGAGAGGTAAGCATGGTTCTTATATTACCAATGATTTAGCTTGCCAATGACAGAACTAGACTTGCACAAAATCTACATTGATGACGAAAGTTATCACAACGGCCACGGTCACGCATACGAGTTTTATGGAATCAACCCCGCACAGGGAGCAGTTGCTATTGTCCGTCCAGATCAATGTAAGTATCCTTGGCTTAGTTCCTTTCGGACTCAGTATTGACCCGTGGCAGATGTTTCGAAGGTCCTCGATATGAAAAACCTCGAAGGGATTGGTACCTTCTTCGAGAGATTTCTGCAGGAAAAGGGACAGACAAACGGCTCGCTGCAGGGTCAGACGAATGGATCATTGAGTGAGCATGTGGAAGATTACACGAGCGGATGAGTCAGTGGATATGTGAATGGCCACGTAAATGGACATGTGAATGGTTACGTCGAAGGGTGAGGAAGGATTTTAAACACTGAATGTACCCCTTCTCTCGTCTGTTTGTTAGAAATGGGCGTCATACACCAAGGTCTTGACTACCTAGGTGATATCGAAGGCGCCACGACTTGGCAATCAAGGTCTTCCATCTTGTCTTCAAATTGAGGTTGTTCCCTCGCATAATCTCTATGACTCGAGACCCAGAGAAGCCGGAAAATGCTCTCGAAGCCTACTAGGTACACCTGACATGTGCTGTGACGGGGACAAATGTAGATATTCGTGGTGGTACCAATTTTGGTACCAATTTCTGATATGAGACGAAAAGGGAGTACATGAGTCGCCACTGGCACCGGTACTCATTGCAAATTAACAGATAACCATCTTTGTTCCCATGCATATCAATATCTCCGCCTGATCCTTAACATAACTAGGTTTAGCGTGGGGGATCTTTTGTATAGTGTCCCTATGTGATTGATGGATATATTCACGAGGCAGAGGAAAGAAAAGAAGACTGGCTTGGTATGTAAGGTGGGGATCGTCGGGGGAGGGTGACTTGATGTTTCGGTGACTCTGTTTTGTGACTCGCGGCAAGATTTTCCGGCCCGCCCCTTCCGTATTCCATAAGCCGGTAGTGGGTCGAGCAGAGCCGGCCGGCTACAAGGCACGCCAAGTGGAGAAGCCGAGGCAGCCACGATTGACGACCCGGGGGCCATAGGCTGCTCTTTACCGTCTATATTCTGTGGAGGGGCGCCTGCCCCAAGCCGAGTGCCTTCCTTCGTTGCTTCAGTAGCACAAAGGACGTTCGTTTGTAAGAACTTCGATGCCTTTAGCCCCTCTCGTTGACATAACTCAAGACCCTGCCCGCCAATGGGTTTGAGGATCCCCGACACCGTTCAAAGTAGGGCTAGCCGATCACGACGTGCATTCCCGAGTCCGTATTGCCGAAGGGGTCAATGGAAATCTGGCGTACTCGCCGGTCAGCGAACCAATGAACACGAGGTTTTGTCGGAGGATTGCATATGCGAATACTACCGAGCACATGAAATGAATGCTGTCCGTGATGCCAGCCAACAGGTGCAAAACGGCAGTGTATGACGCTTGCGGTTTTGGCTGAGGGTTTGGCTGAGGTTTTCGCGTTTAGATCGAGGATCTGGGTTCATAAGTCGCATAAATCGAAGCTGCAGACCTTGGTGATCTCCCCGCTCCAAATCGTCAAATAGAACAATCAGTTCGTGTGACGCTGTACGCACCAATCATCTGATATCAACCTGCCACTTGCCATGCATGTAAGTCACTTTCCCCCTTTCGCACATAGGCAGCGATGAACTTTATGTATCAAGGTCATCGTTGTTGGAGCCGGCCCTTGTGGCTTTTCCTTGAGCTTGGTCCTGGCCCGGGCTGGTATACACGTGACACTGCTGGACAAAGCAGACGGGGTAGGTTCTCAGCCACGGGCTGCACACATCTTTGCTCCTGGCATACAAATGCTCAGGCGTGCTGGAGTCTTGGGTGACGTTCGGCGTGCTGGTTTTGTCCCCAAGAATTGGTCGTTTCGCAAGGCTGATGGCACACCGATCGTGACAATTGAGGACTTTGCACCGTCGAAGAGTCCAGATGCTACGACTGTACTGCCCATAGACACTCTGGGAAAGATCCTGTGGTGTCATGCGCAGAAAAACGACAAGATCTCTGTGAGATGGGGCTGTCATGTTCTGGACGTTGGGCAAGACGAAGACTCTGCATGGGTATCAGTCCGCGAGAATAGTGGAACTGAGAAGATCGTCAGAGCACACTTTGTGTGTGGCTGTGATGGAGCGACTAGCCAAGTACGCAAGTCGCTGTTTGGCGGGGAATTTCGCGGGAAGACCTGGAACGACCAGATGGTTGCAACGAACGTAGGTGGAGACTTGAGAAGTCGAAGTTCTTGCTAAACGCACCCAGGTGTACTATCCATTCGATGAATGGGGCTACGATGATCTCAACACCTTTATTGATCCCAAGGACTGGCATATTGTTGCTCGCCTGACGAAGGATGGACTTTGGCGTGTCTCATACCGACAAGACGGTAGCAAAAGTTTGCGTGAAATTCTTGATGATCACCCAGCCCGGTTCGAGCACTTGCTTCCCGGCCACCCCAAGCCTGACGATTACACTATTCTCAACATAAGTCCGTATCGATTACATCAACGATCCGCGGAGAAATATCGAGTTGGCCGTATCTGTCTGGCAGCCGATGCTGCGCATCTCTGCAATCCGTGGGGCGGCTTAGGTCTGACAGGAGGCTTTGCAGATGCGATAGGATTATCCGAGTGCCTCATAGGTATTCACATGGGTCGGGCGGATCACAGCATTTTGGACAAGTACGACGAGGTGCGTAGATCCATTTACTGGAATTTCACAGACCCGGTCTCAACGAGCAACTTCATGCGAGTCTCAACTTCGGACCCGGAGACGATCCTTGAGAAGGACCCAGTGATAGCCACTTTTGCTCGTATGCATGATGATTCTAAGATTAGGGACGATTTTGACATGGTATGTTTTCATTTCAAAACTTCTGTCAACTTGGCCTCACTCTTGCAGCACATTTACGGGATCCTTCATGACTTTACTCAATACTACAGTGCCGGCAAGGGACAAGCATCACTCTGAAAGAGTGAGGTTATATGGGATTCGGTGGTTTGGCGGTTACGTATCTGGAAATAAAGATTCCTTCTGACCTTGATCTCTTCCTGGGCTTTACGGCCGTAAGCGATAAAGCATTGTTGTGGGACAAAGACCTCACTAATAGAGGGGTGGCTTTTGTTACCAAGAGTCTGACTGGTAGAGTAATGCGACTATCCGTGCATGATACCGTGCCAAATATTTTCGGCGTCTTAGAAACATTCATCATAATACTTGGGCAGACATATTACAGTAATATCCCTTGTAAGTGAAGTCATGGAATTCCCCTTCAACGTATCATGAATCCTAAATATTATTTTTTGAAACAGCAGATGTATTTCACAAGACACCTTCCAATCTCAGTCTCTCCTGGTGCTATAAGCCCGATTCAGGAGACTCTTCACCTCCTAATGTTCAGATCCACCAATAGGTTCAAAGTGATGTGATATAGCCATCCGAGAATCTTTCTTCCAAGCTACCCGACATGTAGGGGCGGCCATCGGCTTCCTCGACCTTATACCAAGACCAAGTTGGCTTCGGTGCATGAGTTGATCGCCTCCAGGACGGGAATGCGCAAAAGATATAGTCAAGGCATCTATGAGGTGTCGCTCATTGAGAAAGTAATAACCGCTCCTCTTCAAATTCTTCATGAGAGCTCCGCTCTTCACTGCCATACCGATGCTCCCCATGAAACCAATGTCGATTACCGAGGCTGGAAGATTCTGGCCATGACGGTAGTTGACAAATGCGTCTAAGAACGAGTTTGCCGCGTTGTAGTTTCCCTGTCCCCATTGGCCTGTGATGCCGCAGATCGAGGAGAAAAGCAAGAAAAAGTCTAGGTCAGCAGAAAGGGTAGCGTGATGCAGGTTCCAAGTGCCTTGAACCTTTGGCTGTACACACGTTTGCCACTCATCGAATGTCATCTGTGACATTAAGTTGTCCTTCAATACCAGTTAGCAAAATTTCACATCAAAGGTAAATATACGTACCCGCATAACAGCCGACATCTGAATAACGCCAGCGATTGGAGCCGTCGCTTGCTTAATGGCTTCTTCTACATCTGGCTGATTTGTGACACTGCCCACAAATGGTGTGACCGTACACCCTTGGGCTCGAAGTCTGTCAAAAAACGGCGTAGTCTCAGAACCTTCCTTCGCAGAGCGAGAAAAGAAAATGATGTTCCGAGCCCCATTCTCTACCATCCAGGTCGAGATCATCCGACCGAGTCCCCCAGTCCTCCAACTAGTAGGTAGCAGCAGTTTGGTCGAAACCGGACAGATTCGGGATCCATAGCGGTCATAGGGCTGAAGTTTTGGGAACCAGAATCGTTTTCAGCAGGGCGGGCGGCTAGATTAGCATACTCTGCTTCAGCTGTTGTCCATTGGAGCCTTGGTATCTTGATCTCTCCATCAACAATCGCGTATTCGTAGTCTGGGTCGAGGTCTTTCGACTTGCTGCGACGGCTGAGGCCTTCGTATATTTTGAGGAGCGATTTGCTCAGGCTGACATTCATCGTGCGCTTCGGATCCAGTTCCACCGTGGTAATGTCCTTTTTGAATTCAGATCTAATTGTTCTCATCAGGCCGAGTATCATTGATGAGTTGGGATTCTTGCAATAGATCTGGGCACTTGGGGTAACCCAGATCATTTTGCCTTTCATGCCTGATACAAGCTTAACAAATCTAGACAGTTCAGCTTCCGTGATGTTATACAGATATGGCTCGTCGAAGTCGACAAACACCATTATGTCCCGGCTAGGTGGTATATCGCCATCTATCGTGCTTTTCACGCACTTTATGTTATGGTCCCCGAAGGTCTTCTCAATTTCGCGAATGAGAGGAAGATGATATGCCGGACCGACAACCGTAATTTCCGACGAAGTTTCGGGCACAGGTTGTTTCACCCTCGCAAAGACTTTGGGTGCTGGGGTCGAGTCATTATCCTGATTGCCAAATACGAAACCATTCTCTGTCAGTGCCGCATACACATCTTCAAAAGAAGACTTGGTTTTAGACCCAGTTGACGCATTTGGAGACTCTTTGGTTATGTAGTCCTAGAGATCATAATCAGCATTATATTTCTTGTAGTGTCATGCCCCACATACCTTCAGTACCAATAACCATTCCGGTTCTGGAACGCCCTCGAGCAGTACTACATGTCCTTGAGGACTAATCAGTTGTTTGAGGTTTTTTGCACCAATTGTTGCATTGCTCCCCAATGCCGCAAACTGGACATTTGTTAGCGGAAGCCGTTTTGAATTTTCGCTACTCTTACGTCTGTGATGATTATGAGATCATGAGTTCCCGGCTTCAATCCTTGCTCTTCAATTCTTTTCTCGGCGTTGAAAATCAGCGGTTGAACATTGCCGTTTTCCCTGAGACTCTCCTTTAGGTTGGTCGTAGAATCCAGTGACGTCGAAGCGGACAGGTAGGAGGAATACAATGGCTCATCAAATTGTGTTCGAAGAGCCTTCAGCAATAGATTTGTGCTGTCTTTCGCGCCACTTCCTAGTTCAAGGACTTTCAGCTTCGGATTCTTATAAGCTAGGAGCCGAAGTGATTCGCATAGCGTCCCACTGTTCCGAACGAGCGGATGTAATTGATCAAGTAGCAGCTGTCTCTCGCTGTCGCTTCCCGAGAATGGTGTATTGTCTGTGAGACACCTTTCCAATGCAAGACTGAGGGAGGAGAGTTCTGTTTCGCTTATTTGAGTCTTGAACAATTTAATAAGCTTTGTACGGCTGCTGGGCCCACACTCAACAAAAGGAGATACATCGGGTACTAGACCGAATCTTCCCTTTCTCCTGGTGCCAATCATCTTCAGAATTCTCTTCGAGTATGTTTGGCTTTGTGCGCCAATATCCTCTGACCGCAGAGCATAGAGTAGAGCTAAGCGCTCGAGGACAACACTTGAGTCTAGATCTGACTGAAAGGGTGCCAAAAACTGATTCAAGTTGTGGTAAGTTGAATCAGTGTCCCAATTGATGAAAGAAAACAGCTTGCGGTCTGTTTGCCGTTCCAGGTCGGGGATTGGGGTGAGGTTGCACTGTCCACTCAGGATCAGGAGACCATTTTCATTCACAGCAGAAAAGTTGCACGTCGAATTCTGAAGGCGACCTGGGTTCACCATGCTGTTGACTCTAAGTTTGCTCCACGCGTTGTTGGAGACGACAAGGTGCTGGATCGATGTTATAGCAGAGAGATCGGCCAAGAGCCGACCTTGGCCTTTGCAAGCTGCGATCATCGAGAGTTGCAAACAGTGGTCGATGAAGACTGGATGAGCGGCAGAGTCCGTTGTATCGAGCATTGGCATAATTGTGGCACTCGCTTTGTTCTCTGTGAAGTCTACCGAGATATCGCTGAGGCCACGCTGTGAGGCACCATACTCGATGCCACGATCTGCGACCATATCATACCAGTAGTCTGAACTGACTGGCCAGTGGGAATCTCCGTTCTGAGTAAGATCTTGCAACATTTTTGTGTCGAGAACAGCGTCCCTTGCTACCAGACCGGTACACAGCCCGATCGATTGGCCTCCATTGCGGGAAGCAATCTCAATCTCATACCACTGTCTATTTTCCTCATCCAGGCCCTGAGGTCGAAGCTTCGCGTGAAGTTCAAGCTTGTCGTCTGAATCGAAAACTAGAGAAGAACTAATGGAGAGATCCTTCATAGAGAAGCACTCCGACTTCGATTCTGACAGCTGCCGCACACATTCGCCCGCTATTGCTACGTATCCAGCAACTGGAAACGTCCTGCTGCCGAACAGTAATTGGTCATAGAGCCATGGATCCTCTTTTGAGTCGAGAAAGCTCGTCCATGATAGCTCATTGTCACTGCTCTGAGGGGCTCGTGAGCCAAGAAGCCTCTGACTCGCTCGTTTCTCCGCTTGATGCATGTCCATTTTCAAGATCCTCTCTCTGATATTGTCGATACCATCCCTGAATGCTGTGTCTGATATGTGCGCTCACTTAAAGGCTGAGCTACAGCGTAAGACTTTCTCAACGTTGCTGCTTGTGTTTACTAGCTTCGGCTTTTAGTTGCCTTGTCGGGTTCTGTTCAGCGTTCCCGTCCCGGTTAACTTTTCCAGCAGATCAACCGAAGCGGCATCCATCCCTGCAAGCCAAGCCTTAACACTTTAACAGAGCTTCAACGACAATTGCTTAGGCAAACCAAATTTCCGTCTCTTATCGGAATTTCGGAATCTGACAAGCAGTACTTGTTCGCATGTTTTATTCGGTAGTAGAGTAGCCGAGGTGCGAGATGCCTTATCGCATCCGCCGTAATCCCTACTCCAGAATGTTACACATTACATTTACCGGCTATCGGGTTTTCTAGGCTCATATCAACGTGGACAGCAGGTCTGATACCAGTACCAGGTTGACCTACAGGGGTTCTCTACGTATTAATGTCACAGAGGGTTGAGTCTGCATCTACCTGAGCACAACCTCAAGGGGTTTAGCGTCCCATAAATTCCGAGCGACATGTGGCTAAGGATTATTTCCGGGCCTCTTCTGAGAGCTGCTATGCTATGCTCACCGTCTGATCGGCTCCATATGGGATCCACTACAATGCGAGATATCTACGATCCGAAGAACTACCTAGAGGGCGTTTCGTTTCAGTGTGCAGGATGTGAGAGGCACACGTGGTAGACCCTTATGGTCAATAGCAGCAAGGACATGCGAACTGTGAACTACATTGATACGTATTTATATCGGATTGATGCATCAGAGCTTCAATTCTGGACTGTCAAGTTTCCCTTCAAAAGAGATCCAGACAATTAACATCGATCCGATATTTTTCTTGATCACCTAGTAAACTTCCCATCACAACATTATGGCTGGACCATTGAAGCTTTATGTATTTGGGGATGAGGCCGGGGACTTCGCAGAGCCACTACAAAGGCTGTGTGAGCGAAGGAAGGAAGTTCTCTTCCTGCATTTCCTAGAAGAGCTCAACAAGGTTCTGAGAGATGAGATACGCCGACAGCCTCGTGACGTGCGCGTGCAGATTCCAGAATTCACAGATGTGCTGGATCTTGTCAGACGTTACCGTTACTCAGGATCCCGCAATCAAATCCTCGAGACTACTCTGACTTGCGTGTGCCAACTGGCAACTGTCATCAGGTATTTGCATTGATAAAGTATCTACCGTGATAACTAACTGAGTATTTAGCTTTTTCGGCAATGAAACATCTCAATACTTTGCCCCCTCCGACAGTGTCTTCGCTGGATTCTGTACTGGGTTGTTGTCAGCCTCGTCAGTCGCTACCAGTCAAGACACATTACAGTTGATCTCTAATGCTTTGACAACCGTCAGAGTAGCTTTCCGGATTGGCGTCAAGGTCAATGGAGCTGCTCAACGATTGTCGAAGCATGGCGATGCTGCTGCCGCCCGGAGCTGGACGACACTCATAATAGGGGCTCAGAAAGAGGCCTCGATAGCGGAGCTGGCACAATTCAACGAGTCGAAGGGTATTCCAAAGGCTAATCAAGCCTACATAAGTGCGATGAGTAAAGATGTGGTTTCGATCAGTGGGCCCCCGGAAACTGTCGCCTCTCTACTTCAGCAATCAGAATACCTTCAGAAGTTCAAGACAGTCTCGCTTGACATATTTGCACCTTTCCATGCACCACACTTATACAGTGATGACGATGTTGCGGAAGTGTTGCGACCATTCTCTGACAAGGACGCGAAGAAGAAGTTGTTCATCCCCGTCATCTCAGGCGCCGGTACTCGATACTCTCCAGATTTGGATGTTGATACTCTTATGGTAGATGCCGTGAGAGACATATTGATCCGCCCGCTCTTATTTGAGAATGTTATGAACACAGTCACAGAAACGACGACAGCATCGCCACGAAAGGATTGCCAAATCTTCTCCGTTGGGCCGTCTCAGGCGATCAAGAGTCTTGCATCAACTCTGAGAGCAGATGCCTCTTTAAAAGTGACAATAAAAGGACAGCTTCACACGGAAAACCCCGACTATGAGCCTTTGAACGGAGCTCAGAAGATTGCGATTGTTGGAATGGCAGGTCGCTTCCCCAACTCTGACGATCTCGAAAGCTTCTGGAGTACATTACAGCAAGGATTGGACCTACATCGACGGGTTCCTCCGGACCGTTTCGACATCGATGCACACTACGATCCCACTGGGAAAAAACTCAATTCTACTCATACTCCGTATGGATGCTTTATCGAGAAGCCAGGTCTATTCGACCCACGTTTCTTCAATATGTCCCAACGGGAAGCCTATCAAACAGATCCTATGGGAAGACTTGCACTAGTGACAGCATATGAAGCTCTCGAGATGTCAGGTTTTGTACCTAACAGAACACCATCCTCCATGTTGGATCGCATTGGGACCTTTTATGGACAAACAAGTGACGATTGGCGGACACTCAACGCTGCAGAGAAGATTGACATGTACTATATCCCAGGAACGATTCGAGCTTTTGCCACCGGTCGAATCAACTATCATTTCAAATTCACAGGACCAAGTTACAACGTTGACACAGCCTGTTCGTCCAGCTTTGCTGCAATTCAATTGGCTTGTACGTCATTATTGGCAAAGGAATGCGATACTGCTCTGGCCGGAGGACTCAATGTCATGACATCGCCAGATCTCTTCGCAGGTTTGAGTCGCGCGCACTTTTTGTCCAAAACCGGATCTTGCAAAACTTTTGATGATGGTGCTGATGGTTTCTGTCGTGGCGACGGAGTTGGTACAGTTGTATTAAAGAGGCTAGAAGATGCCGAGGCTGATAACGATCCAATTTTGGCAGTTGTTCTAGGCACAGCAACAAATCATTCCTCTGAGGCAGTCTCAATCACCCGACCTCATGGACCAGCCCAGGAATCTCTCTACAGAAAGATTCTGAAGCATGCGGGTGTGGACCCTGTTGATGTTAGTTACGTGGAGATGCACGGCACAGGAACGCAGGCCGGTGATGGAACTGAAATGAAGTCTATCACAAATATTTTTGCTCCACGAGACCGAGGTCGCCGCCAACCAGATCAACTGATCCATCTTGGTGCACTCAAGTCAAACATTGGTCATGGTGAAGCTTCTGCCGGCGTGGCATCTCTGATCAAAACTGTCATTATGATGCAAAAGAACGCTATCCCTCCCCATGTCGGCATCAAGACCATCATGAACAGGACGTTCCCTCATGACCTGAACGAACGAGGTGTTCGAATTGCTTTCAAAGAGACCCCTGGGTTCGTCCTGATGGAGGAAAAAGGCGTGCCTACTTGAACAACTTCGGCGCTTCAGGTGGGAATACTGGTCTCCTCCTGGAGGATCGTCCAGCTCTCGTTCCAACAGGGGGCAGAGATCCCAGAACAAGTTTTGTGGTTTCGCTAAGTGCCAAATCGACATATTCTCTGGACCAGAATATCAACCGACTCGCAACTTATCTTGAAACAAACCCGGACACATCTTTGCCAGCGCTGTCATATACAACCACTGCCAGACGAATTCACTATCCACACCGTGTCTCTTACGCAGTGAGAAGCATCTCGGAAACATTAAAGTCGTTGAGATCAACCCAGTCTAAGGCGATCAAATCTGAACCGATAAGCTCTGGTAAGATCGCTTTTGTATTCACGGGGCAAGGCTCGCATTACACAGCTCTCGGAAAACAACTTTTTGAGGACTCACAAACCTTCCGAAATGATGTGATGGAATTCGACAGAATTGGTCAGAAGCAGGGCTTCCCGACTTTCCTACCTCTCATAGACGGCTCCGAGGAAGTCGGAACACTCTCGCCAGTTGCACTCCAACTTGGACAATCATGCGTTCAGATCGCACTTGCGCGGCTCTGGCAGTCTTGGGGCATCACTCCAAACAGCGTTCTCGGTCACAGCCTCGGAGAGTATGCTGCACTGAATGTAGCTGGTGTCTTATCCGCCAGTGACACCATTTACCTCGTTGGACGAAGAGCTCAACTTCTCGAAGAGCTCTGCACCCCGGGCAGTCATAAGATGTTAGCCATTGCGGCATCTGTGAGCTCTGTTAAAGAGATTCTCGGTGATAAGGACATTGAAGTCGCTTGCATCAATGGCCCCAATGAGATTGTCATCAGCGGTTCAGCAGAGCAAATGGAGACTTACTCGAAAGCTCTCAAGGCCATCAACATCAAGTGCTCCTTGCTGTCGACAGCTTATGCCTTCCATTCAGCACAGATTCAAGTCATCGTTGAGCAATATGGAAAAGCGGCAAGCTCAGTCAATTTCGGAACTCCAAATGTCCCCGTTATCTCTCCTCTACTGGGGGACGTTGTAACTGACGGCAATGTCTTTGGACCGGATTATCTGTGCCGCCAAGCTCGAGAAGCTGTGAACTTCATGGGTGCCCTCAAAGCTGCCGAGTCAAAAGGAGTTGTTGATGACAATGTAGTCTGGCTTGAAATCGGTCCCGCACCTGTCTGCTCTACTTTCATCAAATCATCTCTTGGAAGCAAGGCATTGACTTTGCCGTCGCTCCGCCAGCAAGAAGATGCATGGAAGACATTGTCCGGCACACTTAGCAACCTTTACTCCAAGGGACTTACAATCGAATGGGAAGAAGTCCATCGTGAGTATGAAGCCTCTCACACCGTGCTAGCTCTTCCGAGCTACTGCTTTGAGGAGAAAAACTATTGGCTCGACTACAACAACAATTGGTGCCTGACGAAAGGCCAAAAAGTTGTCGAGTCAGCCGCTCCAAAGCGTCGGGGGCGCCATTTGTCAACACCATCTGTACAAAAGGTAACCAAGGAAGACTTCGGACAAACAAAGATTACTGTTGTTGCCGAATCAGACCTGTCTGATCCTGATCTAAACCACGCAGTGACCGGTCATTTGGTGAATGGATCACCTCTTTGCCCAGCAGGTGTTTACGCTGAGTCGGCGTTGACTTTGGCGGGCTACATTTACCATAAGATCAACAAGACAGAAAACATCGGCATGGATGTGCGTGCTCTGGAAATCTTGAAACCCTTGATCGCCAAAGGTCGTGATCAAAAGGAGAAGCAAGTCTTCAGAATAACTGCCACGGCTGACCAACCACTGAAACTGGTGAAGATCAGTTTTAACAGCGTGTCTGCTGACGGCAGCTTGGGAGTGTTGCATGCTACCTGTGATGTTGAGTACGGAGACACCAAAATCTGGCATGCAGAATGGTCGAGACTGGCATATCTGGTCCGATCGCGGATCAAGGTTATGAATGATGGTGTCAAAGGTCGCCAATATCAGAAACTCGATCGCAAGGAAGCTTACGAAGGTTTCTCGGGCTTCGTTGAGTACGACAAACAATACCATGGGATGAAGGAGGTAGTCATGGATCAGAAGAACCTCGAAGCGACCTCAAAATTGGAATTCCAGCCGTCCAATGACTATGGTGAATTTGAGATAGACCCTCGGTTCATCGACAATATCTCCCATCTTTCAGGATTTATTCTGAACGGATCCGGCGCCACAGACACCAAGAAGCAAGTTTACGTATCTCACGGATGGGATCATCTACAAATTGCTGAACCTCTATCAAGCAGCAAGTCATACAGCAATTATGTCAAGATGCACGAGGTCGAGAAAGCGACCATGTCGGGCGATGTCTATATTTTTGACGGAGAAGAGATGGTTGCGCTCGTAGGAGGTGTGAAGTTCAAGGCGATCCCCCGAGCTGTCATCAATCAACTCTTACCTCCTCTCAAGGGAGTTGCATCTACCTCTTCTCGAATGGCTGCCATCAAATACAAGCCTGTGAAGGACTCGAACCCCCTCGAAAAGCCTGTGCCTCAACAGAACCCAAAGGCGACTGTGACTAAATCCAGTCAAAAGCCACAGGCTCCAGTTGTTGTGCCTCAAAAGCAGAATAAAGCAATCATCGATGCTTTCCTGGCTTTAATATGCGAGGAGTTGGGTGTGGAGCCGTCGGAACTTCAAGATGACACCGCTTTTGCTGATATTGGCCTGGACTCACTCATGTCGCTCTCAATCACAGGACGTATTCGCGAGGAACTTGACTTGGAAGCTATCCCGTCTTCGTTGTTCACGGACTTCCCTACAATCGGCCCGGTGAAAGCAGTGATCACGAAGCTTGCGAACACTTCTTCCGATGAAACTTCAACAGCTGCCACAGAAGAAGAAGACCCGGCTACGGCAGATGCAGATAACACTGAGATGATCAAAGAGATTCCTCTTGAATCCTTACCCGCGAATCCATCTTTCAGCGAAGCTATGCATGGGTTGTTAGCAATCGTCTGTGAAGAAGTAGGTGTAGACCTGGTGGAGCTGCTTAAGGTGCAGCACTTTGCTGAAGCTGGTGTTGACTCTTTGATGTCACTTACCATCACCGGGAGAGCTCGGGAGGATTTGGACATGGACATTCCGTCCTCGTTCTTCGTGGACCATCCTACTGTCGACCAGGCAAGGTTGGCCATTGCATCTCTCATGGGTAGCGGCGATCAGACCAGAGCCACTACACCATACAGCGTCAGCGACGATGCGAAGTCATCAACGAGCTCTTTGACTGGAAGCTCGGTGCTCGACAGCATCGCTAAGCCTGACTACGACTTTGAAGTGCAAGACATCGGTCAGTCAACTCGACCTGCAACCTCAATCGTACTGCAGGGCAGTCTTAAGACTGCTGCAAAGACTCTATTCCTTCTACCTGACGGATCAGGTTCGGCAACCTCATATGCTGCTCTTCCCAGAATTTCACCAGACCTATGTGTCGTCGGTCTCAATTGCCCTTTCATGAAAACTCCTTCCGAGTATACGACCGGAGTCGATGGTGTTGCCTCACTGTACCTTTCTGAAATCAGGCGAAGACAACCCGAAGGTCCATATGTTCTCGGAGGATGGTCTGCTGGCGGTATTTTGGCGTATGCGGTGGCATGCCAACTGATCGAAATGGAAGAAGAGATTGAGGCTCTCTTCTTGATCGACTCGCCATGTCCAATCAATCTGCAGCCACTACCATCGGAGCTGCTACATTTTGTCGACTCACTGGGATTGCTGGGTGCTCAAGGATCGGCACCTAACTGGTTGATCCCCCATTTCGAGGCATCAATCAAGAACCTTACCGATTTCATACCATATCCCATGGATCCGGAAGAAGCACCAAGAACACATATCATCTGGTCTCGCGACGGACTCGTCTCGGAGTCAGATGAGAAGCAGTTTCCGAGATCTGATGCCGAGGCGAAGAGTGTCAAGTTCTTACTTGATGGTAGACAGAGCCTCGGAACCTACGGATGGGAGAAGTTGATTGGCTCAGAAAACATCAGCGTGGATTTCATAGAGGGCAATCATTTCACAATGATGCGTGAACCAAAGGTGAGTCACCCCATACCTATCATTCACACACAGGCAGATACTAACATTCTAGGGCAGGTAAATCAATTGCCAACTATTCTAGATCGTATCATCGGTGCATAAGCTGTTGGATTGATGTTTATCAGAGAAGAAAGACCAGAGGTTGTAGTCTTATGGTGTTGATTGCTCACTAGGTCCACTAAGTTAGGAGGCCTTATTAGCTTCATATAATACTAATGGAAGGCGGTAATGGGTACTAGAAGGATTCAAATCCCTGCAAGGCCCACCGTACTAACAAAACCACCAGAGTCAACAGTAGATCAGTTCATATCAATGACATCAATGACATCAATGATGATGATATTACAGACTTACAGATTTCAATTGTTTCATTGCTGTCTCAGGCGTCAAACATACAACATTTTGCAATACCCTCCATTTGACATTATATCATAAGTCTCCGATATGGAGAGATGGTTCATCCGCTCACGACGTCAGCCACCTTTATCAGCCCTGAATTTGTAATGTATTCGTTCAGTCCTAGTGGCCGAGAGGAGTGAAACTGCGAAAGGAAAAAACTATATTAGTTTTCCTGGAGCAGCCATTTCACCTCATTGATTTGTCTTTGTACAAAATTAATCCTCCCTTCACCCTTCTCTCCCGTCCCGGCCACGCAAGGTTGCTTACTTTCCTATTGAAATGATACCCAACACGCAGAACCGCATTATTGTTGTGCTTGGGTCTACAGGAGACCAAGGCAAAGGCGTAGTGAGTTCGCTATTAAGTGACAATTCGCGGGAATTGTGGAATGTCCGCGCAGTCACCAGGGATGTCAATTCCGTCTCAGCTCAACGTCTTTTGAATGATTTTCAAACCTCCGACCACCGTCTCAGCCTTACTTCCGCAGATGTTTTCGATATAGAAAGTCTTCAAAACGCTTTCTCGGGGGCTTATGGTGTGTTTGCGGTGACGAGCGAGACTAATTCAGGAATGATCGAAAACGAGGATGACCTGAAGCTGGAGCTCGAAAGTGGGAAGAACATTATTTCTGCCGCGAGGATTTGCCGCATTCAGCACTTTGTTCTCAGTAGCTTGCCGGACATGAGACGAGTGACTTCTGGTCGCTTTGACAAACTTTTCCACATGGATCATAAGTTTGTCATTGGGCAGTGGGCAAAGCAAAACCTGTCTGCGGTCACTTGCCTTCTTCCTGGTTAGTCTCCCTGCTGACCCCAAGCGTTCGTGTGGATTTGCAACCAACCATTCTCGAAGGTCTCTTCTTCACCAACCTGGATCGTCCGCAGTACTGTCGAAGAGAAGGTCAGTCCTGACACAGATTTCCCTGTGGAAAATATTTCTAACTATTGCAGCAAATGGGGTCGTTCGTTTTTGTCCCCCGATTCCGTCCACAAAACTAGTTGAGTGGGTTGATCCTGTACATGATATGGGTATTTTTGCCGCAGGTAAGTTGTGATATCGAATCCTTTTAGTCGCTTCTACCAAGGGAGACCTGCCGGGATATCACACGCCTTGCAAAGGGATACTGGAGAGAAGTAACTTATGGTCAATGGGAAGTACAAAGCTGACAGTATCTCTTAGAGGTATTCGCTTTAGGCGTTGCGAAAACAAAGAACAAAAATTACGTCGTCTGCAGTCCGAAATTGCGGATGGGCGAATTTGCATCCACCTTTACGCGGGTCACTGGCCAGCCAGCAATTTATTCCCCAATTACGATGGATGAATGGGCTGATTTGGCGTCCAAAGAGGTAGGAAATGGATTCAAGGAGGATATTCGCCAAATGATGGAATGGATCTCGATAGCGCCAGAGGACAAGATTTGCTACGGGGCTCTTGACCCAGCCGAAGACTCTTCCTGGGAGGATCTCCACCTACGAGCTAGTTCTTTCGAAGATTGGTTGAGACGTTCTGGGTGGAGGGGCCCTCCAGAGGGAAACCGTGACATGCTTTGAGAATGCTCATGTCTGCGATTGAAATGGTACCCAACTGTTAAGCGAAATCTCGATGCCAATTATGATATTGCAAAGTGAGCGGATTGCTTGGCCGCCATTGACAGATGATGAATGGAATGCTATGCTTGCTGGTATGTTTGACCTGAGAAGATTAGTGCTGTGATGAAATACATGTCGCAAGCATAAGCTACTATCTCTTTTACGTAGCTTTCAGTCGCATCCTTCAAGAGAAAAGCGATCTTGGATGCCTTGTAAGCAGACGATCGGGTTACGGCTTGGGCAAAATGGTTGTAGTCAGGTAAGTAGACAGGAGCGCCACTTGACAGGTGCAGACTGAAGATGGTCAAGATATCTCCCAGGCTGCACAGGCTGTTGAACCAGACCGTGGAGGTGATGGATGGCAGGATGAAAAAGAATTTTAAGTACGCCTGTAATGGCAAGTAACGTGAATCTTGGCTACGCGGTCACCCCATCATAGTTTTCATCTCTGTAGTAACCCACTGGTTTCAAATACACACCATGTCTCCCAAACGCCCAAGTAAATTTATACAGAGCTAAGCGAGAACCTGGCTGATTTGGTCGCCTTGGATACTACTAGACGGCTCTCACAGTCCCCATCAGGATGTTCAGTATCAGTGCCATGACCCCATCCCAGCCACTACATCTCACCTCCCTATCCATCCCCGCTATCTGATGCCTATAATTAAGGTATTACTCCACTCATCTCTGCATGCTTAATCAGACTATGTTAGTTACAAAGTCCTAATCTACTAGCATAGCTATGAAATTAGGGTGCACCTATTAGGAGTAGCTTACCTGGCAGGTTTACTAGGTGTACTAATCCTAGAGTCCGAACCGCTAAAATCAAATCCGACCCTCACCGAACTCGCAGCAGTGAGGGTTCAGTTCCTAGCCTAGATAATTATACCGGTTTCGGCTTCTATAGGGTGGGACTGATTCGAGTTCGGTTAAAATTGTCAGGTTTCGATTTTTGAGGTTTTATTGGATTAGATTGACCAAACCTCACTGTTTTGCTCAGTAATCACTAATTTCTAGGATTTCTCTAGAAATAATAAAATCGCTAGATAGAATAGTATTATATTCTATCTAGTCTATCTAAATATGAAATATCGATTGAAATTATCTAGTTGTTGGTGAGATATAAGGGAACAAGCATTTCTGTCATAGGTTGGTATGAAAGTAGTAGTGGTTTATATATAGGCGACCAACCCTTGACAACCAATATGTTTTAAAAATAATTTTTTGACTACCACCTATTCAGCCCTGTAGATATTGAATGGATATTTTAGATTTAGATCAGTATAATGATAATTACCATACATTTTATATAAAAATAATAATTTTATATAAGCATGTTTGATAGGTGCCTAATATAGGAGAAATTAAATTCTTGAAATTATTGAAATTAATCCATTTAGGTTAGAAACATCAAAACCAAACTAAACCAAATCCAATTGTATTTAGTAGCTGCCCAGCTATGCCTATCTAGACCTAGTAGCAGGTTTTTGCGGTTAAACTCAAACGGTCAAACCCAATCGGAACAGATCAGGTTTGGTTCTGATTTCTAAAATTTGGACTTGAAATCGCAGCGGCTCGGTTCTAACTAGGTTTGAACTCAGCCAAACTCAGACTGAATGCAACTCTTACTACTCCCTTCCTAGGCTATACTACTTCTTACGCTAGATAATCTAGGTTACCTAGCTAGCCTGATTAATCACTCTATAGTCCTATTCCTACATAACCATCCATGCTAAACTTAGTACCTACTAGGGTGTGGAATCCTAGTACTACGTACTAGTAACGGTGTTGTTGACACGTGCGCGGACGCTGCGCAGTCCCCACCCAAAGAAACGCTCCCGAATCAGAATGTTATTTCTTTCCTAGTTTTATTTGAGAAGATTGAAGGCCCATAAGGCGCATCAAATCCACCGCAATCTTCAGCTTGACACCAGACGGACAATGATTATTTCATGCCTTCTTAGAAACCTCGATGACAATTTTTTTTGCCGAAACTCCCTTTCGAACAATATCGATGCCCTCCTGAACCTTTCCCAATCCTCCTTCGATAATTTCTGGGTCCGGCTTCGGCACGAACTTTCCTGTCGCGAGAGCCTCCGGGAGATACCTGCGCCAAAGCGCATCCCCAATATCGAGATCGACAAGCACGGGATCTCCGCCATTGACTACAGCGTTAAATTAGCAGAAGGTAATAGACTTTCTGAACGGAGTGAAATATACCGAAGATGATTTCAACATCATCATATTTGCTTGCTTCTGGCCATCGCAAAGCAGGAAGCTTCCCTCCCCCAAGTGTGTGCACAATCTCCGTGCATATTACCTGGGTGGTTGGGACGGAGATACAATCCATGACCAGGTCGCCCTTCTTGAGGACCTTGAGAATGTCTTCGATGACAGTAAGGCTTTTGTAATCAAATACGTGTTTAGCGCCCAGCCTCTTGACCAGATCGTGGTTTTCCGCTCTAGCAGTAGTGACCACCGTCAGACCAGCAGCCACCGCTAATCTTTAGACCCAAGGTCAGTACTGAATGAACCAGTGGTGAAGGTTTGTGGCACAAATGTGATGTAGGAGCTATTGCATTGAACGTACTGGATTGCTGAACAGCCAACAGAGGAACTGCCTCCCCACAACAAGATGGTTTTCTCAACCGGCTTAGGATCAAGCGAAGGAAGAGGAAGCTTGAGATGTTTGAAAAGTGCGCATCCAGCTGTGGAATAACAGAGCGGAAGGACCGCAGCATTGGCCAGAGGCAGGGAATGGGGAATGACCGCAACCATAATTTCCGCACAGGTCGCGAAGCGTTGGAACCCAGAGTGACTTGGATTTTGCGTAAGAAGGTTGTCGCACTCACCAATGACACGCTGGCCAACCTTGAATCGGGTCACTGACGAACCGAGCTGCACGATTGTTCCCGCGACGTCGGAGCCGAAGATGGAAGGGTACGGCAGTGAAACATAGGGAGTGTCTTGCATCTATGCGCGACTTTTTAATAACAAAACCCGATAGTCCAATGGGCAATATTACCAGGTAATCAATTGGATTGACAGCTGCATAGGCAACCTCGATAACGACCTCGTTTTCAGCAGGTTTGGGCAAGGGTCCTGGCCCGACTTCACATTTTGCCTTCTCGGCAGGGATCCAAGCAGCTTCATTGCCAGTGACTGAAGACATTTTTTTCACGGGATTCTGCTGTGGCGGACATAGGAGGTGACGTTAGATCCAGTTGGAAGAAGCGCTCATAGGGAGCAACGGACTTGTAGATATGGCGCTTTCGAGCCGTTATAGACCTACAGCTGGTCGCTTTCAGCTGTGGTGATCATTATCAGCAGCAACGAGGGAACTCCATGGACTGTTATCGAGTTAACTGGGGGTGTGGGGTGGCCCACTATGATTTGACACCGGCTGCACAACCAGTTCCTCATTCCTTCAATAGTCTACCTGAGTAGCGTCGTATTCTCGTTGCATCGGTCCGAAATTGGAACTGTGGTGGCGGAATTAACGCAAAAATCCGTATGCTCCGCAAGGCAAGTCGTTGAGGTGGGGTTCCCGTACATTAGAATTTCGGCCGAACTTCGTCGGCCGATGTAGAAAATCGGCTGTTGGTATCCGGGCTAGGGAAATAAGGTTACATGGTCTCTTCGTACTGCGTGTTTTAGGGTGAAGGCTGTGTCAAAGCTGTGTGCGCCATTTCATGCTATGGTATGGTTAGCAAATTTCAGTCTTTGTGATTGGTTACCTGCATGAAACGAGCCTGCTCCGTCCAATGGAGTTGAGCTGATTATGCTTGATTTGGAAGTTTGTATGAAAGAGTAAATTCAGTCCCACGACTAAAGTTATCTCATTGTTGCGCCATAGCATGCTTGGAGCGTCTTCATAACTATTATACTTGTGGCATGAGATTCCCCTGCATGCCAATGCCGTAGGCTATTTAAATGCTGGCCCCTTCAGATTTCTACTGTCATTCAGGAGTTCAGAAAAGAGTACAATCACCATCATGTCTCAGATCATTACCGTTTTTGGCGCCACTGGCACTCAGGGAGGTTCCGTCATCAAGAGTCTCCTTCTTGACCCGTCATTGTCAAAGGAGTTCAAAATTCGTGGGGTTACACGAGACGTCTCAAAGCCAGCTGCAGAGTCGTTGGCCAAGTTGGGGGTCGAGGTCGTAAAGGTACGTTCGTAAATATCGCTCATTGACGCTACCTATCGCACAGGTCGTCTAGAGGCTCACACGTGCGTTTGTTCATAGGGCGACCTAAGCTCGCCATCATCCGTTGCTGCGGCAATCAAGGGCTCTCAAATCGTCTTCCTCGTGACCAATTTCTGGGAGACGATGATACCCGAGGTGGAGATCACTCAAGGCAAGAACGTTGCCGATGCAGCCAAAGCAGCCGGCATCTCTCACCTCATCTTCTCTTCGTTGATCGGCGTGTCTAAGGCCACGGACGGCAAATTCAAGAACGTGGCACATTTCGACGGCAAAGCCGAGATTGAGGAGTACATCCGCGGCACGGGCGTCCCCTCCACTTTCTTCCTCCCTGGATACTACATGGCCAACTACACTCAACTTCTGAACAAGAATGAGGACGGGTCCTACACGCTAGCCTACCCCGTGAGCGGGGATACAAAATTCCCGCTCCTGGACGCATCCGCGGATACTGGTGAGTGATTTGCGAACGCTTATTCTGAGATCCTTTGTTAACCCTCTGGGACCAGGCAAATTCGTCAAAGCCATCATCAAGAACCGCGAGAAGCTGATCGGTAAACATATTCTGGGTGCTACAGACTACTACACTCCTGAGCGAATAGTGGCAGATTTTTCACAAGTCACGGGCAAGAACGCAACCTTCGTGCAGCTTACCGCTGAGGAGTACACTGCAGTCCTGCCACCGATGTTGGCATCGGCGTTGTTGGAGAGCCACTTGTTCATTGAGAACCCTGGGTATTTCAAGGGTGAGAGTCTAGCGGAGAGTCTAGCAATTCTGGAGGAGAAGCCTACAACTTGGAAGGAGTTTGTCAAGGGAGCACCGGCTTTCAATTAAGCACCACAGAACTGAGGGATATGAGGAAGATGAGGAGTCTTCTTTACCTTTTTTATATTTTGTCTGGCGGCGGAGAGTCTGCTTTGGGTTTGGGAATTGTATCCTATATTCATAAATCATATATCTCAACGCCGCTTTTGAGGTTTGTGACAGACTACATCGCCGACCAGGCTTAACATAATTCACCTTGGCTTTTGCCACCCTGATAGTGCCAGTGACTCCGTAGCCGGCACAGCATGGGAAGGCAGCTGTATACGAGCCTTTATGGAGACTGCGCATGTCACTACAGATGCAACAGTCGGGGTGACGTTGAGATGAACATCGTCTTTCGTCCATGACTGGTGCTCGAATTTTTGCCAGCTTGTATTGCGAACCATTAATACCTTGTACCATTTTGGACGGGTTCAACGCACGCCTTGTTGCTTTTACGTGAGCTATGGGTTCTCGTAGGTATAGGAGAGTCTCATACGTAGTTGCTGTATTGTTTAATCTTCAAAAGAACGCTAGGCTTTACTGCATCGTCTAAGGCGGAGCTTCACCCCCATACCATCATCATTAATGATCAGAACAGCATCTTAAGTCTCCCCGTTCCCTACCTAAGATGAGATCTCACTAAGCAGATCAGAGGGCTTATCTACATGACGTCTAGAAAGCTTTAAGTTTGCTAACTGGCCCGGTACTGTGGTACAATACAAGGAACTGCACGAGTATGAGGTGCGTTACCAACTGCCACCTCAATTTGCATGATCCGTTGTAGAAATAAGATCCTTCCATTCCTCCATCTCCTTGTTCTGCCTTTCCTGAATGCTTGTGACAAACGGTACCGCGTCACTCCCAAGCAAGAGCCTCGCTGGCAAAGCCTTCCCTGCCGCACGTCCAGTACCCGTCAATGCCTCCACAATGACCTGAGCCCCTTTCGCTGGATCACCAGGCTGCTTCCCATCATACATATTCAGCATATTTTTGACATTGTCAATTGTAGGCTTATAGTCGTCGATGGTTTTCGCTGCGACGGTCTTGCCATCCACATCTGCTTTCAGGAAATTGGTTCGGAAATACCCAGGCTCAATGACGGTCGCTTGGATACCTAAAGGGCCCACCTCTGCTCGAAGGGCTTCGGTCAGTCCAGCCAGTGCGAATTTCGTGGCGCAGTAGTATCCCGAGCCGGCATTTGAGGCATAGCCTCCGAGGGAACCTATATTGGCAATTACCCCGGATTTCATGGCACGCATGAAGGGGAGAACTGAGCGAATGACTGAAAGAGGACCGAAGACATTCGTATTGAATTGTGCGCGAGCCTCCGCATCACTATAAATCGTAAGATGAATAAGTGGAAGAGGAGAGACGTCTGGATCATGTCTTATTTCTTCAATACCTCCAACCAGAACATATGCGGCATTATTAACCAGGATATCAATGGTGCCATGGATTTTTGCTGCTTCGACAACAGTTGCATCGATCTCAGCTGGCGTCCCATTCACGTTTAGGGAGATAGTTGCCGCTCCGAGGCTCTTCAATTCCGACAGCCTGGAGGCATTGCGCGAAGTTGCAATAACCTTCTCGCCATGCTTGAGAGCCGCTTTAGCGAGTTCCCTGCCAAACCCCGAAGAGCAGCCAGTGATGAGCCACACAGCCATTTTAGGTGATGGTTGATATTGTGTGAATGAAATGAAGAAGGGATATGAGTTCCTGATCGACTTAATCAGGAGAGGATATTGGCCTTTTGATTTCTTCTAAAAGGCTAGAAATGAGGAGGTCAGGAGAGGTGCGAGTACTAGCAGGTTAAAAAATTAAGATGGTGTAACTTAAGCGCCAGGAGGGTTCATTGTCGGCCCAGTCAACAGGAATTGGGCTCACCCGACGAAACCGAAGGGTTACGCCGAAGGCTTTCGGGGCTGAGCATATTTTAGGTTTCGGCCGGGAAAATTGAAGCAAAGATCAGGACATATTTCGATTTACAGTGGCGCACATTAGACTACGCTCTAATAGAGTAATCCGAGACCTCGACAGTATTGTTCGACATTAGAACGACCCAAATTCAAAGCGGGAGAGTAGTGCAGCCTGTGCGAAGAGTCAACGATGCACCACCGTATTTCATCATCCTGTGGCAGCCATATTAATAACGGCCACCAGCCAGCTTGATTCATTGTCAGCCCTCAAGTCAACGGCAAAAGGAATTATCCAAGATGACATACGGAAAATGGCCAGGCAACGATTCTCCAACGGCAGGTCTTAGTAGCCCTTCTCCCAGCCTGTGTGAGAATGGTGCCCCAACCGAGGCCGAGAAACTAGGCTCTATTGGCTCGGGCGTACCTGCAACGCCCGCAAAGAACAATGGACACCATTTGGGCCAAGTTGTATCTGCGACTACCATAATCGGCAGTCTATCGATTGAGTGGAAGCCAGTGAAGGGCAAAAACATGAGATGGCTGCAGCGTAATTGCGTCTTCTGTTCTGACACATGGCGTAGTGGGGAGCGAGCTTTGAATCGTTCCGTTGCGAATCATAGGTATCCTTTGGACGTTTCCAGCATTGGGGGAATTGTTTGATTTTGTATAATATTGTTCAGTGCCTTTTTGGCAATAGATACATTTATTTTTTGCATTACTTGGGGATTAGGCAGGTGGCTGGGAAGAGAATATAGTAAGATAAAACTACGGCCAGAAATAAAGACTACTGGGTATGTAATCTACAACTTTTAGATACTGCTCCAGACCACTTGCGAGGAAAAGTCCAACTCAAACGGGAATTCATTTCAAGTTAATATTGAGCATATCTGTCGCATCATTGACGACCTGCTGTCTGTAACCCATCCAGTACGAAGTATCAAACTCAGTTGCTCCCGTCTGATTCATCGGCATCATTAACTCATTAAAGTCCGCTTCATTCGTAACGGCGTTATTGTAGATCAAGAAACCCGTGTCAACATTGTTGTCCAACTCCGGGAATGTAATTTGATCACTCGGCTGAAAGGTTTCATCTAGGCCCTGATACTCGTGCGTAATTGAAGTTGGCGTCGGTACGCGACTCAGAAGCTTGCTCCTGTTATACGCATCTTTGATTGCGTGATGACACGAACGCACGATCTTGACGCCCACGCGAGCCATTTCGTTCTCCGTCTGGATGAGACACAATCGGCCAATTGCTTGTTGGGTAGCAAGCATTATTTGCCGCAGGAAGTCGATGTTTTTCGTGGGGAAGACGGAGACCACGGTTGATAGCACGATCACTGCGTCGATAGTGAAGAAAGCATTGCCGAAGTATGCGTAGTGGGATCGAGTGATAGCTTCGAAGAATCGCTGCTGAGACTCGAGAATGGCGAGACCGGCTTTCAGTACGGTTTCCCGACTGTGCATGTGCTTTGCGACGTGCGGCCGGTGGAGCGCCATGAGTAATAAATACGCAGCTGTGAATATCTTCTCCCTCTGACGCGGTATGATAGGATACTGTAGGTCCCATGAAGTATCAGGGTTTGGCGTCCGAATCGTCGACGGGAGTTCTTCCAGCAAGGATAATATTTCGGAATGAAATCGCTGGATAACAGCGTAGTCTTGCAAGCCGGGTTTGTCTGCTCTGAGAGCTCTTATTTTATCTACTTTCCGCGAAAGCTCATACATGAACAAATTAAGACAGACGGACGAGGGAATTCTGCTGTCCAGAGAGTTGTAGGCTTGTACAGTCGGCAAATGCAAATTCTCAACACTATCGGGGAAGTCGTAATTCATAGGCAGGTCGGCGTCACAGTCTATCGTGTTGACTAGCCTCGGTCGGCCAAGCAATAGAGACATGTTACTTTCGAAGTTAATTGGGAACGAATGCTTCGGAATTGTCACTTACCTATCCCATACGTATAACGTTATCCACAATCTTTTTTTCCATTCGCAGTACCAGAATTCCTCCCCGATGAATACTGAAAGTTTGTGCCACCTCGGTGTAGATTGAGTTCTTGGGCTTTCCTGATACCTGGTGAGAATCAAATCTCTTACAAGACATGACTGATTCGAACCTGATTGAATTGCTTAAGGCGTGCCAAGCCTCACCTCCATGACCTCGGTTTTTGAGCCATGCAGCTCTCAGGAGATCGTGTTGCACCGTGACTATTGTAGTCCCTTGATGCCCCAGCAGATGTATGAGATCTAAACCGATGTCGGTATATCTTTGAGAAAGCTCAAGATAGTCAACCTCAGGTAACTCCTCGATTCTGGTTCCTGATGGGAGAAATAGCAATGTGATTGCAAGTACTTGGAAAAGCAAGCCAGGGAAGCATCTCAGGCTAACAGAAATGGATTCAATGTCAGAAGAGCCCGATGCAGTCAAAGTGAATGTCCGCCATTCTTTGAGAGCACTCCTGAAATAAAACGGCTCGACTATACCATATAGCCTATGTGAACAGTTAGTATGTATTTGAATGTCAGTGGCCCTCATTAATTACGTACCAGTTGACCTCGGAAAAGTAAATACCAATAATCTCATCAACCGCCGCAACACCGGGAAGCCCGGAGATGGCCATCCAATAGTTTTGCCATACCGGTGCTACTGATTCTGGTGGTTGAATGAGACTCTCGCGGTCGCTAGCCGACAACATCTAACCATATTAGCAGGGCATTTAAACGCATTGTTACCTGAAGGTACCTTTCCAGCCTCCACGAAGGCATTGCTCTCTTTGATCGAGGAGTATCCCAATCGATCGCGAACCGTAGGATTTTCATAATGAGAGATCTTCCATTGGGTTTTGGTTTTGTTGGCTACGTTGGAGGACTCCGGGTTGGCCACGGAAGAGGACCTGATTAGAATGATCAATGTGTGTACACCTCAGCCATTAATACTAGCACTAGTTTGGAAAGTTGAGGGTGGAGAGCATCAGGTGCCTACCGGAGCAAAGAATCATAGTAGTAGCACTGATGACTGACCTTCCGGACGGTACAGTTATTGCAGGGCTGACGACGATTGCACTATAATGCGAGGTTAGAAACACACCCATATTGCCAGGCAGTGTACAGAGCAGCTACCTTCTGTTTACGACGATAGCAGTTGGAGCATGAAGTTATCGTGCGTCTCCTCGATATGGATGCTTCAGGTGTCTCCATTCTACAAGTTATGTTGGCCGTTATGATTGCTCTGAAAGCAATATGTGTTCATAACATTGCGGAGTGTGAGAAGTTTCGTCATTAGTGGCTAAACCTAAATGGGGCTAGCGCTACCTATACATGAGTTGTTGGAAAGTGTAGTACGGAGTACGGAGTACCATTAAACTGACTGAGGAAAGCCCTGCCTACGGCTTTGTCAGCATGCTTTCAAGCAGCTAACGTAATCGGTAAGCGAGCGGATCACGCAACTAAGCGGATCACCAAACCATAGAATTTGGCCGCGGCCGAAATTGGAGGCTATTTTGAACCCCTAAAACATGATCATATTACTAAATCTAGTTATTCTTGCGCTGCGGACATTGCAATCACTTATAGCCTAGAATATGGCAGTCACTGCAGCGTGGGGGTGCCCGTTGAGGGCGTTATTCTGCATCTACTGCCTGCTCTGAAGTAATAGATGGGATAGCTTCAGCAGCCTGATTCCTGCGCTGAATGAACTCCTGCCCTTCCTAGATAGAGAATCCCTCTGCGGCTTCTATCTGCCTCCTAGATTGCTTCTAATTTTGAACCTACTTCTCATGTGCAGCACGTAGATCATGATTTTCCTTTATAAGAAGGATGGCATTATTCATTGCCATCTCACACCCCTTAATAAGCTGATCTAGCGCAGCCTTAGTAGGGGTAGGAGGGCTGTATGTACACTCCCTAAGTAGCTTCTTAAGCGTACTTTCCTGCTTCTTTAACTGCTTAAGATTATAAGGTGTTTTTAGGGCGGAATCTATTGATTGGCTGCCTGGTGTTGTAGGGGTTCTAAGCTAGATATTAAGCTGACTAAGCACTTAATCTAGATTTAGTGGTATTAATCCAGTTGCTAAGAAGCTGCTTTTGATATTATCTAATGAAAAGATTGCTGTACGGGCCTGCGGATAGGCCTTAAGGAAGTCAAGCTTATTAATATAGTTGAAACCAACTCGCGTCTTCTCCTCAATTAAGCAACCATACGCGCGCTTTAGAGGAGAGAAACAGCCAACATCTAGAGGCTGAAGAAGATGTGATGAATGTACAGGCATATAGAGTGGAATAATATTATTCTCACTGCAGATATAATTAAATTAAGGTGTTAGATGGCTTCCATGGCCATTAAGAATTAAGAGTTAATATCTACCAGCCATTTAACTAGTAGTAGTAGGAATAAAGACTTTTTAAAGCTACTGTAATCTAATCTAATTAGTTATCTATCTATTCTCACTAACCTCAATCCACCAGTCTGCTGGTAAGGCTTGATCTTAATACCAGCCCTCAATATGGACCTTTCCTTTGAAGATAATGCATGGCAGAAGCACCCATCTAGTAGAGTTAATACACTCTATAGATGTAACCTATTCGCGGTTCCCTAGCTGGATAAGAAACAGCTAACTAAGCATCTTAGCTCTTATAACTACCTTAGTAGTAGCTACTAAGCCCATTACAAAGCTAGTTTCATTAAAGTTATAGATATCTTCAGGTGCAATCCTATACTATATTATTGTGATCTAGACATAATTAAACCATTCCTGGATGATCTTTGGGTCTTTATATTTAGCATGCTGGTAATTATAGCACCTAGAGAAATAGGGTTTGATCTCATCATGCTGACTAATGAAGTTATATACCCATTTCTCTCTAATAGTCTAGGTAGGAGTTGAACCATGCTGTGTAAGCAGGATATTTGCCATTTCTTATACATGGGATGGTTAGGGAGCTGCTCTATGTTAATCCATAGATAGAATCTATCTAATAAGTGATTCCTCTTCATTCTGAGTTATTTTATGGCTATTTGCGCATAATTCAGCTTGAAAAGTATGCCCCTTTAGGCGCTGCTAGAGGGTAGTATAAGGCACATTATAGACACGCGTAGCTTCACAAATATTAAGGATTTCCTTCTTTTTCAAAGCTGATACTGCAAGTAGGATCCTTCCCTCCTACTTAACTGAATTTTTCAAGTTTATACGCGCTTTTGGTGGCATGGTGGCTGGCTGAATACTGCAGCTTTTGAAATGGAAGTCAAAACGCGTTTGGTGATCTGCTCGGTTGCGTGATCTGCTCGCTTACCGATTACGTTAACATGTCAATCATAGGACTGAAGGAAAGACTGACTCTAGTAGGAGATAGTTTTCTTGATGAGCTAATAAGCCTATTATTCCACTTGCATACTCCATTCATGTGGTCTATTTTGGTCTCTGTGGGCTCTAGGTCTCATTGTTGTAATCATAATCATAAGTAGTAATTGTTCAGTGTAAGATAAATGGCTGAGTTACTCACGACATATACTACCCCTGGTGGAAGGATACAATTTTCCTCTTTTCTCTTCAGTCACATCTGTCGTCCTGATTCCGCTACAGCACAGCTACGAACGATTTATTCTACCTTGCGTTTATTCTCAATATACATTTACTCCAAGGCCATTTTGCGGAGGGAGAGAACCAGATCTTTCCTACTGCATCCCAGTCTGCAAAAACCAATCATGGCCGGTGATGATAAGAATGACTTCAAGCTCTACAGATACACTCCATCAACGACTGCAGCTGCACGCTATGTTCTTTCTCACCACTATATATCATATCTATCAGCTCAAGCGCGCCCGAGCATGGTATTTCATCGCGTTTGTGATTGGAGCATCTGTAAGTGGAGCTTTTTGAAACTGGTTTAGAAGTATTCATGGCCGGAAAATAGACCTCATCAACATACCAGTCCAAATCATTGGCTACGTTTGTCGTGTCTTGGCTCATAGCCACAAAGATTCAGTCCCAATATATAGCGTGCAGACTATCCTGATCCTCCTTGCTCCGCCGCTTTACGCCGCGTCAATCTACATGATGCTGGGAAGGTTGGTCGCCTTTCTGCGCGCTGAGAAACTGAGCATTGTGCTGGTAAGGTGGATGACCGAGATTTTCGTCACTAGGGATGTGACTGCCTTTATCATGCAAGCAGCAGGTACGTATGGCGCGTTGATGTCTATTATATGTTAGGGTATTTACAGATCTCTGTACTCCAGGTGGTGGCATTATGGCGAGTGGTACTGTCAGCAGTTACAACCTGGGAGAGCACATCACGGTTACAGGTCTCTGTGTCCAGCTAGTTTTCTTCAGTTTCTTCATAAGCACCTGTGCGCTATTTCATTACCGCATTCGCAAGTATCCCACACATGAGGTCACAATACTGGCGGGCCGCTTGTCTCAGAGAACTTCTTAGATGTGGGAGACTGTCCTTGTTGGGTTGTATGCCTCCAGTATTCTGATCCTTGTACGGTCGATTTTCCGTTTGATCAAATGCATGCAGGGTAATGATAGGTATTTCATTAGCCATGAAGTTTTCATGTACGTTTTTAGTTCAACCTTGGCGTTTCTTGCTATGGTGGGCCCTGAATGTTTGCCATCCGTCGATGATTTTGGTTGGGTCACAAAAGGAGCAAGGCCGCGGAAATGAGTTCCCTGGGTTCCCAAGTTGCATTGCATGATCGATCTTGACAGAAGGCAGATCTAGGGTATGAACGCCCTCTTTCCGGGCTACTATATCATGTCTAGTAAGTGGTGATTGCATGCAATGGAACGACGTCAGTGACACTGTTGCAGGGCTGTTCTTCCATACCCCACTATCATAATCAGCTTGGTACCCACAGATAAAAGGTTGGAGTGCAGTCGGACTAAAATTTCAAGGTCGGGTACGGATGGCGAGAGTAGCCTATGTATGAGAAATTGAATAATTGTAGCCCTATAGACCTAAGGACTACTGTATCTCCTGTACTTCAATGCAACTCAGCCACGAAATGAAATAAATCCTAGAAGCAGGAGCTGATCTTGGCCACCCACCATGGGAGCTGCCAACAATGCAGCTGCTTAAAAGTACCGTCAGAATAACAGGGAAAGGTATCAGTCAATACCGGATCCTGGGTCGCAGGTTTGATTTTCAAAACTCGCACTCTGAGTAGATGCTTTGGGTAGACCAGTTTACGCTCCATCCTCACCACCCAAAGTCTTAGAGTTCATGGGCCAGCTCACTTAGCATTAACTGTCGGAATAGGGGAGTCGTGTGACTTTGTCGTCTAGACTAGTGTCAAATCACTTAACCATGTGAAAGCTGCGGGGGCAGAGTACCCCTTCCAATTAAACCATCCTAGGACGAAAGTGAGTAACTAATCTCCTCAGTGTTTCACGCTGAGAGACCAGACGACCAACCAGCCTTTATTCTCCTAGTGCAATTTTATTCTTTGCCAGTGTCTGAAGGCCCAGGAGCTGCAAACAATAATAGGTCAAACCGTTAAGCTTTCCTTTTGCATCTGCTAGGGCATCCTGGTAGAGCAATCGCGATGATGATTCGCTTTCCCATGCATCCTTTGCTGAGATAACAGGAGCACTGCCGCCAGGATTGAATTGACGTCAAGAAGAGATTTTAGTTATGGTAAAATTGATGGGAATGTGAGCGCCTGTGGTCTTATAGTTTTGTTGCCGGGGCTGTCTCAGAGGGTGATAGGGGTCCATGATAAACTTTGAAAGAATGCTAAAATGTTCAGCTGGGTATTCAAGCGATGGACCCATAGATATCATTTATATCTAATCTCTCGACCCCAGCGGGCGCCATCTGTCTGGACTACTGTGAATACATCCTCCCACTTTCGCCTATCATCCAGAAGAACCTCATCCTCTCCATCCATCCGAATCCCAATCTGCTGGAGATACGATCTTACCTCTTGCAGGATCTCTCGAGCATTTTCATATTCCCCTTCCAGGCCTTAACCAGAATCGGACCCAATCGCTCCTCTTCTAAGAGCTGTAGCTTGCCCTCCTTCAGCCGTTGCTTATGGTACTCCCATGCATTCACCTTCCCGGACATCTCTGTCGGATCCAATGGATCAGTAGGCATCACCCACCTCTTCGCTCTATGACTGGACGCATCCTTTCGCATTAATTGCCAGACAAAGGTCGCCCAATCCGAGAGATCGATCTTCGGACTGAGCTCGGGGTGCCCACTGTCAGGATTGGTTGGGTAGTAGATCTCTGTTTCGTATCTCGTCCCGCCGGGAGAGTAGGGCCATTCATCTGTCGGGATGGTGGCGTTCACAAATCCTGATAGTGCAATCGAGAGATCATCGCGTATCCATATCGTGCTCGAGCTGAAATCCATCAGGTAGACCCGTGTTCATGCAGGAAGGCTAGCATGGCGAGCGATTGCAATGTCCAGCGGTAGTATAGCAGGAGGAGGGGCTCTCTGTCTCCATTGTCGGGGAAGTCCATGTCATCGAAAGACGTGCGCGACGCAGGAAAGGTGGTCAGAAGTGGCAGAGTCGTAGCGCCCAGTGGGCCGGGATCCATCTTCTCCAGCAGATATCCCACAGGGAAACGGCCAAGATATCTACTCCCACCACGCAGAATTGGCGTGTTCTAGCGGCGATTGCAAGAGACGAGCAGGCAAGGAGGATTTACTCACTTGACGATGCGAGGGTGAAGATCAATCGGTTGGTCTACATCCACATTCGGGGATTTGGTGCTCTGTGCCAGATATTCATATACCCGGGGGATTCGCTCAGCAATGATAAACCACTCCTCGGGGTCGACACGGGGATTTTCTTTCTCGCATTGTTGAAAGGCCACGATGCAGTCTTGGTTGACATGCTGCACAAAGTACATCTGTTCATACAGCTCGTCGTGTAAAAGTCCTCTGGGCGGTCGCTACAGACCGAAGGGACCACATCCCCGTAACAGCGAGGATATTTGGACTGGCTGGGTGGATCGGGGGGCTGTTCTAGATCAGCAGCTGAGGATAAGGGCTCCTCAGGGCGGTCTGATGACCAGCTGGCGCCCATGACGGCGACTTGATCTATAAAAAAAAAGAAAAAAGCAAAAGAGAGAAAGAGAGGCGGGGGTAGGATGCGCCTTCATATATGTTGAGCGGCATGACGTTATTAGCGTTTGTCTGGGCTTGGCAGCCACTCCTCCAACTGGTAACCTTTCCCCAATCAATCCTCCTCCTTCCCGCCTTCAACCCCCTAATGAGGTTTCAACAGCGAGAATTAGGTGGTCCTTGGATAATTACACTTTGTACGTTTCCCCCATGCGGTGAATTATAAGCTATGTACAGTGGGGAGACCCCCCCGGATGTATATGTCTCTCGGCTAGCTCTAGATGAGCTGACTTAATGATCCTTCCAGGACTCGTCACTGGCTGCTGCAAATTCACGCAGGTCAGATCCAGCTTGATCGTGCCAAACTGATACAGGAGGTTCCCCGGGAAATAGGTGAATAGCCCCTGCCATTTGAGCGTCCACCACCACCCCCAGAAGCCCGGCACCGGCTTACGACTCTCCTTGAGATATTGCGCCGATGCCTTCCTTTCTCGACAATCCGCTTCAGTTCGAGCTGGTTGAACTTCTTCCACTCCCCAACTAGATCGCTCAGCCCCCGGTTGGCAGTGTACCAGCTGTCAAACTGAAGCAGCACGTCGCGCATCCCAGTGTAGCTGTCACAGAACGACTGCCACACCTCGGGATGGTTCCAATAGCTGAAAAGCATTCCGAGCTCTTTCAGATACGCCAGCTGCTCGTCGCCAGGGTCCAGATTATCCCACCGAGTGGTCTGAATTGGGGAAGAGCCCTTCACGATGGCCCCCTTCATCCAGTTGGAGTCGGTAAGGGAGACGGCGAGGCGGCCTTGTCGATCCCGGCTTCCGAGCTCATAACTCATTAACTGGGCGACGTTGGTCGTGCCACGGCCCAGGGAGCCCGCGAGAGAATCCAAGTGACGATCCAGGTGCAGGGCCGAGTGACGGTTACCACGCTCGTCATGTGGACATTGAAGAACCGCGAGATGGTCTGGCCTTCAAACGGATGTTCCGCTGAGGGACATGATTCAAGTCAGCCTCGGCTGTGACGAGGGAGGAAGGAACTTACTCTCATAGAACTAGTTATCTCTAATCTTGATGGTTTTGTCCCACACAGTATCTGAGTTCGCAAATTTGCCCACAGCCCAGTTGGTGCTGGATTGTGACGAGTTATGCATATACTTAATGACGTTCTGGGTCGACCAGAGAGAATTGAAATCCTGGGGCCCCAGAACGGCAGCGGGCCTTGCTTGGGATATGAGGGGTACTTGGGCTCGGTGATCTGGGCCCTACAGATATTCAGCTTCTTCGTTGTTTGGCTTATCCGGGGAGTGGTGGCCTGTCATTCTACCAGCCAGGTTTTGTTGTCCGATCCCAGGCAACGCGCGTCCTGGAGTCCACAGCTCTCATTGGGATCTCGATGATGAGCCATACTCTGTTCCATGTCACGGCACTCATAATCTGGTTCCAGGCCGTACAGTAGAGTTTGTACATCCGAAGAACTAGTAGCTTTTATTCGGCAGAATAAAGCCTCATCCTAGAAGTAACCGCCAATCCTTCTGTAGCGTGTGCGGTAGCCAGAATGATGCATGACCACTGTCTCGAGCATCCCAGAGTTCTTCAAGGAGTTGAAGGGCCAGCATATTTGCAGGAAGCCGATTCAAGGAGTAGATTGCTCGAAGCCTGTCACGCACTTGATCGCGTAGACAGTGACTCGATTTCGTCAATTCAGACCCAGCTGTGAGAAGAGGAAGAGATTGGAAATTAAGGTAGTATGAGGTTGCAGGGATTTGCATCAGATGGTAAACTGTTTCTTCGGCGTATTGTTGAATCAAATGCTCTTGCGCTTCAGACGAATCTGGATCCCTGAGAAAACTACTCTGTGCATACTCACGGGCTCGATAAAGGAAAATGAGCCCGTGGTTGCGAAATGATTCATATAGGTGGCCCAGGCAGGGATTTGGGGGGATTGGCTTCCAGGTAGTAAGTCGGGCCTCCAACACGGCTTCATGCATGAGGTTGCGCTTCTGTGGCGCGTCAAGGATCTGTCGGCAGTACCGTCCGACATTTGTTATGATAAGGAGTAGTTCGCTACATGTTCCGTACATCGGATGATGCCAGTCTCCCATCCTGCGCACTGCATTGGATATATTAAATAGGTTGAGCTCCTGTGGCTCACACGGGTCTACCAGGAATGAAGTACACATGTCCCAGTAAAGATACATTCCCAGGCAGAGCCGGACCGCAGGGTCATTAGTCGTCGCCATAGATGTGTCCTGGAGCATACTGCTGATCAAGGCGCGGGCACCAAATAAATGCTGCTTGCCATAGTCTTTCCTGTCAGAATCAGCACCTTGCACCAGAGCCAGTAGCATAATAGTCAGAAAGTGTGCTTTAGGCATGTATTGGCTGTGGCTCATCTCTCTTCGAAGGCACGCTATGGCTTTGCCACGTTCCTCAAGGGCGACAATTGGGGTCGTGGCCGGGAAATACTGCTCGTGGCTGGCACTGACCGACTGGATAGCGTGGAGAAGTGCGGACGATTGGGCAATGTATTCCAAAGTAGGAAATGAAAATGGATTATTTTCAGGGTCTATGACCAATATTTGGCTGGCTTTCTCCAACCAATATTGTAGCAGTCTTCGATTAACGCGCGTGTTAGGTTGCAGTGAGAGCCACGGTGTCTCAACTTGCCACTGGGTTAATCTTGGGGCTGACGAACAGACAAGTCCTTGACGATTGCACCGCTTGCATGTCGGATAGGCCTCATCGCATTTGACTCGCTTTGCCTTGCATTCTCGACAGCCAAATTTGCTTTTGTTCCGCCATGGACCCACTGGGGATTCGTGCTCCTGCTGCGTACACGCGTGTGAGGACGAGCTAACTACCACTTGCTTGAAACGTAAGCAGCGGAGGGACATGTCTGGCCAGGTTGACTGTTGGCTTTCTCTATTGTTCTTGCATTCAATAGTGGCATGGAGACCAGAAATTGATCCAGATTTGAAACTGGCTGTTGAAGGCGGACGAAGGGATTGCCACATCACGTGTAGATTAACTAATCATCTACAAGATAACGTAATCGGTAACCAAGCGGCCACCCAAGATTTGCCAGAGCCGAAATTGAAGCTATTTTCAACCCTAAAACAGATTATATTGCTAGAGCTAATATAGCGAGGTTTGGTTAAACTAATCCAATAAAGCCTTAAAAATCAAAACTGATGGTTTTAACTAAACTTAAGTCAGTTTCACCTTAGGGAAACTAAAACCAAAGTGATTCCCTAGGCTAGGGACTGAACACAACCTGTTGTGAGTTCAGTGAGGGTCGGATTTGATTTTAGCAGTTCGGTTATGCCACTCTATACAGGGAATATTATAAACCCAAGCTGCTTCAGAAGTATTATAAAGTTAATTATTCTTAAGAGCAGATATTGCAAGGAGAATCCTTCCCTCTTGCTTAATTAAATTTTTCCAGCTTATATGGACTTTTGGTGGCATATTAATAGGTTGAATTACTTTATAATAGCAAAATCGCGGTCAAAACGCGTTGGGTGGCTGCTCAGTTACAATGGTCGCTCGCTTACCGATTGCGTTAGAGCCATTATACCCGTATCAAGGCGGATTTTCTACAATAAGAGAGTACTATATTCAATCCCATTCAGCCTGCTTTGAGACCGGGCAGCGCATGGTGAAATAGATCATTCTGGTCCAGCCGTGCTTTCAATCGCTGCAGTCTTGCGGCCCCCTGCCCCCAAAGAATCCTTCTACATCCACCTGGTCTGGCGGCCAAAATGCAGGGAACCCTCCTTGCAACGAGAGACCGGTCTGATCAATCGCCTCCTCTAATTCTGTAACCCATCTGGTTGCATCTGCAAGCTCCTGTGCATCGACCTGACCTGGTCTAGTGCCACCATGGAGCCCGAGAATGACATGTTGGTGCCGATTCGGAAAGGCCGCCCCGACATTATCCTCGACTTCATGTCGAATCCCCTTGCCGTGGTTATTGTGAAAGATGACAGCCGACAGCGGATGCGGTGGAGGGTGCAGTGCGAGGATGGCACCAACCTTCTGATGTATCCGGTCAACGTTTCGACTGCGAAAGAACATTCCTGAAGATGAGTCACCCAAGCCGTAGGCGGCTGGTATAGCTGGATACCAGATCAAGTTAGCTGGACGTTATGTACTGCATGATAGAAGCCTGGAACTTACTCTCCGTGACCGTGTTCCCCAGAACCCTACCGGCCTGCATCATCTGCTCAAGAAAACCTTTCGCAGGCGCAAGGTCTCCGCTGATCGAAGTCCAACACCAAAACAAAACAAAACAGGGCTCGGTTACCGGCGTCGGGGCCATTTCAGGATTCACAGCAATGGCATCTCCGCTAAATTCATCGGGGAAATCATCTTATAAGAGCTTTTCGATCCTGTCCATGACAGTTGCGGCCTCGGCAAGGGGGAAGGCTAGGAAGCCAGCATATAGTTTAGGCACTGGGTACACCTTCACACGAAGCTCCGTGACAATGCCAAATATGCCGGCCCCGGCGCCGCGGAGTGCCCACAGTAATTCTGGATCTTCGTCGGTATCAACAACGTGCCCCCGGGCCAGAACCACTCGAGCCCCGAGGATCTGATCGACCTCAAACCCGTACGTCCCAACATAGAAGCCATACCCTCCCCCACAGGCCCACGAGACATAACCCACGGATTTTGCCTGTCCAGTAGGAGTGAATAAGCCGTGAGAATTGAGTGTTTCCTGCAGGGGGCCAGCAATCACCCCGCCACCAACGCGCGCGCTGGCTTGGTCCGGCTCGACTCTGACCGAGTCCATTGCGCGCATGTCGATGAGAACGCCCTTGTGAACCAGCGAGCGACCGAAGAAGTCATGACCACCGGAGCGTACAGCAAACGGAACGGATTCTTCGGTGCATAATTGAACCAGATGTGAGACCTCTTGTTCTGTCCGCGGCCGGGCGCAGACCAGTGGTTGCTTGCTCAGCGCATGATTATATAGCTCGAGACAATCCTGATAGTGCCTACCTTCAGTATATATTGAGAGGCTTGGCATGAGATGCCGCAAGCAATCCTGGACAGGTTTCTCGCGGTCGATCATTTTCAATCAGGGCGGTTTTTGTTCACGGTCAGGGAAAAGCCTAGTTTGGCCACCTCTTCGAAAGGTAGATGAAAGCTAAATATGTTTTATCAAGTTATGATGTCAAACATTGACGATCTTGACTTGGCAAATATGGCAATAGCATCAGCCATATAAGTGGATGTTCGGTTAGTGGCTGTACCCAAAGAGCCTTGAACTTTGTCCGCATCGTATTCGTGCACTTTGAAAGCTCCCCACCATATACTTTCCATTTTTGGACAGATTGCGAGGGTCCATTCGACCCCACCAATGTCTTGTTTTGGGGCGTTTGCATTCAACGACGTTCACAATACTGGTGACGGCAGCTGCTACTTCGCAAAGTTTTTGAAAAAGGAAAAAGCTGAGTACTCCTTCCTGATCTAGTAGCTCACAGACTCGTCTTTGTCTCTCTCAGCCGTTTTGCGAGGTCTGGCTTACGTATTGAATTGCAGAAAATAGTATCATTGGAAAGAACGGGCACAGCATCACTCCACTTTGCTTCACCATTGAAAGCCAGCAGATGATTGAATATCATTACTTTAAGAGTCAAAGGGGCACTGAAGCCACAAAGTGGGTAGGCATTCGACGATTTAAGCACGATGTCCCCCTTGAAAATCGAACTCTATGCTCCCAGTGCAAACAATCTGCAACCCTATACGACTGTCTCGTAGCAATGGAGTTCATTGACGAAGCTGTCCAATCCTTCCTCTGTAAGGATGGACAACCCCTACCTCGCATCACCCTTGGTGCCGTGGATCGAGATGGTAATTTACCTAGAAGAACAGAGATATTTGACCACCATATCCCTAACAATTCTCAGGAACACTACACTACGCAAAGTGTTTCGGTGGTGACCAAGGGGAAGCTTGCAGAGCTGATGATGTGCACTGGATTGCGTCCGCAACCAAATTCATCACAAGCATCGCGGTCATGCAATGCATCGAAAAGGGGCTACTGGACTTGGACGCAGACATCTCTGCCATCCTCCCTGAGTGGAAAGATCCCAAGATCTTGACTGGATTCAATGAGAAGAACGAGCCCCAATTCCGACCAGCAAAAAGGCCTCTTACTCTTCGGTACGTTGCACTTAAAACCAATTATGTTGTACACATCCCTCATCACTAAGTCTCTGCAAGGCTTCTCTTAACCCACTCATCTGGGATGGCCTATACTTTTATGCATCCGCTTTCGATGCGCTACCAAGAGCTGGAAGGCGAGCGACCTCTGTTCCTGCAGACAATCGTATGTCCGTTCACCGTCGAGACTTGGCGCAATCAACTAACTAGAACAGCGGGAGTCCTTCCATACATTTCTAGTATTCGAGCCTGGAGAACAATGGCTGTATGGTCCTGGACTTGAGTGGGCTGGGTTGATGGTGAGCCAGCCCTACGGAGAACGTTGGAAAGTCCACTGTGAAACTTGGCTAATAGGACAACAATAAGGTCGAGCATGTGACGGGCCACAAACTAGGTACATATATGGAGGAAAACATGTTTGAACCTGTTGGTGCCAGGGACATTACTTTCCATCTGAATGAGAGAGAGGACCTCCGCGCCCGAAAGGTGAAGCTGTGGGAACGAGATCATCACCGACTCAGAGAGGTCACTGACTTCTGGATGCCCGACCCTGTCATAGACGACATTGGAGGTGGCGGGATCTACACAACTGTGCCTGATCTGCTCAAGATCTACCTCGGGGTGTTGCAGGGAAGACTGCTCCGACCCGAGACTTTGCAGCTGATGTTCAAGCCACACCTTGAGAGCCGCAAGGGCTTCGATAACCAAGAGGATCACATTCTGGCAAATCGCAACGCAATTTATAACGCCGTGTCTAGCAATGTCCCCGTCGACTACGGGCTTAGCGGTCTGCTTAACATGATTGACGTGCCCGGTGGCCGCAGCCAGTACTCGCTGTCCTGGTCCGGGCTCCCCAATTGCTACTGGGTAAGCGTTAGCATCGACTTTCTGTATCCCATTCTATGGACCTGTCACTGACATCTGGGTAGTGGATCGACATGAAGAAAGGCATTGCTGGTGTGTACTTGTCCCAACTTCTACCCACGGGCGACCAAAGGGCTATTGATCTTCTGGCTGAGTTCGAGCGGGCCGTCTATACAGTGCTAGGATGATCGGGCGTCATTTCCGCCATTTCCAGGTGCGATTGGCTGGCTACACCGGTATACTAGCCGTGAGCGCGTAAGTTCTAGTTGGTAGAAGCAGGAATATGGATCGGATGTAGAACTTTCCCAGCATGTCAAAGCAATTAAAGGTCACGGCATCTTTGAACTCCCGAGCTTTGCATTTGCTAGAGAAAATTCCACCTCACTATGTCCTTTTCGGTGTAGTGTAGCCTAGCCAAGCTAAGCCTCGAAATCTTGCTATCTGCCCAGGAAAGGCAAGTGGGACTCCCTAGTAGGTGTATTTCTGTGGTACCCAGCCGTGATACTGCGGAATGTAAGGTATACTAGCCTGGTAGCTGAGAAACATCCGCTGCTGACTCTCCAGACGGACTTTTCCTGGCCCAAGCCCTACTGACCTGTAATTTCAGCAGTGACATTCAGGCTGACCTGCAATGCCTAGTCGCAAGCGCCTCGCAGCGTCGCCAGTTGCGCAGCGCACTATGAAGATCCATAGAAACGACAGTGCTTTAACTGATGTCGGTGGCAATGGGAGAGACAAAGACGGATTCGACGAGAGCGGCAATGATGACGATTACCGGCCCGACGCAGAAGATAAACGCGGAAGGCACGACTCTCCTACCTTGAAGATGTGGAAGAAGATTATCCTCCAAGGAAAACCACCATTATCCCTCATATGGTCTTAAACAATCCCCAAGGCTTTGGTATAAATATTTAACTAAAGTTCTAAAAGAACTAGATTTTCATGTCCTTCCTTATGATGAAGGAATATTTATAAATACTGCCACTATATGCATTATTATATGCCATGTGGATGATATACTTATAATACATGAAAATCTAGCCTATATAAGAGAGATATCCAATAAGGCTCAAAAATATATGAAACTAAAAGAAATTGGTTCAGTGGCAACCTTTCTGGGGAATGATATCTCTATAAACTATAAAGATAAATTACTATTCATCCACCAAGGCACATATACTAAAAAACTTCTAAAGAAATTTAGTATATATGACCTTTATAAGCCTGTTCTAATCCCTGGTGAACCTGGGATTAAGCTTAGAAAGAATACTAGCCAAGCTAGTAAGAATGATATCAAAGAATATCAAAAGCAAATAGGTTCTATCCTATATCTTGCCCTTAAAACTAGGCCTGATATTACCTTCAGCACTACCTACTGTGCTAGGTATATGAGCAATCCTAATAAAGAGCATTTTAATGCCCTTAATAGGATCTGGAAATATCTATTAAGATACCCAGAACTGGGCCTAGTATATAACTGCAAAGGAAATGACCTTTTTATAAAAGGATATTCTGATTCAGACTGGGGTAATGATTTAGATCAAAGAAAATCTACTTCAGGATATATATTTAGCCTAAGTGGTGATATAGGGATTAATAACCCTATAAGTTGGAACTCCCAGCTACAGAAAACTATAGCCTTAAGCAGCTGTGAAGCTGAATACATGGCCCTAAAAGAGGCTATAAAGGAGGCTATATATCTGAATAGCATATTCCAATACCTAAATAATCACCTAGAACTAGGCTATAATGCTAGGACCCCTAGGATCCTAGTAGATAGTGACTCAGCTAAGAAACTTGCTGAAAATCCTGAATTTCATAAAAGATCTAAACATATTGAAATAATATATCATTTCAATAGACAGGCTATTCAAGAAGGAAAAGTGGAACTTATCTACATTCCTAGAAAATACCAGCTGGCTGATTTCCTCACTAAAAATGAGAATAATCTGCTACATAAAACATTTATGAAAATGGCCAGCCTGGGACCTAGTGAGGATATATAATAAGGTTTTATCCCCCAAGAGGGTTTTATCCTTATAGATCAGCCATATTAAAAGAAATTGCCATTCATTCTAGGCTGATATAACTAGCATATTTTCTCCTTATTAAAGGTTTTAATGCTAGATACTAGCATACTGCTAAGATATAAAACTAGTGCCTTTTTTCCTTAAACTAAAAGGGTTTTTGCACTGGGATAACTAAATGCATAATCTAAACATTCCCATGCTTAGCTTAAGGGGGCGTGTTGGTGAGAACCATGGTATGGTTAAACCTTAATAAGAGGCAAATAGTGATCTCACTATGACAGCATAGTGATATCACCTAGCTACCCACTGCCTATAAATATGTCCTCAAGGTCACTCCTCACCTAGTTTTACAATCAATCAAGCAATCAAGAGAAATCAAGGAATTAAGACATTTAGCTAAGATATCCTTAGCTACTTCCTTCTACTATTCTTCCTTCTTACCTTGGCAAGCTATCTATTCCCCTTTGCTTTAGTGAACTCTACTAGCTAGTTATACACTACATACTACTTATCCATTCACAAAAAACCACTGGCAGGTCACCACCTGATATCCCTGCTGGATTGCAATCTGCGCTTGTTCCTGACCCTGCAAGCGTGGTCGACCTTAACCACATGGCACTATCCATCCATGATGTTCGCGCCAATGCCGCTTCAATGTATTGAGTGAACGGGTGATGAATTGGTAATTTGCTAGGTCTTGCTGGCATAATAACCCATCAGGATATTCATCTAGGTGGGAAATTAACTGGGTGATCTGACTAGGCTATTAAATAGCTTGGGGGTCATGCTCTACGCCCTCCCAGCTCTAAATGGCCTGATGGATCTACTTTGCAGTGGCCTAGGGTAACTGATGGGCTTTCCCCTGGAGATGGCTTTCTACCTCAGCAGGCCACACCCCATGGTGGTAGGTCCGGCAGATAATGATTGGTGGCTGGTTAAGCTGGATGAATAACTGCTGTTCCATTCTTAATGGATGGTTTAGATGAATATAATACTATTAAAGTAAATATCTGAATGATGATGGGATGTAAAAGATGATGGGATTCAACCCCTGAATATTTAGTTTGTGCGCTTTGCTTTTTTGCTGCGGGAACTCAAACCATATTAAATCCTTGATCTAATATGTCCTCACCACCCTGTAAATCATTAATTTTGATACTGAAATTTAGCTGCATTAATTGGAACTGACATATCAGTAAGTAAGCTAAATTTAAAATACCTGCAACCTCACCTGGAGCCATAGTGATGATTAGAAATTACGTCCGCTTGACGGAATTAAGTACTCTGAGACTAGAGTACACAAAATCACTCTACTATACCCGAAGGACCTCAGGTCCAACAACAATCGCGCGTGGTTCAAGAGTAAGAGCACCACGACACCAAAGCGCACAGCTGTTTTAACGCCTGTAGGCCATGGAAGGGAGTTCAGATGAGCCACGAAAAACGGGGAGTCATTTGTCGAAACACTAACACTGAAATCATTACCTTTAACGCCACAATCCCGCAGCTACCGCTTAGAGATATCTTTCGCATATATCGAGACGTTCGCTTCAGCAAGGAACCCAAAGACCCCACAAGGTTGAGTTATCTCTCTCTTGTCTTTCGCCAAGGGAGCATACTTATTCAGTCTCAGTGTTTCCCAGTCCCACTTTTCTGCTGTTTTCTCGCACGCCGGTAGAAGGAGACCATACGCCTGCTACTATCTCTGTCTTGACCCAGGGTCATTATATGTTGGTGGTGGCCTTTGGGTCCCTGAGCCACCAACTATTCAGCTACTGAGCCAGAGCGTTGTTGAGAGACTTGGTGGGCAGTTGCGCGTCTAGCTAGTCGATTACATTAGGTTCTTTTGCTGACTGACCTAATGACAGTCGTCACAGCCTGGATCTGGATTATTTCCCCAGCTCCGAGAAGTCACTCCTTTGCAGATACCTCAACACCCGTTTGGGGCTCGAGCTCCAGCACAGCAACTTTGTTTGTTTCCTTCAGCATATACCCTGCGACGTAGAGCTGCTGTTATGGTCCAACTGTCCAATACCCCCCGGATGCCATTCACCCAGACCACTCCCTTAACCACAATTTCAAGCTGCAAAAAAGTGTCTGCACTAGCACCAGTATGATTCATGGCAAAGGACCCAGTATACCAAGCTAGAGTGCTACCAATCTCCAGACTAACAACCCCACCCTCGCCAATGCTGGAAGCGGGGTCTGTCACAGGCAATGAGCACTCCCACCAAGATAATATTTCAAACAAAGGGAAGACTGACTAAGCGGGGCTACCATGATTCCTAAATATGCTGATTGGCTGACCTAATCCGCACTTTGGGTTGGATAGGGGTTGACCCTGATCCATCCCACATGGATATGGATGGATGACATCTGATCTGTATGGATAACTATGTGTCAGCCATATCTTACCACTATTAAATCCAGAGAGTATTAGATATCAATATTTAGCTGAATTCTGGCTGGACTAATCAGATCACTAGATTCTACCATGGATTCAACTCACTAGTAGAGTTGCATAACCGAACCGCAAAAATCGAACCCGAACCTCACCGAACTCGCAGCGGTGCGGGGTCAGGGGCAAGCCTAGGGAATCACTTTGGGTTCGGTTTCTCTACCCTGGAACTGTTTCGGGTTCGGTTAAAACCGCCGGTTATGGTTTTTGCGGTTTACCGGATTAGGTTAACCAACCCGCACCCATTTTACCTAGAAATCACTGAATTCTAGGTATTTCTAAATTAATATGAATATCACTGGATAGCCCTTGATTCAGGCTATCTAGTGATATTAATATCATTTAAAAATACCTGGTGGTTGCTGAGATATAAGGGAATTTCATCTCTGTAATAGGTTGGTATGAAAGTAGTGGTAGTCTATATATATATGCGACCGACTGTTGACAATGACCATATTTAAAAATGATTTTTTAACCACCACCCATTCAAACCTATAGATATTGAACTCATATTTTAGATCTAGATTAATATGATGATAATTACCATATATTTCATATAAAAATCATAATTTTATATAAGCATGCTCGATAGGGGCATCAGAGGGGTCCCCGAAGGGGGGAATGGTAAGGGTTAAAACGGTTAAAATTAGCGGTTTAACCAACCCGAAACCGAACCGAATCTAACCATGGTTAGTTAGTATAGGCCTAGCTAGGCCTAGCTAGGCCTAGCAGCGGGTTTTGCGGTGAAAACCGCAACCGAATCGCATCGGGTCTGGGTTCGGTGCGAGTTCTAAATTTTGAACCCGAAACCGCAGTGGTTCGGTGCCAACTAGGCTTGAACCCGCCCGAACCTGCCCGAACCCGCGCCAAATGCAACTCTATGTGTTATGCTTCTTCCAGAAGGCTTCTTGCTATTTTTTAACTCCCGCATGCTGTCCACAAAAAGACACATGGTGTGTGTCTATAGAAATATGAGCCTTATGATTATCAGCAGATAGTGTATGGTTTTGGTGGTGCTTTCAAAGTGGTTGCTTTGAAAGGGGTAGACTGGCTGACCCAATCCGCAAATCCATATTCAACCCACCCAATCCGCACTTTGGGTTGGATGGGGGTCGACCCTGATCCAACCCACAGATATGGGTGGATAGCATCTAACCTATATGGATATGGGTAACCCATTAGGTGCACATGACTGGCAGAATTATTGATATTTATGATATTCTCTTAATTAGAGATCTTTCCACCTACTAAAAGTAGTATAGCCCAAAATCACGTGTATAATATAGGTAGAATGGGTATCCACAACCCAACCTGTATAGATATGAGGGTGGGTTAGATAGGTGGTGGATCAACCTAAAACCCATGTGGGTTGGATTGAACCCCCTGCGGATCCATCCAAACCCAGCCCACGACCAGTCTAGAAAGGGGTATCTCTATAAGCTATCTATAGATAGGGAGACTGTCCATTTACCCATAGCAGGTAAATTCTGGAGACTAGCCTCCGCGAAAAGGATGGGGTATTTAGTGTGGGACGTAGTGGTGCAGAGGTATAGGTAGATTAGGCTAGCAGAACCTCAGTGCTTTATATTATTATGGGGAAACAGAGAGCGCAGTGCTGCCATGTGATTATAATTTCCTAGAAAGAAAATAAGCAAAGGGTACTGAGTGGTTGGATAGGCTATTCCCTGTATGATCTCATCCATCCGCCCAGTATCCACCAGGGACCAGCCCGTGGTGTTATGTGCTAAATCCAACCAGACGGCCATGGTTGCCTGACAAAGATCAGATTTGGTTCGAGCCTTTGCCTTTTATTGCTCCCCAAGGGAGTCCAGAGAATCGTCGACTGCATGTAGTGACTGGACAAGGATAGGTTTTCCGATCGGCTTCAATGGACGAGGAAAGATGCTCTTTTTGAAAATGGCTGGAGAGTCGACGAGACTTGTGAAACTTCTGGCGACATGAATTGACTGGATAACAGTAGGGCTCCTTTCAGCGTAATCCATTGCTCCCGTGTGTTCTGACTTTGGTGCTGTCTGTCCTGACTATGGGTGGAACCAGGTAAACACATCTGATTGTTTGAAAAAGAAGTCCATCTATCTGAGTGAATAAGTTCCCTAATGCTATTATGAGTGTATTGCTATAGATGGGAATCATCCAAATGAAAAGCAAAAATAAACTCTGATTCTATTAAAGCAAATAACGATGATAATGGCATAGCAACAATAAATCTGAGACTTAACTTATAGTTCTTACTTCCGGAGACATGTATAATTAGACTTATAAATTGGTTAGTTAAAGCACTAGATCTATATGCGTAGATAATTCTGCTCGTTATACGCACCTAATAGGTCATCTATATCTATTCAGTTTGGCATGGTCCACCCATATAGATATATGCATTAGACTGTGATTGGATGAAGTCCAATCCAAAGTATAGATTAGGTGGGTTGGATATGTATTTGCAGCTTAGGTCCCCAGTCTAGGAGAAATCTCAGTTGCCAATTTCCTATCCACGTTGTATGCGACTCCCTCCCTAAGTCATGAAACCAGGTTAGCTTGGAGGATGTCTTTATGATGGAAGGGCTTGTACCCCTACACTATTGATATTGCGCTGAAAGCTTCCATCTTGCCCTTATAACTGAAGGTGGAGATTTTAGGATGATATTTATTGTTGGTACCACTATAAGCAGCTTAGTGATTTGAGTTGCATTCCATAGTTAATATTATGAGCTCTAGTAGAATATGTGGTAATCTTAAATTCTTTAATTGTATTTATTCGTAGCCCTACTTTAGTGGGCTTCTGGACGTTAAGAGGCAACACCCTATGGCATTTAGATACTATTCCTCTACAATCTCCACTTTGTCCTTGTCTGTCCGTTATTGGTAGGATGCACAGAGTTCGGAGTTGGAGAAACTTCACAGAATGCAATATAGTCTTTGATGTTCTTTACTATGTTATACGGCTCCTTATAGTACCACCAGGCAGCATTTTTAATGGTTTCGCCTGCATAGGATTAGAGGATTGCAGGAAAACCTGGAATCTGGGGTAATAGCCTTCCATCTATAGCCATATTCTAATATGAAGCATAGCCCCTTCCATGAGCAAAAAGTAAATAAATCCAAGTGCTGGAGGAGGCTCTGATCTTTAATTACTAACAGTGCGAACTATGCATTGTGAGCGTGGACCGAGGCAAACCCTATAACAGTAGATGCCAAGCAAGGGCGATATACATAGATGTTCCCTTCTTTCCTAGGTCTCTGTCTCGGCGAGGGCCCGATCAGACCATCCGGCTAGAAGAGAATTCGTACCAGAGACAACAAGAATGTGGTACATACGCCCTGCCAGCTACATCTTTATTGCCCTATGGCATACCTTTTGACGATCATTATTGACTTCCGCCCACACGGAATCGGTCTTTGAAACAGACACTGAAAGCGACGGTGTGCACTTTTGGAACCACCCATTCACCATCTGTGATTATCTTGGGACACCAGCGTATTGTACTATGAGGGTCCACAAAGGTAATAAAAAGTAACAAAGCTGCAGGGAAAATTATAGCTGCCACTATATTGACTTCGCTGCTGATAGATCGACCTAGAAAGATTCATGCAGGAGATAAGTGCACAGCTTTGAGCTTTAGAAGAAAGGGGCCTCCCTGTAAATACGGCGTTCTACTTGGATCATCTTTTGCAGCTCCACAGCAGCACCAGTGAGATGGTTTCATTGAAGCCTATAGGCCAAACAGGAAACAGTCAACACTCAATGTGGATTGCTCCGACTACTGGGTCAATCATATATAGCAACCAACCGGTATCAAATGATTCTGAACAGGAAGGTAGAGATGGCGACACGAATACAACGGCCGGCCGCCCATCAGTTTTCCAAGCTGACCACTTAACCTCCGAATCCCTTTCCAGTGATGGTCACACCGGTTACTACCAGCCCAAGCTTTGGTGGTGATCGCATGCATTGCCCGCCATCGGCTTTAGCAAAATGCTATTGCCATAGCATCTTTGCGACAAAATCACACGCAAGAGCTCCCAGGCCCCTGTCGAGCCTACCAATTCCTACACCAGCCTGTGGCCACCCGAGTTGACTTGGCTGCACAGGTTCACCCAAGGATTTGGCCATATCAGTCTGCGTTCCAGTAGAGCGGCTCGAAACGAGCCGCTCAATTTACATAACACCTTTGAACACTAACTGAACTACTTGTATTCACGATTTGCAATTATCTCACAACCGTCTGATACGCCGAAGGCAAACTAACGACCCGCTCAGGGGCAATACTAGAATAGTATGCTCGCCCAAACGCTGAAATTAGCATTCAACAGAACCGCACCAGGGCCATGCATGATGAGTCTGGCACGTGCCTGAAGAATGAGTATTCCATGCGGTCATAAAATTTTGGGGGGAGAATAACCAAGCCGGCGCCTCGGGCCTCGGAATGTTTGTCAATGTCCGCCCTCATACCATTGCTCCTATGTTGTAGCCATGACGTCAAAATATCGTTCACATACAGGGGCTCTGTCGTCCAGAAGACTGCCAGGTAAGGAGGCAGAAACAAGGCATATCTGTCTTGCAGATCCAGCGCAAGCTTCATCATTAATGGGTGCTCGGGTATGCTCGGCATCACATCATTGCCGACGCCAGATGGGCGTGTCTTGGGGAACCATATCAATAAATTTAGGAGAGGGTCCAGGCAACGCCGGCATCCAATATCTAAATCGATATATATTCCACCGAAATGCTGAAGGATGAGATAGCGAATGGCATCAGCTCGCTCACTGGGTAGGGATAACTGTCATATATGGGCAGGAACTAGACATAGGAGGTTATCCATTCTCTTGCAAGACTCAGGCTCCAATCCAAGGTGAAGGAATATCCACTGATTTGTAGGTTTGTTGTATATTCGTGGAATCTTTGTTGTTCCATTTGAAGTCAATGAACAATCAGTTGATTCATGGCGCCGGACTGATTCGTCCAAGACCTTCAGGTACTTGGTGCTGAACTTACTTGGAGAGAGGAAGTGGGCTTCTAAATCTGACGAGAAAAATAGTGCTTTCCGAGCCATTGAAAAGGCATAAGAAATTATGCAAATCAAGATTAAGAGACGCCCAACATAACGCCTGGTAAGATCCACACAACATAGCATGGTGATAAGCATGTCGAGCATGAGATATTTCAGAGAATTAAATGATATCTGGGCTACCTGCAGGTTGTATTTTTCTTCGAATGGGGCAAGTGCGAGCTGTTATAATACACAACCACCCAAGTTCCCACAAACTCGATAGGGCACTGCAATAATGGCAAAGACTTGTAAGTTGAGTTTCACCGAGTGTCAACCCCGTAGCTGATTTGCTTGTTCGGGAACACTTCTTTCCACTCCTGGCGGCGTTGTAGGCTATGAGCAATTCCCCCAGTCCCTAGAATCAGTAATACGGAAGCGAGTGCTCAAACACTGGACTTAATACCGCGGTCTACCTTGGTCTCAGGGTCTGCTGAAGAAACGCAGCGACCAACCGATTCAGGAGCTTCTTGTCCCTATCCAAGCTTTTCACGTAGCTATGCCCAGAGCCGTCACCTGACATGGAAGGCTTCCAGCAGTCGCACAACACCAGGAGACCATGTTAGATCTCGGTCGAGAGAGAACAGGTCACGGGCATATTTGCGGATTCTGCCGAGAGTTATAATTAGATTAACATCATCGGTCGTTTATGACACGCTCACAGGTGATCTGGTTCACCGCCAAATGCTGGTACGGATATCTATGTCGCAGCCTCCGTGCAATTCATGATGCGATGAGATACATTGAAAAAATGGTACCCTGAAATAGAATAGCACCGCCAAACTTCCAGCTAGTCGTCTACGCCAACGATCGGGGAGCTCTGCAGTCGTTAAGCCAGCTTTCTCATCCGCAGAGTGAACAGTAATTTCGAACTATCTATCGCACGTTTGGCCACGTTGAATGCTTACGGGGTTTACCTGCACCAGAAGGCGCAGTAACACGCAAACCTGTTCAACTGACATGCAGGATCATCGAAACCATACAGTATCACTCTCAAACAGCACCGCACCCTTTAACAATGCGATTGCCGTGGTTACTTCCGTCGCTTTGCCGTAAACGATAGAGTTTTATATACCGAGTTTAATCCGGTTCATATCAGATTGACTGGAAATCGAACTGATGTCTGACTGGTATATGAAAATGTAAGTCTACAGATGAGCAGAAGAACAACACAAAATCTTCGTCTGAGATACAACAATACACAAATTTTATCGGGTGGTAGTCGCTTCGTTGCCAGTTCGGCTTCCACAGTTGGGCGGGGCCACTGCTCGATAGCAGTTAATAGTAGTATCGTGGGTAACTCGTTGGATTATTTTCAGTGGCTTCGTAATCTAACTATGTAACTACGTTGGGTCGGTTCGGGCAGTACCGCACGGGAAGCAGCGTAGTCGATATTTGAAGCAACAGTTGACGTGAATAACCAAGTTACGGGTCAGCTATGGGTTGGGTAGCATTGCCCACCGCTGTCCCAGAAGTACTCCGGTTAACCCCGGTGGTTTTGTTAATACGGTGGGCCCTTGCAAGGGAGTAAATCCTTTCGGCTCTGCCGCTCTTGTGTAAAGCTGGAAAAGGCTTCTGGACTAGTAGTGAAATTGATGTAAGTTAATGGCTCATATCCAGTGCAACTTATTCATACAGTTATGGCCCATTCAACATATCATACCAATTGGTCTTCCAATTCCCAGGTTGCGTCCGAGCTTCTAAACCGCTGAGAAGACCTTCCAACTTGCAAATTCCCAGTAAGCGTCTTTGAACGCTTTCGGATTTTTACTCACAAACTCCTTACACGACCCAGGGCATTGATCCCCCTGGTAGACACTCTGCTGGCCAGCCCAGTCACCACAGAGATCTATGTTGGCAATGATCCTCTGGTTCTTGAAATATAAGCCGATATCACAGTCCGTCTTCGGAAAGTCGGCTAGGGGGCTTCCCCATAGTGAGGGATCAGGGGAATCACTCATGACATCTGACGGGACCGCAGAACGTCTGAAAAACCACGTTCTAATTCCTTCCGCCCTCCATTCCATTGCATATATCCCTCCGCCATTCTCGTTTAGTTTCTGTCCATACGTGTCTGGAAGCCCACGAACACCACACCCAGCGTTATTATCAATAGCATGATAGCAGTTAAGACCCATGGCCTGGCCTGTTTGCCTCCTCTCATGCTTCATCCGACAACCTTCCGCTGTATGGAGGGTCATCTGGTTGCCAGTTATAGCCGAATTAACAGCTTCCATGACATCGATTTCTCCATGTTTAGGCCAGTTATCAGGGTCCGTGAGCCAGAGTGCCGGCCATGTTCCGCAACCGTATGGTGCATGTGCGACATCGAAGAGGAAAAGTCCGGCGTTATAAGTGGACTTAGATGTTACGCGTACCGACATTCTGCCCCTAACGGCACTGCGCTCGGAAGTATCCACACGCAGAAATGCCGATGATGATGTAGCGTACGTCAGGTTTAAGGCATTTGAAGTGGAGGCATTCACGTAACTAATGGCGGTCAGCCCAGCATCACCAAGAGCCTGGTGCGTGGCGTACATCACATGACCATTTGAAGGGTCATTTCCAGTGAAGAAATCGAACTTATTAAAAAAGTCGCTCCCGGTATCTAGAGACACCTTATAGCGTAGGTCGAGGTTGGATAGGTCGTGATGGTACTTACATTCTTCCACCAGCTTGTATCTGAGCGGATGGTAGTCTGGGTACTCGCTTCTGTGACGGCTCAAGATAACACCAAGCATGATTGCAAGCGCGATCAAGACCCCAAAACTTGCAAAGCCAATCCATACCTTGAAGCGTCTGTAGCAGAAGCGTTAGATGCCGGCTTGAAAATGATACTGGGATGTCATCATGTTTATTGCTTTTCAGGCCATCGACCTACCTAGTTGTTTTGAACATGATTTCCGATCTGTTGAATATAAGAACGTTGAATAAATAGCATCCAAAACCTATATTCGGAGCTAAAGACAACGGAAAAGATGTTAAACAGATTCCCAGAAGAAACTTAAATTATGTGCAACTATCTGAATTTATACCAGTTTAATATGTGTTCTAAGCTCTGCTGGCGTGGACTAACAGTGATAGAATCTATCTATAGTAAAAGAATGGCGCAGCAAACCACACTACTCCGCTAATAATAGTTGCTTCGTGGATGGTACCGCGCAAGTGAACTAGCTGCAAGGCAGCATAGTTTATCTTGCTGGATATGCATGATTCTGCTATTGCATAAAGTCAAGCACAAAAAATGGAATAGCGCACGTTGCTCAACAATGTCCGGCTTAGCCCCGTCTCGAACAGTTAGTTCCAGCTGTTGTGATGCGGAATAAACAACGTGATTTTGAGCTGAATATGTGCGTACAATCGTCATTGCCTCTATATTTACTCCTTGCTTCATCCCTGGTCATCCAGTCGAGCGGCACTTGGTTAGATTTTCTATGGGACATTCCATAGGGTTTATTACGGTCTATATTCTTCCGACAGACCTGTCTCTTGAAGTCTTCATATGACAGGGAGGTATTCGTATCTCAAGGAGCTATATTTCGGAGGTTCTAGGCGTTTGGCTATCCCCTCTGCCCTACTCGAACCTCGCTAAACGCCCCTGTGTCGATTCCGGCACTTGACCCAGTCAACTACAGGAGGAAGCATGGAGGTCCAGGCGACACAATTACCCACCTTTTGGCCAACCCAACTTATCTACAGAGCCATATTGAGATGATACTCAATCGTGGCCAAAGGAAACCAATGCAGAATTGGGTAGGCCAGTCACCACTCCCGGAGTGAATGTGTACAGACTTGGGACGTGGCCGGTACTAGTCGCGCTGGTGAATTCGCGAAACACCCAGCGAAAGAATCAGAAGAGTCCGGCACGGCCGTGGTGGCCAGAGCTTGATTAACTGGCTGTGACTCGTCATTTCTTCTTTCTTTTTACAAGAGGGCTGGGAGTATCATGGTCCTTCACATAAGTTGCCAGTCCCCGACCGAAACCGCACGTCCTGAGTTTACTAGCCACAATTCCTCTTCAAACCCGCTTTTGACAGGCAGCTTTCGGCGCAGCCCCATTCTTGAGCATACTCGTAGTCTACGTGCGAGAAACGGTCTCTGGGTAGATTATACAGCGAGGTGTTCGAGCTGGGTTTGGTCACTTGTGCAGTAACCAGGATCCGCTACGGGGGGAGCTGGGCAATCCGAATGAGATGACGCACTGGGCCACCGACCTGTTCACCGACGAGGATCCGGATTTCTTCCTTCCACGCTTACCATGTAGAGCAACTCCATAAAGTCATCGTTCTTTAATGACATGGTTAATGCTGCCTTAGGGGGTCTGGAGCATAGAAACAATCAGCAAAATATGTGCCAGGTATTCCTCTAGTCTTACTCATCCAATGAGGTTTTCCAGTAGGCATCTTGTCAGTATCGAGTACTATACCTGGCTCGATCTTACTAGTAATCTGTCTGGAAGTGATGACCCATTGAAGGTCTGATTCTTCTCAATCTAATGCACCCCAGGTAATCTATATACTATCGGATGCGTTGTGATTCAGAGGAAAGTTGATAGTTATTATTCTTATCTGAAAACTTGAGGGTTTCTATACAAGCTGAACACCAGACTGACATTCAATCAATCTGCTTATATTCGGGGGTTTTTCCGTATACGAAGCTCTGATGTCTACTTGATAGGGCCTCGGTTCACGACAAACATAGTTCCTTCTACATCTCCTCATTTCCAGCTAACCAGAGATGAGCGACCGCAAATCCTACGGTAACTCTGCAATTACTAAATATAAAGTATGAAGATAGTGCAAAAAGCCTAGATGTTTTTAAAGGTCAAGTTTTACTATTTTAGACGTCGACATGCTTACCCTACAGGTAGCCGTCTCCGCCCATTACCCATACCACTACGCATGACCCATGGGCCATAGGTACGGATGTAGCATCCATTTCCCGCGCAGAGTTAACCCATTAAATACCCTATACAAGCGTAACTTCCCAACTAGGATGTACTATCCGTGATCCGGCTAATAAAGCTAAGCTTAGTTTGCAAAATCGAAAGACTCATGTAACCTCCAGGGTGAAATATAGCATCCATTCTTTTCCGTTATACGGAGTAGTTATGCAAAGATTTTGGATCAAGAGCAAATTCTAAAAGGCCAGCTGATCCGATTCAATGTGGCACACTAGTTCAACTGGCTTCTGCCCGCATTCCGTCCGCATTTCGTCCGCATTCCGTCCGCATTTTCGTCCGCATTTTCGTCCGCATCTCTGGAGACAGAAGATTAACTAACCACTAGGTTGGAAGAGTAAGTGACGTCTAGCCTGGGTCGAAACCCTAATAACTAATACACCTTAGAATAACCCACAGTCAAAATTTAAATATACGCCATTCTGCGCTAATTTTAAGTGTATGTAGACGCATATTCACGGAATGGAAAGGGGGATGCAGGTCTATTTCTTCGCAATCTATCTATATGTGTACTATACTAAAGCATGAATTTCTATAAATCAGCCGTGCTGAACTATAGTGCGATCGTATTGGCTAATCAAATATATAATGATATAATTCTTGATTAAACGAGCGTCTACTAGAACGGCGAGTGGCGGTATGGACGGGTTGATAATGTTAACTTGCTCTTTAAAAAACGACTGCTCCTAGCTTCAGTATCGTTTACTCGGCCTTTATCGACGCCATCCTCACAATTGGGCACCTCGCGTTGGTTGCTGTTATTTAATGACCCAGACGGATCTTTTAAAGTTCTGATGGAAAGCTTCCGCGATATGGAACGCAGTATCAGCTCGGAGGTGGCCAGATTCGAAACGGAAGGACTGTAAGCGGGCGAGACGGATCCCCGCCCCACTTGGGTCTTCCAAGCTCCTTTCTGGACAGCATTCCTCTCTTGATAGCGGAATTTTGCCACGTTTTTGTTATATACCCAACGGTTAGTATTCTTAGGTGTCATATTGGAGTTGTCGTCATATTGTGCAGAGTAACTGTTCTATAGGTATGTCTTTCATGGTCTGGACTATTGTAGTGTGCTTTAAAGTATTTGATTTTCGTAATATCCAACCTGGAGGCATATCAGGCGAGTGGAGGATGGTCGGGGGTAGTGGTTCCCCTGGGACAAAGCGGGAAAGTGTGCTGTTATTTTTGCTAGAGCTCACAATCAAGGAAGCCATCCAGCATGATAGTTCCCCCTTCATCTTCCTGCAAAGCAGCTAGTTCAAGACTCTATTTCCTGCTTTGCCCGACGAGGTCCAGACAACGCAGGTATTACATGTATTGCTTGCGCAGGGGATGGTTCAGCAACTATTTAACATCTGCTTAAAGTTGCGCTGTTATGGTGAGACATAGCTGCAGCTTTTTGTATAGAAGAGGCACGGCAGCCAAAATACTAGGCATAGATTATAAGGCTTAACTCTTCTAAAGTCACCCAACTGGTGTCCATAGCCTAGATGCTTTATGTCAGTGGTCGCATTCAATTAGGAACAGAAGGTGCACTAATACTAATGCATATATCATCTGCTTGATCTCAAGGGGAGGCCCATCCATGTTTAGGGATCTAAGAGATGGAATGTGGAAGCAGAAATAAGGGTAAGTAATCTTCCTTTTATATTAGAGAAAGGCTAGTGGGAGTGAAGTAGTATGTACTTTTCTATATTATTATACTCTTTTCTATATCTTGCACATTCATTTGCATTAGATCCCTTCTTAACATTCTCTCACTGTCTATTATTACTGATGTAGCTCTTCTTCCATCTTTACCTTCCTTCACACTCATGTTGAGGTAATGGAGTTGTTAAATAAAGCCTGCACTGAAATATCACTAAGCTTGAGAGAGTTAATTAACAGGATAGCATGGAGCTGCTTTAGATGACTTTAGAGCTTACCACAGCTATGGATAATATAGATAATTCTCAAGCCTAGAGGTGATGTACTAGAGGGAGAGTCCTATTCTGATAATGTGCCTTCCATAGCAACTAAAAAGTAGACAATGTCCCTACTAGATCTGTATTAGTGACTGAACTCTCCTATGGGTCTTTCCCTCTTAACTAGGGCAAGGTCAGCAAGACACAGATGGTTAGAATGTTAATAGCAGTAGGTTAACCCCCTTCACACAAGCTGCGGGGCCCTTTTGTAGACTGCTTGTACTTCTAGCCAGTTATTTCTTTTCATAAATCCACTTGTGTGCCTTCAAATTTGGGGGGATTGTGTACCAAACCCACAGGAGTACTATGACACACACTGTTGAGGACATTTGTTGCCTCAGCACTTCTTCTGAAACCACAAGTAGCTTCGGCAAATAAAGTGCAAGCCTGTCACTCCCAAGAGCTTCGGCCGTCCTATTAACCGGGAAGGCACTCGCAGGAATCCGGCATTAGGTCACAGAAACCCCGTATCCTGAGGATTTACGACCATTTTTTGTCATTTCCATCCTTATCCCAGTGTATCGCAATGTTTCAGATAATGAAAGTCCGCCGGTGAATGACAGATATAAAAAGCTATCAGTGCAAGAGACTGAAGACACAACTTGATGCTGAACTATGAAGAGTCTTCAGCCCGCAGAGATAGTCTCCCAAATAATCAAAGGTATATACTACGCCTAGTGTACACGACATTTCCCTGATCTTCTAGTCCTATGGGTAACTGTTTTAGATGAATTTGATGATTCTTCCTAGCGAGTTGCTCCTGTGCATCGCTGCGAGCCTACCCAGGGCGAAAGAGATCTTATTGTTCGTGCTAGTCAGCCGGACTACATCGAGCCTGTTGCTTACATCTCTTGACAAATTCAATATTCAGCATCAAAACAGCTCGGCATTGCATTGGGCAGCACGGCATGGAAAATTATATGTCGCGGAGGTGATGCTCCGCCACTACCGGCCTGATCTCAACGCCGTCTATCACACCTGTACACCCCTTGTGTACGCAACAATCCACGGATTAGAGTCGACTGTCAAGATCCTTATCTCCAACCCTCTGATTTTAGTCCATCCAATCTGGATTTGGGAAGTTCACTAGTATTGAATTCTTACATGCTCTTTTAGAGATACGACGCCATATCTTCAAAGCAATCTACTATCTTACCTGGCTTTCGGCTTACTGGGATAGTTCCATGGAATCCAGATATCGTGACCACAAACCTTCCAGAATATCGACCTTGTACGCCCGCTTCTGAGGAAAGTAATGAGATGATCTGGACCTGAGGAAGCACATCAAAGACTGTATCTCAATTGAAAACAGTTACTGACCAAATTCCCCACCTAGAAGGCTATGATCAAATACATAATATGGAGATGTTGGTTAAAGGTGCTGTTGCGTAGGCTCATCTTGTTGCCGCTCTCTCTAAGGAAATCTATGCCTGCAGCGCCGAAGGCCCGCAAACAGAGATCTAGGGCCTCGAAACGTTGGATACAGATAGGAGGCACAGTATCTAGCTCAGGCCTATTACGGATAAAGATACGAGGGAGACAATCAATCTACGGACGATATGGCGCACAGTGATGACGGATCGGGCAATTGATCGCGGAATAATTATCAAAAGTTAGCGACTAAGAAGATATAGTGGATCCTAGGGCTCTTTTATCTATAGGAAATACATATACTTCTATGGTTTGGGGTATAATGAATAATGAAGCTTCAAACGTTCTCTCTTCAAAGAATCTAACGTCGAGATGGCCTTACGTTGAGATGGCCGAGTCGCCCGCCAGGCGACCCTGTAACTAGGTGTCGGTTATGAAGTCAGTCCAAGTATTCCTCGTGAAGATGATAACGTTCATACTCTTGGACCTACCTTCAACGAATTCCGTTTACTTCAGAATATTCGACTATTCGATATTAGATTCCACCCTTACGTATGATTATGAGAAATTGGATGACTGATAAATTCGAATATTTGACTGTTCAGGCTAGTTAAATGCTGTCTCCTCTTGTCTCGTGTCTCTTATCGATCGTCTTCCGTGCGTGTTCTGTCCTAGCATTTGACATATACGGCTATCCGTTCTCAGTAAGGTACAGAGAAAACGGGAGGTATAGTAACATACCGTTAGCAAACAGTGCGTACGTATCCGCATTTTTTAGCGCATCTTTAGCACTCAGCCCCGTAGCAGCGCCGTATCCATAGCCTAGATCGTCCGTACCGGGCGAGTACACGCCAGGGGCATGGGTGAACTCATGCAGGGTGGTGGTGGCCTGGTCCTGGGCGTGGCAGGATTTGCTTAGTGCAGGGAGGTAGCTGTAGTAGATGTCGCAGTTGGCCACGACGTTGTACGAGGGGAGAGTGTACGCCAGGACATTGGAGTTGCAATAACCGTAGGGGTCAGTGCAGTAGTAGGTGGTTGAACCGGAAGACTGCGACCTAGCCTCGTTGGCGACGGCTCGGAAGCGCGCCGCTACGACGCTGCGCGTGCTACTGGAGGTTGTCTTGAAGTATTCTGCGAAGCGGGAGGAGGGTCCCGTAGCAGCAGCGCTGGCGGCAGCACTGGCGAGAGAAGCCGCGTTTCGGAGGGCCTTGGCAAGGGCCGTGGCGCGGCTACCAGAGCATGAGGTGACCTTTGTGCGGCGGTCGAGGGGCTTGACGCTTGGGGGCACAGTGGCGGCCTTTGCAGCGTCTATCTCGACCTCAATCTCGTTCGAGGAGTAGTGGATGTAGCCGACGATCTTATTGTCCGTGGCCACGGGAACGATGCCCTCACTGCGAAGGGTGACTATGCCACCCTCTGTGAGGTCGGCGGTGCTGGCAATGTCAAACTCGTCCTCGTAACTGGCACCGGGTGCGAGGGTGGTCAGGGCCTCGATAGTGAGGCCCTCGGTACGGAAGCGCTGCTTGATCCCGTTGAACTGGACTTCGGTGGCTGTCGAGAACCCAGGGTCAGGAAATATCAATTCATGGGAAACAGAGAGTTTACCATTGCGGTAGACGGAAACTTTCTTGACAGGTGCAGCATCTTTGAAAAAGTTGAGATGTACAAATGTGACCTCTTCAGTGCCGGTGTTCTTGACCACAGCCTTGATTTGGGTGTTGTGTAGCTGGCTCAGGGTAACACCAAGGGTTGGGCCGTTAGCATGAAGAGCCAGAGAGCCGAGGGGGAAGGCTAAAATAACAGAAGCAGAAGCAGTGAGATGCATGATGGAGAGACTGGCTTGAAAGTCCTATTGCTATTACCGTTGCTCTGCCGCACTGGTGCTGATGCTGTCAAGAGCTGTTGGGGCTATACTCGTATTTATAGAGGTCCTGACACGTTCAAGCAATTGAATCACAAGGAACAGCTAAGGTAACCAGCAACGTTAAACACGGAGTTACAGACAAAACGGGACGTTACATTGTATCACATCTGCAGAGTCTTAGAGCGAGAAAGATAAGAAATGGCTACCTGAAGACATCCTTCATTTCTCTGTGGTGTTTCACCAAGTCTGCATAGTTACTCCGCAAGCTTAATGAAGTATCGTCGCGAGCCAAGATGGAAGGCCGACGGTGCAGGGCTTAGTCCGCCGGAAGACCGTCTCTCTGCTCAGGCGATGATTATTCTTACATGCAAGTGATATATCCGAATTGGAAGCGCTAAGTCTGTGGACAAACGCTCGTAGATGAAGTGTTAAACTGGTGACGTCCATATGTCTGATAGAGGCCTGCCTCGGGCTAGTCTGATATGTAGGACCCATCTTCAATATTCAGGTCGCATTTGCATGTTCCTCCCCTACTAATTAAGATGGATAAATATGCTTGACACTCAAGGATTGATTAACTGTGTACTTGTCGAGGAAGCTGACAAGCGCACCTGAGCGCCTTCCTCAGACTGGGATCAAAGGGGAAGGCTAAAGGGCTTGCTTCTCGTATCCACCGAGACAAAAGCAATTAATGCAACATCCGGAGCGACGGAATATCAGATCTGTTGCGAGACACAGCGAACCCTAGCGAGGGTTCCGAGCACTTCTAATGTCCGTCATTCATCAAACACCAAAAACGATGTCCCGAATAGCGGTACCCATGGTGGTGATGGCTTATCAGCTCCAGGGAGTTCATGCTACCTACACCTGTGTCGATTTAAATCGCAAGACGTAAGGTTAAAGTCCGTTGGAGAATCTTGAGGAGGAGCCACAAATGAGCCAGGCCCACCCAAATTGCTTCTGATTATTCTAATGTGCATGACTCGACAAAGACTGAGGTTCGTAGCAGTATACTACCGACACGACATAGTGCATACAGTAGTTCAAATTGTCCTGCACGGATTTTCGAGTAGTCGGGAATGTGCGGAGTCGCAAACAAAGGGAAGCACACTACTTAGTTACTCATCGGGCCAGGTTACGCGCTGACCTAAGCCGGTATCGCAATGGAATCTTTGAATAAAAATCATAGTTTGTGCTTTGTGTCAATTTGTTCCACGCTTTGAGGCCTTTACCGTGAAACGGTAAAGAACGGGACCTTTATGCAGAAATTCATTGACTAGCTGCAGATGGGACACACTTGATGAGACCCCCGGCCGCGCGTTGGAAGTCTGGTTTCTTGGAGGCAGGTTCTCGATGCTTGTATTTCTCCAAGGCGGCAGACTCCGGAACTTCCGGTCGTTCAAAGCTGTTGATGGCTGAGAAGCTCGGGCACATTACTATCCAGAAATGCGGACGAAGTGCGGACCAAATGCAGACGGAATGAAGCAGAAGCCATTTGCCCACAGAATCAGATCAGCTGGTTTCTAATTTTTTGCTCTTGATCGACATCCTAATAACTACTCCGCGTAACGGGAGGGAACGGATGCTACAGTTCACCCAGGGCCCATGGGTCATGGGTCTAATGGTATGGGTGATGGGCAGAGACGGCCACCTGCTGGGTACGCATATCGAGGTCTTAAAACCTGACCTTTGGGAACATCTACGCTTTTTGCACTATCTTCATACTTTACATTTAGTTATTGCAGAGTTAACTTAGATCCGCGGTCGCTCATCTCTGATTAGGTGAAAACTAGGAGACGTAGAAGGACTATGTTTGAGAAGCTAGGAATCTCGGGAATGCCAAGATGAACATTTCAAAAAGTCTCCGTAATAGTACAACTGCAATGGATGGATGGTGGGGTTAGGCGCACGGCAGCCGGTACATCTGATTCAAACTTCTATACTTGCATGGAGAGAAGCTACAATCGGATCGGTAGTGAAGACAGCTATACATAGGTACACCGAGTCGATAGAGATTGGACAGGTATTGAAATATAGTACCACTAGGCTAAAAAGGTGTCCGGACATGATTCCTATCAGTCTAGGGTCTCTATTCTTTTCAACAACAGGAGTGAACCCAATGGTCGATCAGTATGATGGCAAGAAGGTATTAAGCGAGGAAAAATACAATACCACCCTATGAAACATACGTAATGATCTGGTCCCAAACCAGGTGTATATTTCACCAACATCGGTCAGCTCCTGCAGATACGCCCTCTTATCCGGGCCTGTCTAGGATCGAGAAGCAATATGGGCGCAGCTCTGAAGATGACTACACTCTCAACAAATATGAGAACCTGCTTAGCCGTCCAGCGATAGGAACTTGTTTCACAATCCCACTCAAATTTGACTCAGCCGCTCAGGCTATTTCTAGCTCCAAGGTCCAAAAGAGTCCGAAAATACCGCCGATTTTTGGACCACTTTCTTTTCTTCCGCAATCTAGTTGTTGAAAGGAGCCTCAATCTCATAACTGTTGTACGTGAACACCCGGCGCCCCCTTATAACCATCCTGCGCCACAGGCACCGAGAGATAATACTAACAATATCAGGCCATTTAGTCGGATCAATTGTAACCTCATTTTCACCCCGAAGGTGTCATTGCTGCCCAGACTTAGTGTACCATTCGCATTCTTCTTACCTCGGAGACTCGCTTCAGGTTGGTTCTCTCTACGGCGCTTCTTGAGCCTTCCAGCCGCGTCCATCTCTTGTTCTTGGGCGTATGATGTTGGCGGCTTCGAGGTTCGGCTCGACGTTAATGGCGGGTTGGGTGAGCGAGCCGAGCCTTCACTTCATGATGGTGGCTCTGAAGGCTTTCATCTGTTACAGACCTCAATAACTTCAGAGTAGATGAGATATCCATATGAACTGAAGTCTCCGGTTCGGTCAGGATTGTTCCGCTTGGGAGCCAGAAGGTTACAAAGGCAGTGGGGAAAGTGCTTGGGAAGAAGCCATCACCAGCACCTATACAGGAGAACGAGGTATCAAGTAGATCAGCATAGGCAACAGATGAAAATGGTGTATTTTTAGATAAATAGGTGTTGGGATTAGCCTCCTTAATATGTTTTGAGAAAGAAGAGCGGTGTGGCGCACACAAATTGTATCATTGCCACTCCAGTAAACATAGCATGTTTTGGCAAGTCCAGGATCCCCCTGCATATTCTCCAGGTCAACCTGTAACTATGCTGCATCTGCTCGACCTCGACCTACAGACAGATGTCCCCCTCGGCTTGTTCGCGTCTACTCATAGTACAGCTGGTTCAGTGTTCATCTGCTCTGCCCGTTGGAGGTTCTGAATTAACCCAGGGGATAGACCGAAATCAGTAACTGTAGGCACGTAGGGTCGGGCTTTTTCAAAGAAGTTATTAGAAAGAGCCACCAAGTAGACGGGAAAAGAAGTATAAACGGTAGAGGGACTGTTGGGAGTCTTCAGAGTTCGATATCACTTGAGATACTATTCGAGACTTCTTCAATATAGTAGGCGTCAACTCGTCGCTGCGAGGAATTTTAAGTCACCTTCAACAAAGAAGCTGGGGAAGGTTTAGGACCCATCGGGGAAGTCGATGGTCGCCACCCAACCTCGTTGTCTACATGCCAGAATCGTACCTAGCCCCTGGAGTATCATGTCCCTAACAAAGCTCATTTCGCGAATAGTAGTAAGATTTGGTGGCTTTTAAAGGCGGCCAGCGGTGATCGATCTGGTAGAGTAGAAGGTGCGACTGGATGCGTAAGGATGGATTGGAGGAGCGAGACATATCTAAATTGAAATGTGCTTATGTACGGATCTGTGTTGCATTAATATATTTGCAAATCCTGTTATTCATCTAATAGGAAAGCCGTCTACGCGGGTCTTGATATTATGAGGACCTTTTACATAGTCTGGTCTTCTTTATTAATACAGTCCAGTGGGTTGTTTGACCTCCTCATCAAATGATTCTTTGTCAGACTTGGTTGGACTGGAGAATCCCTCCTCCTTCTCTTCACTGTTGCCATCCTTATTCGCCTTTTCTGTCTTGCTCTGCTTCCCCTTCTTACTCATCTCAACCTCGTCATTCCTGATGCCCTTGTCTTCCTCCTGCGACTCAATTTTCGCATCCTTCTTTTTTTTCTCACCCAGTGTCTTCTCCACCCACGACTCGACGTGCGCAATGGCGTCTAATGGGGAATTTATGTGACACAACAGGTAGCCTTGGATTTCCGCTGGAGAGAAAGTGAACTCAGGAATCTTCTTGGTAAAAGTGGCGGCCAGCTGCTTTATGTCCACTTCATGGGTCTTAGGAAGACTCCTGGTGTGGTCCGCGGCCAGGAAGGAAGGGACCTTTTCAGCCGTCAAAGATTGAAGCGCATCAGCCTTGTTGTCTTGAAGATGTGAATCAATGCTCGGAAGGGCCATCTCTGAAGAGGTTTTGAAACATCTGCATCATCAGGTTGCGGTTGGCCAGCTTGAACTCAATCTGATAATCCACACGACCCGGCCGAATGAGGGCCGGATCCAGATTCTCCGGGTGATTTGTAGTCATGACGAGCACGCGGCCTTCCTGCGCTGCCACGCCATCGATTGTATTGAGCAAGGCAGATAGTGAGATCCTATTGTTCCTCTTTTGCCTTTGTTTGGAGTTATCCGGGCGTCGACTGGTCACTCCATTGGTGTCGATGTCTTCGAGTAGCACCAGGCATCGGCGGGGCAAACCTTGGAACAACTGTGCCAGCGCATCTTCGGTCAGCTGGGTGGCATTCAGGTCTAGAATATACACGTTCAGCCCAGAAACCCTCCCGCTGCGAAGGCTAGACTCGACTTGCCCGTGCCCGGTGGACCGTAAAACAGGTAGCCTCGTCGATAGGGGATGCCTCGATCGCTGTACCATCGCATGGTATGGGGATGGAGGTACTTCTGGACGTCTCGGATGAATGCGGTCTTGTCTTCGTGGTCGAAGATCACGGTGGACAATGGCCTGGCTGGACGCGCTGTCGAACGGGCCCAATAGAAGTCGTTGTCGTAGGCTCTCTTGGCGCCGCGATAAATCACAGTCTTGCCCTTTTCCTTCTGCGAGTATTCCACGCGAGCTTCCAACATCAGTTGCTTCAAAATCGATGCGTCCCATCCAAGACACGATATGCACAGTCTGTCGGTGCGCTTGTAGAACATGGTGCCGCGATCCTCGATCTGCCGGGTGAGACCCAGCAATCGGCCGTCATACCTGAAATAGTGGGTGCCTTCCGAGGGCGACCACAACAGCCGACGTGTATTCGCCAACGAGGCCTTCCATCCGGTGTCTGGAGACGCTTCGGCATCCAATATGTCGTCAAACTCACCATCGTCGGACTCGCTGGAGTAATCTAGGCCACCACTGAGGGATGTGCTTGCAATGAGGCGGTTCTTATTTTCATCGAACCGCTGCTTCGCTAACCAAAATAGAAGGTACTTGTACGCATCATCGTGCGATTGGACCTCGACGGTGGAATAGAGAAGGTGCAGCGGCACGCTGCCGACTTGGTCCAAGAGACGTTTCGCAAGGAATGACCCGACCGCAAAATACGAGAAGTAAAAGAACTTTCCGAAGGAAGAAGACTCCATTAGAAGACGAGAGGGAGGCCACGGCGTGCAGCAGTAGCGAAATGAGTTGGTGCAGAACAGAACGAGGAGGCCGACAAAGGCGTAGTATTTATTCATATCCAGCATTTTTCGGCGCCTCAGGCTAACCTGAATTAGTTTTGAGGCTGATGTTTATCTCTTTGGTTGCCACACATGTTTTTTGTGTTACTCTCTTTTTTTCAGGTCCAAATTCTTGCTTTATGGAGCTCAGTCGGAGTACTACATTGGAAGCTGCACTGTCGATCTCGCTTGACTGGTCAGGTGTCCGAATGCTTTTCAGTTACTGTTAGCACTACTTTTCTACTACGTAACTAGCATGTGCTTATGCCGTAGATCAGCCTTGGCAGAGCAGCACGTTAAGAACCCTTTGCTGTTGAAGGGACATTGTTCCATTGGACGCGAGTTGAAGAAACTCACCATGTTCGGATGAGTAAGTCATATCTGCATGGTCAACTACAGTTGTGACGCCACCATTGATACTCTCTAAACAGCCTCCAAGTTGACCCCAGAAGATGTCGTCGGTAGTGTAGTTGAACGATTGTATGTGGCCTGCAGATAGCATTTAGTGACCTGTATCAGGCTGCAATCTATGTGGGTATGAATACCAGACACCATGTATTTCATAAAAGACTGGCCCCCAAATCTCCCTTTCAACTATAGCTAGTAAGTAGATATTCCTAATTTTGAAGGAAATACTTTACCTGTGTTTGCCAAAGATGGTGATGGGTATCGATAAAGCCAGGAGAAATGATCTTCCCTGTGCAATCGATAACTCTCCCTTCATGATCACGCTGAGTCAAGTCCTTGCCAATCGCCTTAATGTTACCTTCGACCAGGATGTCGTGCTCCCTCAACGCCACCACATTGTCTCCTTCATGGGAGAGAACAGTATCATTCCGGAGCAGGATCCACGCCATGGCTCGATGAAGTTATTGACTATTCAATTGCAGTCGAGCTCCCCGCCGAATCAACCCTTCCCATCCGCGAAGGACAACGTAAGATATATTGACACGCCATCCAGACACCACCAACCCCAGAAACGGATCAAATCCCTCTTCCGGCTTCCCGTCAATCACGAGGCCATGGTATATTCCTTGGTCATTGGTGATGTGAAGGAATTGGTGTGGAACTACGTCGGGCTCCGCCACGCCCAAGTCCTGAAGACCGAATCTAGTTGATCGAAAATGATCCAACTTATTAAGCACAGAGGTAGTTTGTGGTGTTGCGGATCAGAGGAATCCGCCACAAGGCAACCTTGTGCGCGCCGGCCAACTCAAGCATTCTTGGAAGTCTAAAATGTGTTGAGCTCTGCCTCAGGGTTGCAATCTCGGCTCCCATATCGAGCAGAGACATCATGCGCCCGTGTTGTCGAGCTTTTGGCAAGAATTGTCCAGAGATTTTGAATTGTATGCTGAGTCAGGGGTCTCGTACCGCTTTCGCACCCGTCCTGATCCACTGGTGATCAAATCTATTTGGAGAGTTGCAGTCGAGGGAGCCAGCTACCGTTCGTTTCTTTTGTAATACAGCTTCGTTGGAATCGGCTTATCAAGTGCTTGTAATTAATGTAGCGAATAAATCGTGCTGAGAAATGGATATTCGGATTGTTCATTAATAAAGTGCAAAGTTCGGCATGATTAACTATGTGAACAAAGTTACATGTTGATGACGTCTCGGGACGATTGATGTCCCATCTCCGATTAATCCAGACAAATCTGGACGCATAAAGCTCCTTCCAGCTTTCACTGGTGAGATTAGAAGCTACTTAGTTTGATGTTATCTCTGACAGTGTGCTGCGGATAGGTACCATCATGGAATCAATGGACAACATTAATGTAATCGGAACTTTTAAAGTCGCCACGGCCTTCAGACCCCACCATTAGCTAAAAAGAGTGACAAGCTTAGCAAGAAAATTGTGGATGTGAACCCGGCCGTAGGCATAGCCAAAGGCGCCTCAAAATTCATCAAGGATGTTGCTCCCATCGTAATTTACCGTATGTCTTTCCATTAATGGTCTTTGAGCACGGCTGGACCCTTTCCATTATGTGTATAAACGTTTTGCCATACATTTGATGTTAGCTCAGAATGGCCTATATTTGAATATCCGCCTGTCGATTATTTAAGATGTATTAGAGTTTCGACCAGGCGCTAGGGGTCAATTACCTTCTTAAACCCAACCTCGTGATTAATATCTGTCTCCAGAAACGCGGACCTATTGCGGACCTATTGCGGACCAAATGCGGACCAAATGCGGACCAAATGCGGACCAAATGCGGATGGGAGCCATTTCAACTAGTGTGCCCCACAATAAAATCGGCTGGCCTTTCAAGATTTTGCTCTCAAGAACATTTTGTATAACCACCGGGGAGGTTGTACGACCACCTTCGCGTTTCGAATATCAAAATTTACTAAGTATCTAAACTCAGCCTACTGCGCCAGATCATGAATAATAGATCCTATTTGGAGAGTCAACGCTTGTATGGGGTAATTGATGGGTAACTTATGGGCGGGGAATGGGTGCTGCGTCGGTACCAATGGCCAATGGGTCATGAATCTAATAGTATGGGTAACGGGAAGAGACCACTACTGGTTGGGCATGCATGTCAACGTCTAAAGCTCACCCTGTTAAAACATCCAGGCTTTTTTGGCTATCTTCATAATTTATATTTAGTAACTGCAGATTTACCGGACGATTTGCAGTCGCTGATCTCTGGTTAGCTGAAGATGAGGAACTATGTTAGTTGTGAATAGAGGCCCCTTTCAAAAGACATCAGAGCTTTGTATACGGCATAGGTTCTGGATAGAAGCATAATGATTGGATATCAGCCCGATATTCAGCTTGTATATAAACCCTCAAGTTTCGAAGAATAGTAACTGTCGACTTTCCTGTAAATTACAACCCATCTGATAGTATATAATCACATTTGGGACTGTTGAAGGGAGGAGAAGCGGGAAATGAGTATTACGTCTTGGGATCTTGGCGCGGGTAATTCATAGGTACCCAAAAGATGGCAATATGGCGAGGTCTAGTCTCCATTGGACCAAACCTTATCCTCCCCGTAAAATAAAAGATGTGTAATAGTCTCTACCCTAGTCAGTAGAGAAGGGTTGCCCGGTCAAAATCGAAACCGTCGAAAGATGGTGGTTGCTCAGCCGCGCAGAGTATACGATTCCTGTGGATTGTGAGCTTGTGTATTTCAAGATCGTCGAGAAAGGTTTTCCCTATTCTCGGCCTCTACCGTAATCCTCAGCAACGCTTACATGTTCAGAGGCGTCAGGGATGGTGACATCTGCAACATTTTATTGTGAGCCAACCCAGTTGAGAACGCTCTGTTAGGAAAGAGGTATCTTAGATTCGAAAAGGACGGTCAGACAGCAAACTTGCCTATTAACACTATAAACACACCCACTCATCACATCATAACCACGCAGTCAACGTTAGCTTGCCATACATGACATAAATGACCTCTCAGGAGGAGGTCTGGAAGGGAATTAACGACTCGTAAGTGGCAAAAGCACCGCAGGACATGGAGAAAGACAGCTCTCGGCGGGCGACCTTTTGCAAGTTATGCATTAAAATAGGAAGAGAAACTTTATATGAATATCACCTGGCCCGAAAGCAAGTAGGCCCAAGCTGAGCTCTCTGCGCGGCCAATAAGAGACCGTCTGTCTTCATACTTTCACGAGGCAGCGACACGTACCGAGGAGCTTCCAAAGACACAAACATCATGCTGATCTATTTCCGGACACGCCGGCAGGAGGGGGGTCCAAAAGAGAGAAGGAAACGTGTAGTAGTTCCAGCAATGTGACAAAAAGAAGAAAGACTTAAGAGGCTTCCTTGTACTTGTTTCTCTTGCCTTCGTCCCCTTCCAGGGATCTGTGGCCTAAGACAGGTTTCACATCCGTAATCATAGTGGTGTCTTAGTTGAACAATTCCACACCTCCCCGGTCAAACTTTACTGTTTTTAGGAAGCCTTTGCCTCTTATTCAGTCTTGGATTTGCCATGATTGTTGTCTTATTAATATTTTCTTTGCATATAAAGTTTTATAGGGCATCGAATGACGTCTTTCGACGTCGAAAGTCACGTTTAAGTATGGACAAGCTAAAGGTGCACATGAGCAAAATATGCAAACTTTGGGTCAAACAGCAGGTCTACCCATGGCTACCCGCCAAGAACCCATGGCCGGGTACCCTATGGGGGTGTCAAATACAAGAACCAGCCTTATAATACGGAGTACAGTGTAATCTATGGATACCTAGGCGATCATTCCAGGTGGCTGTTTAGAAACTAGTGTATTGTACTCCTGTAGCCTAATAACTCTGTTTAAAATATCTATAGATAATGCATACGAATGGTTGAGATATTTCAAGTCTAGAAGTGCCGTTTTGTAGAGGAATATATATCCGCGGCTTGGTCGTATTCGCGACTCAACCGTGGATTACGTTAGAAGTCTCTTATAGTTACGTAAGAAGGAGCGAAGACCTGCATCGATCATACCTGCCCCGCTCTGTTTCAGGCTTAATCTCAAGGAACTCCGCAAAGCACGCCTCGGTAATTGTCGGCCAAACTTATCAGTCAGAGGCTGCTTCAGTGCTTTCGCTGTGTGAAAAGTGCTTACGTCTTAGTTGGAATTACGATAGTAACTAGACGACAATGCATGTCGCTAACCGCACAAAGAGGATGCGGAAAGGGACGCATAGTTGCTGGGAATGTAAGTCAGTCGCGCCATTGACTTACGTTCTCTCTATCCGGTTGTGAACTTTGGGAATCTCGCGGCGAACCTGGACTAACAAAATAGCCAAGGCCGTCGAAGAAAAAGACGGTGCTTCTTTGAGCCAGGGAATTCTACTGTCTGTTCGCAGTGCTATGCGCGCGGCTCTGCTTGTGTTGATCAGCGATGTGTCGCAGACAATACAAGGGCTGACCTGCATGGAGGCCTTCTCGAACGCATGTCTAGATTGGAGGCGATGGTTGACGACCTTGCTGACAGGAGTCTTGATCAGTCTCCTGAGCTGCTGAAGTCAGCAGATCTGGACATCGTCGCCAGAGACGCAGTACCTCTCATGTCCATGTTTGACAATGCTGTTGTACGTCTTTACCCTGGTCGTCTTAGAGCATAGGCTGTACCAGGTGTGGCCATTGGATGTCGGACCTAATGTAGTTTTGCCTAGCTCTCCCGTCCTAAGAGCGGTACAGCAGATCAGCCCACCGAGAATACCTGCCACCCAGCGTCGGAGGGCTCGAAGATGCCGCCACCAGGTCTCTGCCAGTGGCCTGCCCATGGAGTAGCTCACCGGGATGCTACTCCTACAGCGGCCCCGAGCAATGGACCGGACAACATGTACCAGCGTGCACGTTCTGCCCTTCTCATGGCCATGCCTCCATTCGCAACGATCCTGCGGACAATACAAGGGAAAGGTCAGTGGTGGGAACAATGGCGACAAAAGACCTTCGGGTCTGCGGAGCCAACAGAATCGTTTTCCCAGTTTGCCGACCGCGTTTACCGCAGCGGGCATCCGTCAGAGGTGGGGCAGCTTGCCATCGCTTATGGTATGGCTGCTGATACGTCCAACCTCTTCCGCTATCTGGATTCCGTCGAACGTTGGGTCATATCTAATGATGAGTACGCTTCTAGCCCTGAAGGAATCGAATGCATGCTATTGCAGGGTAAATGCCTCGCAGATATTGGGCAGCCACAGCGCTGCTGGTCCGCGTGGCGGCGGGCGCTTCTCTATGCTGAGTTAAGAGTGAGTATCCATACCGGCCTTTATCTACTAGGGACTGGAATTAAAGCGACTAGGGCCTCCATCGCAACCATTCTGCTTCTGATTATGGTGATCGCATTTGGTGGTCGCTTTTCATAGGTGACCGGTTCGCGAGCTTGTTCCTTGGCGTTCCTTACGGTATCAGCGATAGATTCTGCGATATTTCGGTTAGGGGGGAACCTAGCAGCTCTTACTATGCCCTGCAGCAACTGCAGGCAAAGGTTGGCTTGATCATTGGCCGCGTCATTGACCACATCCATTCGGGAACGACGGAGCTCGCTCATAACGCCACGAGTCTGGACCATGAGCTAGAAGAAGTTGCTTCCTCCATGCCTCCTTCCTGGTGGGACTTACCTGCCGCATTGCTATATACCGATAAGGATTTGATGGACGTACGATTGAGGCTGTCTTTACAACTGTGTTTCCATCATGTGAAGACTTACTTGCATCTACCATTGATGCTACGATATCCCAGCAATGCGCATTGCAGTTATAATACGGAAGTCTGCCTGAAATCAGCAAGGGAGGTGCTGCGCCGCTTCCTTTTCCTTCGCAAGAAGAGACTCGGAGCTGTCCTGGATGAATGCCGGACCACAGACTTTATTGGGTTTACGGCCGCAATCATCCTGATCCTAGGGTTGTTCGGATACAATTGGAATTCTCGGCATCGACAGGGGCAGGATTCGGAGGACTTTCAGATACTGAAAGAGTCACTACACGTGTTCAAGGACAATTCGACGGCCAAGGAAGAGAGGTTAGCTGCAAGATGCTTCGAATCATTGGAGGTCATCCTAGGCGCCATCGGTCCTGAATCCGTTCCCTGGATGAACTGTGGATGCGTTCTCAAACTTACAGTTCCGTATTTTGGCACAATATCCATAGTGCGCAGAAGCTTGCAAAGCGACACTCGGGATAACATTCAGTCAGCCGTCTGTATGCCTTGCGAAGATCCATCAACACGCAACCATCAGTTAGGTCACTGTCAGGAGTCAGGTCCAGGCGGTCCTGGAGCAGTGTTCTCCTCCGACAACCCCGGAAGTGCCTTACCTTGTGAGGAGGAGGCGTTCGTCGAGTACAGTGGACTCTATAGTACAAACTACGGAGCAAATGGCACATCGGAATGTGGACCACTCGCGGGTGGCCATCCTTCTACAACTTGGCAGGATACGGACAAAGATTGGGTCTGGTGGGAGTCTATTTTCGGGAATGACAGGAACTCCCCGCAGCAGATGTGAGCGGCTTGCGAAAAGCAGTTTTAAGCGTTAATACTACCACTTCGGAAGACCGTAGCATCTGTTGATTGTGGATACGACCGTACTGTCTCGTTGCCTCCGATCCAATTATGGAGAAACACTGGTATTAGCGGAATGCGCTGCCAGCATTCGAATTGTTGCTAGCCCATTCTTCCTTGTAGGGCTCATTGATGTTGGACGATGAGATGGAGCTCCCCTTCTACGATTCTTCTTATATTGTCCACGAATCTTCTCCACTCGCAGATACTGATCCGATTTTTACACGTATTCTTGCTTATCTCGAGCTCATCGTAACAAAAGCCAAATGCTGCATTGCCTCTTAGTATGCAATAGTTGCCTCGACCTACGCTTTTTTGCTCCGTTCCGCAACAGCAGCAACTGAACCGTTTGGTTCCGAGCAGGCCTTGTGATCTCTGGCGAGACAGAGAGTATTGGTCGGTTCGGCGTTCCGGTAGAACCTAGTCGGTTAGTGGAAAAAACGAAGATTAGCACGGTATGGCCTCCCGGCCGAAATGCTCGCACATCGGCTTGGACGAGCTACCCAATAATCCATATGCGACCCCTCATCCATGGAGATACCAATCACCTTGCGAGGACTGTCTTAGGAAAGGTCGAGCAGCCACTTCTAGGACGGCCTAGAAAGATCACTTCCCATCCTTGACTTGAGGATCAACATCGCACAGGCTTTGGAAGCTTCCGCTTGGCGGTGCCCATGGCAATGAGAAGAAGATCGAGCATGTCCGTTTTGTGCAAGAAATGTCCTACGATTAGCCCGACAAACTATAGGCTTGGCTGTTAGCCTCTTAGGCGACCCGCTCTCTCAATATTAGTACACGATTCTATTACCCGCTCCTCTTCTAGCCCATATGTACTGATTGCGTTATGTGATGTTACCACTGCACTCTTAGTACGGCCCATCGAGCATTGTTTAATCTTGTGAAATTATATGCCGCGATGAAACAATAGTCAGAATCTCGGAACCTGTCATATCCGTTTAGAGTAGAGCTGCATTTGGTGCGGGTTCGGGCGGGTTCAAGCCTAGTTGGCACCAAACCGCTGTGGTTTCGGGTTCAAAATTTAGAACCCGCACCAAACCCGGACCCAATGCAATTTGGTTGCGGTTTTCACCGCAAAACCCGCTGCTAGGCCTATACTAACTAACCATAGTTAAATTCGGTTCAGTTTCGGGTTGGTTAAACCGCTAATTTAACCATTTTAACCCTTACCATTCCCCCAGGGCCCCCTTCGGGACCCCTCTGACGCCCCCTATCGAGCACGCTTATATAAAATTATAATTTTTATATAAAATATATGGTAATTATCATCATACTAATCTAGATCTAAAATATGAGTTCTATATCTATAGGTTAGAATGGGTGGTGGCTAGAAAATATAGTGGTTGTTAATCCTTAGTTATATGTATTTATCTCTCTGCACCACTTTCATACCAACCTATGACAGAGATAATTATTCCCTTATATCTCAGCAACCACCAGGTATTTTTAAATGATATTTATATTACTAGATAGCTCTTGATTCAGGCTATCTAGTTAATACTGATTAAAATATCTAAAATTTAATGATTCCTAGGTAAAACGGTGCGGGCTGGTTAACCTAATCTGATAAAACCGCAAAAACTGTAACCGGCGGTTTTAACCGAACCCAAAACGGTTCTGGGGTAGAGAAACCGAACCAGAAGCGATTCCCTACGCTTGCCCCCGACCCCGCACCGCTGCGAGTTCGGTGAGGTTTGGGTTCGATTTTTGCGGTTCGGTTATGCAACTCTAGTTTAGAGGCTGGCCAACAGTTGCACTCCATCTATTTCTAGACTTTGCGCTATGGTATTTACGGAGCACTGCCATATTCTGGTTCAGCCAATCATATCCTGTCTCCGTCTATACAATTTGTGCTCGATTGAACAAAAGTTCCCAGTAAATCGTTTCCGATCCCGCAATATACAGCTATACACGGCAGATGGAAGAGAGTCAAGTTGATAGTAGAGTACTGTGTGGATGGATTGTACATTCGCACTCCCTCCCTAATCTAAGGAGCTTTAGTTATTAGAATTTCGACTCAGAGCTAACGTCGCTTACCGCCTTTGAATCCATTTAGATCCAACCTGTATTGATCTCTGTCTCCAGAAATGCGGACGGAATGAGGCAGAAACCATTTGAACTACTGTGCCATCAGATCAGCTGGTCTCAAAATTTCGCTCTTGATCAACGCCTCGATATCTACTCCCTATAACTGAAAGGAACGGATGCTATATTTCACCCAGGACCCACGGGTCATGGGTCTAATGGTATGGGTAATGGGCAGAGACGGCCACCTGTTGGGTACGCATGTCGAGGTCTAAAACCTGAAACATCTAGGCTTGTGCCTATCTTCATACTGTACGTTTTAGTGATGGAGCGTTACCTTAGGATTTGCGGTCGCTCATCTCTGGTTAGCTGAAAATAAGGAGATATAGAAGGAAAAATGCCAAGACAGATACTTCAAAAAGGCTCCGTCTGCCAGTCAAAGTGCACTAGTGTTGTACAACTGCAATGGATGGGTGCGAATAGGTACACGGCAGCCCGTACATGTAGTTCGTTTCTCCGACAAGTCTATCGAGAGGTCGAAGGGGCTGGGGCCCAAGTCCGGGTTAGATATTCCTGGGTGACTCAGAATAGATTAGACTTCTAGAGTTACATAGAGAGAAGCTACAATCAGATCTGTAGTGAAAAACAGCTATACATAGTACACACCCACTTGACAGCCACTGTCATCAAAGTTATAGATATCCTATTCAAGAATACGATATTTTACTATGGTATTCTTAACAAGCTTAAACCATTGATTAATGACTTCTGGGTTCTCGCATTTTGCACGCTGGTAATCTATTTGCGAGTGAATTGTGATATAAGATCATCATGCTGCCAATAAAGTTGTCGACCCAGTCCTTTCTAGTAGAAAGCCTTGGATTCCGACGAGATAGCAGGATATCCGCCGTTTTGCGTAAGTGTCCTGAGTTGGTGGTAAGCAGCGCTCATCTTATCCAGAATCCATTACTTTAAGGAATAATCCTCTTCTAGACTGCTAAGCTTCTGGCAGTGAACCGGTATATTAACCCTTGGCTTGCGGCCGCAATTCGACGTGTAGGTGTAGATTGGTTGGGTGGCTCGCTCGGTCGTGGATTATGTCAACCAAAAGAAGCCAGCCCGACTTGTCTCTGCTCAGCCTATCAAGATACATCATGTAAGCTAAATGCTGCAATATACTCTAATATAGCCAGAAAAAATGCAGAAAATTATGCAAGCCATAAGATGGGTATAGGGGGAGCCCCAAGCCCAACCCCATCCAACCCAGAGGGTTCGACGAGGCCTAGGCGGGCCCTGAAGAATACATTATCACAGCGTATAGGACCTGGGATAGCCAAGTGATTTGAGATTGGTGACAGTACAGGATAGAAGGGATAGACTACTCTTTCCAGCTGCTTCCGCGAATAAGGCAGCTTACGATAAAACCCGAATCTATTGCCAGTATCTTGGCTCATCGAAAACATGGTAATGATGACCACGAACACCCTCGCCGCGGAAGATTGCGGGGAATCGGCGACTCTCAGCGACCATTATCTCAGGAATGCGCATTTCATCCTCGGGCTCAGGCTCTCCGATGACGAATTTGCCGACCTAGTTAAGCAGGTTACCATATACGAATAGACCTGGTAGACGATTATGTTAGAAGCTTACCTGAATCTCAGTATCAGTAATACTATCCCGGCTGATTCGAGCATAACCTGTCCGCTTCAATCTCTTGTAAAGAATGTATTCGCACCAGCGGTCCCCGTCAGTAGGGTCAATATCCTTCATGCCACTGAGCTCGCTAACATACGTGTTGTAGTTACCTTCAAGGGGCTTAGTGACAAGGTAGCTTAGCAAAACCACTGGGCGAGGTGATTCGCCCATCAGCTTTGCCAGATACTGGGACTGTAGGCGTCGGTCCTCCGCGTCTTCCTCCTGTCCAGAGTGGAAGACAACAACGTCAACCAGCTCACCATACATATCCAATGTTGCGTGAATAGTGGGTGCCAGTTCGCCAACGGGCGAAGGAAGCAGATGGTGGGTTGAGTTGACGATGGGGAACTTTGAGAGGAGAGCAGCGCCCCATGTATGCTTGTTAGGACCAGGTCCAAAGTCTGCATACATACCCAATTCTTCTGCCAGTACTTGACTAATATCGCGATTACCCATGATGATGCGCTGGGTGTCAGATTCCAGCAGACCAATCACGTCAATCTCAAGCTCCTTGATGACATCGCGCATACGTCGCTCCGAAGACCACATATCGTTGTCAAGACCAAAGTGAACAGTCCAGATACCAAGGGTGGCAACCTTGTCCTCCTTGTGATACGGTGTGTAGTCATTGGTTGGGAATCGCAGATATGCAATGGTGATAGAAAGAAGCTGCAGCACGGCAAGGACATACACATAGTACGACCGCTGCCTCCTGTGGCTCGGGCTGATAGTTTTGGCCTTCAGGTTAGAAAAGTTTGTAATTGCGGCAGAAAAGACACCAGCACCAATGCAGAGCATGGTGGCGGCCATGAGCCAGTCTGTGTGCTCTCTAACAAGAGGGCCACCGGGGACAAATGCATAAGCAACAACCCATACATGGAAGAGGATTAAGAAGACGTAGACAAGGCCTCCGAGACCGAACGTCGTGGCCGGAGAATGATGAGCAGCTGAAGAGATCAAAACAGGGGCAACGGCCATGACATAAAACGCAAGGGCCAGGCCGCCATAGAACCCAATCCAGTGGCTGTAACATGTAAGCAGCGCAGCTCCGAGAGAACCGATACTGAAAGCAGTCCAGCTTCCAGCGACGCACGGGCAGAAGAGACCATATACAAGACCCGCCCCCATCAAGAAGATTGTAAACGCACCGTGAGGCACGGCGATTGGTCCTCTCACTGGATATCCCTCCCAAACCCATGAAATCATGGTGCTGGAATCAGACAGAAGAGAGTGCATAGCAAACAGAAGACCACCAATACCGAATGCGGCTAACAGGGAAGGACCCTTCTTGCCAGTAGACGGGAAATAGTCACCTCCACTTGGTACAGACTTCCTGTGAGATCTGAAAACAGCTAAGATACCAAGGAGTAGACCCATTTTATTCCATCCACCGTTCTCCGCATGCATAGTGGGCCAGACAGGGTTGTTAGTGGTGCATGCAAATTTGGCGACGCTGGACATGATCAAACCAATGCCCCAGGAGAGGATCCAAGACTCCAAGCGGGAGCTTTGGGCCTTCTCCGCATGGAAGATACCAGACCATGTGAGAGCATTGCAGGCAACACTGAAGGTAGTAACGAAGAGTCTGTTGGTAGGATTCTGCACCTTGTAGGCGAGCAGTCCAGAAAGTGACAGAAAGTGGAAAAGCCGCGGGTGCTTAGTCACCGCAGTCCTCAGAGTAGGAATCGCAAGAAGGAGAGGTGACATATAGGCGATAATAACAACCTCATACCCAGAGATACCCATATGCCAAAGAGGGAAATCTGGCATTATTAGATATAGTCTTCAAAATACAGGAGCTAAACTTACACCAAACAAGAAGTGCAAGAGCAGTCGTCATCGACCAGAAGACATACTGTGTTCAGTCAGCAAATGTGCTGGTGCAAAGAGAATTATTGATAGATATTACCCCGTTGTAGGCGTCTGCGGCGGCGTCCAGGGCTTCAGACCAAAAGAAACCCTCATCAAAAATATTTCCAACAATCTTGCCCTTCCTACTACAAGTCAACATTGGAGTGCTGTGGCGGGTTGAAGTACAGACTCTTTGTCAAGGACGGCGTCCGCAGTGGTCTTCAACTGCCTAAGGTTTCGAAGCTTAGAACATGTTTCCAAATCAGAATAACCAAATCTCAGACACTACATCTTTCATATTTCGCGCAGCGTACTTTGGAAGCCACGGTACGTACCCTCTGCTGAACCCCTTCACGTCCCTCACTACAATCTCAAACGCATCAAAATCCAATGCCGTGACCGCATCGAATCCCACATCGAACAAGATTAGAGACCATTCGAAGAAGGCATATTTGGTGTAAGCTTGGGGGAGAGTCGTTAGAGCACAGTATGCCAAACAAAGAACAGACGTGAACGCACCACCAGGAACCTTGTGCACCTTGTGCTGGATAAAGTAGTAGACCAATGGTAGCAGAGCACCAAAGAAAAGACCTGCCATGATCTTTCTGTATTTCACAGCGCGGCGGTTGTTGGGGCTGAGTGCCAGGCAACCAAGGGCCCAAGGAAATGTCGCGACGAGGTAAGAAATCATGAAGATATCATGCCAGCCATGGACATCAGTCGACGTGACATACGCCCAACCACCACAGGTAAAAGTCCGGAACAGTCCAACACCAGCAACGATCCTGGGAAGAGTCGACTTAGGCCGTGCAGTAAGAAGATACCAAAGGAAGATGAGAGCGAATCGAGGGCCGGAGGTAATGGCGATGAAAACATGAAATAATGAGCGTTCCGGATATCGGTCACCAATCGCAGCTGACACTGAAGGGAACCATTCATCTGGATATCCATAGTGTTCGTTCCTTACAATCTTGTGGAAATGCAGGGACATTCCCACTACCAGAGCGATCAGGAAGGCTGTATAGGCGAGCGCTGTATGTGTCCATGATACCCATTTACCATTAACCTGACATTGTCTTAGTGGAAGATCCGGAACTATTCAAGATTGTATCGGCTTACCGCCACAAGGTCATCTCCATATTTCAATTTGGGAGCCATAGTAGCACAAGAAAAACAGGGACTCCACGCGCTCGAGCAGTCAGAAAGCCACGACAGAGTGCAAAAGAGTATAAAGGAGTGTCAAAGATATAAAGCTCAGAGAAAGCAATCAAACCAATAGGAAAAGTTGTCAGCAAGTAGAGAAATCTCCTGAGATGTGAAATGATCAGGCTAGACCCCGGTAACTCCCGCAGCAGAGTGCGCAGACACATGCAACAATGACACCTTTGCCTGAAAAGAGGAATGATGTTACAGTAACATTTCATATGGCTGTCCAGAAACATACAAACGTTGTACCGGCCAATAAGTTAAGCCCAAAAATAACTCATTTGTGCCAGTAAGGTTGGGTAAGTCTTATGTTCTTCCTTTTCCCATCATAAAAAAGCAGTGTAACGGGACCTTTGTATATAGTAAATAGAGTTCCACTCGCAAGACCATTTCCGCACTAGTCACTGCGGCTGACCCCAAAAGGTCCCGACTACATCCTCTCACTAATTCGGAAGCTAATACGTAACGTACCTAAACACGCAAATCCTAAGATTTGGTGGGAGGATATAAGGTTTGGTATCGCCCCGCCACAGGACCGGCAGACGGATACTCAAGTATCCGTCTCGGCATGCCCGGGATTCCCCCTACGTCAAACTCATGATACTGAGCGATCAAGGCAATCAGATTAGAGCGCCTATAATTGTTTTGCTAAGTTGTTTGCATTATTGTTACAAATTTGCCTTCCGGTACACCGGCATCTAAGCATGACTTCCACATCTTAGTTCTTGGTGCTGCAGGTACAGCACAGTAATAGCCTTTTTTAACCATGCTATAGGCCAAATGCAACTGAATATTTGTCTAAGGGTCGCCACGAATGCACCGCCTCTTGTTGCCAGAATGAAATGAGCGACGATCCAAATATTTTCAGAGAGCCCTTTTATTGTCAAAATAAAATTTGGGAAGCAGAGATATATCCTACGAATGATTTTCCTCCTAGAAATGTGTATGTGTATTTTACGGGACCATGGAAGCTCCTCCGTTGACACCGGAAGCCATTTTAATAAAGAAGAAAAAAGTAGCAAAGATTTGATGAGGCCGGATGATTCGGCGAAGGTCCTACTCCAGTCTTCTCATACTGTAAATTGTGCTGGCACCATATATGAAGTAACCAAAATCTCTGCAGAGAGCTTAGTAGAGTCACAAAAAGAAAAAGATATCAAGCTGATAAACCACCCACGTTTGGACGTTCTTCTTCAAACCCGCTGCAAAGTAACTGGCTAGACCTCCCTGAAAACACTAGCACGATTTGAAGAACAATTTTGAGTACTAACTGAAAGGCTTGTATTCACATTTGCAATCAGCTCCTTACCGTCTGATACGTCTAAAAAGAAGTAAAAACCCGCTCAGAGACAGTAATAGTAAACTAAGCTTGCCCAAATGCCGAAATATCCATTTCATCAGAACAGCATCGGGGCCATGCCATGATGAGCCTGGCACGTGCCTAAAGAAGGAGTACTCCGTGCGATCGTAGAATTCTGGGGGCAGAATAACCAAGTCGGAGTCTCGGGCCTGTTTCAAAGGAAAGATGTTGATGGAATGGTCGGTAACGTCGGCATTCATACCAATGCTAATATATTGAAGCCATGACGCCAAAATATCGTTCACGTACAAGGGCCCCGTCGTCCAGAAGACCGCCAGATAAGGAGGCAGATATGAGACATGTCTGTCAACTAGATCCAGCACAAGCTTCATCATTAACGGGTGCCCGGGTATGCTCGCCATCACATCATTGCTGACTCCATATGGTCGAGTCTGGGGAAACCATATCGATGAATTTAGGAGGGGATCCAGGCAACGGCGGCATCCAACATCTAGGTCGATATATACTCCTCCAAAATGCTGAAGGACGAGATAGCGAATGGCATCAGCCCGCTGTATTGGGTAGGGATAACTGTCGTATATAGGTAGGAACCACGGATAGTTGCGATATATGAATTCCCTAGCTGTTATATCGGTCCACAAGAAGTGGGTATAGGAGGGATTCATTTCCTTGCATGACTCTGAGGTCTCTATCCAATTCGAAGGGATATTCGCTGACTTGTATGTTTGATGTATGATTCGTGGAATTTTTGTTGTTTCATTCGAAGTCAATGAACAATCAGTCGACTCATGACGCTTGATTGATTCGTTCAAGGCACTCAGATACTCGGTGCTGAAGTTGTTGAGAGAGAGAAAGTGGGCCTCTAAATTAGATGAGAAAAAGAGTGCTTTCCGGGCAATTGAAAAGCCATAGGAGATGATGCAAATCAAAATCAGGATACGCCCAACACGACGCCTGGTAAGGTTCACATAATGTAAAATGGTGCCGAGCATGTCTGGCACGAAATATTTCAAGGATCCAGAGTACAGTATCTGGTTGACTGTAGGGGGATTTTCTTCGTTGAGGGACACGTGCGTGTTATATACACGGTCACCAGAGTTGCCCCGGTCCTCTTCTCCCCAACCGGGGCCTTCGTCCCCACCCAAACACCCGAGAACGCACCGCAATAATGGGAAATGGGAAATGTATGTCACGTTACGAGCCCTGAGAGGCAGAATCTGGAAGGTCGCGAGACAGTGCGCTGGGTGATCCGCCAGTCTCAGCCTCCATTCTTTTCCAACGCTAGGTAAGGAATCTGTGTATACATCCCATACCTATGAACTAGGTTCCCCAAAAAGGGACTCCAGCTGGCTGGATTATGTCGTGTATATAATGTATTCATCTTACTAAAGCAATTGAGATAAACTGCCCTGGGATCCACAGACAGATATCTTCTCTCAGCGGCAAGGGCTAACTCTCACCCATATTGTTATGTGAATATGCTGTTCCATTTTACACCGAAAGGGTGAACAAAGATACCCCGGAGATCTCTTGCCACTAAGTCTAAAGCTGAGACTATCTAAATATAGCTATTAAACCCTTTCCGTGAGCGTTACCTTAGGTAAATTGTTGTTTGTGTTGCTGATGCAACGAGAGAAAATCCCCACCATGCCACTACTATTTCCTGGCGCGCGCTAGAACGCCAACCTTTCCCATCTTTTACAGATTTACTATTATTATGAAACTATCAGCTACAGAGTACAAGGAACCCCAGCTAGCTTCCTCCATTTCCTACGATGAAGCTCGTTTAGTTAGCCCAGCGCCTCGGCAGGCACAGCCAACAACGAAAAGTAGCCCGGATAGCTTCATCCCTCTTTCTTATAGTAGCCTTCACTGCCCGTTGCCTTAATTTCCTGCTCGCCTATTACCTGGCAACTGGCCCGCGGCTAGTACCCGTGGCTTTTCAGCGCGCCTGGAGTATCCGTCCTGTAACAGCCCACCCGGATGATGTGCCGGTCTCTTTCATTCCGACCATCACGTACCGGCGCGATGATCCGCATGTGCAGTGGGCCTTGTTGGTGATATCCTCTGGTTGGTCAAATGTTTCAGTTGTATTATTGGCTAGGAAGGAATTGGCGATTGCCGCCGATAGGAACTCCATGGTAGCTGCTCGATTCTGGGCATTGCCCCGGATCGCTGCGTCGTACGTGACAGAGTTGCAGGATAATGCCAATGAATGGTAGGATGAGGATTTGATCAGGGACCTTGTTGCATCGCATGTCCAGAAATGAAAAGTCGATCTGATCATGCCTTTCGACAATGGAGGCATCTCAGGCATATAAACCACAGAGCCGTCGGTGCCAATGTCCTTGCCCGTTGTGTTCCCCCTCTCTTCCTCTTCTTGACGTACTTAATCATGCCAAAAATACATCGCAAGAACAACCCAAGCCTCTCGTGCATATACACTACAAAGCATCTTCCTGCTCCACAAATACTCGACGCCTCTCGGCCTCATCTCCATTTCTATCTCGTTCTCATGGCGCATTCTCAAAGCCGTCTTTACTTCTCCCTCAATCAGCACTAAGAGCGTCCCTGATCAGTCATCTCAGGACGTATACAACGATAGATTCCTGCTGTTGTGTCCCCGATGAATGTACCTCATCTCGAGGGTGGCATCCAGTCAGCACGAGAGCTGGTACGCGCGGGATTGGCCATTTACTTGATGATCTGTCGGCATGTGTGGTTTAATAATGGACACAAATGGCGTAGGACTAGCAGGATATGCAGTATATTGGTATGAATGATCCTTAATAGCAACTGTCTATATAGCAACTGGAGACAGCTGATTCAATTAAATGCAGTAGAGTCAAATCGGTACATAGGTAAAGAAATTTACATCCGCCTATGTACTTCTCGTCAAGAATTTTTAGACATTTGTACGCTGGAACTCTTCGTCCGACGGGGAGTGCCCACGCGCACGAGGCAAGCAGTATAATATCATAGTTGGAACGGCAAAGAGAATGAAAACCAGCACCGCGAACAGAGCACGTTGGTCCAGGTCATCGAGCGGCGAGTTCAAGCGAGCGTCGCGGCTTTCCCAGGAGAGAGAGCCCAGGTGGCGGGAAGGGTAGCTTGTTGACCAGCCCATTCAGCATGTGCATGCGAGGGGCTGTCGGGCGAGTCGGACAGGGTGCGGGGAGGAGATGTGTTAGACTGGACGATGTAAATTGGAATGCATCTCATTAGATTCGCGGTCCAATTGGTGATGTGGGCGACTTACGAGGTGTAGAGGCAGCCAGTGCCGAACTTGACCGTGATATAACCACCGATAATGGTGTAAAGAGAGATTGTCGACCAGCGCATTGGCATCCGGATGACGGGGCGTGGGGAGCATCATGATGATGGGGGCGCGAACCGGGGGAAGCAACAAATTCTAATTGTTGCAGAGCCTCGAGAGAGCAGTTGCATGCCAGATGGTAGTCGAGAATCACGCCTGTGCAGAGAATCGGCCACGAGCAAATATCTTCTCCACTAACATAGATTCTCACCAAAGCGCTTCTGGAGAACCGTGTATCACAGCGCATCGACGCGCTGGACAATATGTGTTTAGCTCTTCCACATCGAGTATAGATCAGGATACTGCTCTCGCACCGACTTCCTTCGAATTCTCCAGTAGATGGCAGGGAATAGCTACTGGGCATTCTATGTCTGCGGCAAAAGTACCCGAACCAGAAAAAAATCGCCGGGGTTAAGGCATGAGATACTCTAAACAGGACATAAGAATGAAGAAATTAACAAAAGCTCACAGCCGATTGGATTGATTGCGAGATGAACGCTGCAATACATTACCAATGACCCAGCACCGTGTCATGGCAACAACAAAATCCGAAAGACAAAGCAAGCAACGCAATGGACAAACCCGATAATGGCAATGATTGCAATCGTGGATGAAAATCGCATACTAATGGAAAGAATCTTGCAGAGAGTATACCATCGATGCCATATTGTCGTAATAAGAATGAGGGCGTGGAACTCTGCTGGTGACAGGGATGTATGTGGGAGCATCTACCTGCCGAAAATACTGGCAGGAGCCGTTAGATCGGCGTCGTCCGGCTGTTGATAGACTGCAGGGTGTAGATTGTTCGCTGCTACAGGGTGGTGAGTAGCAGTGGATAACGCGATTCGGGACTCGGAGGAGCACGGGGAGGGAAGTGTCAGGTAGTCAGCAGGGGTAAAATAGACCGGATGTGCCACAACGGGGCCGTACGTTGCTGATACATGGTTACCTAAAACCGACTGAGTTGCTGCTGCGTTCTGAGATTCTGCCTTAGTATTGACCGTCGGTCTAATGCTTGTGGCGTAGTTCGGGCCAAGGGGGTAGGCTGTGTGTCAGCAATTGAGGGAAGATTCATACGCTACAAATCGAGTAGCTATTAGTAAAGATCTTCGTCGTAGGCAAAGGGGGAATCTGCTACTCACGCATTTTCAGATAATCTTCTTCAGCGCAGGTCTGAGAATCTTCCAACGGAACACTTTGACGTTCTTCGCAATAGTTCGCGGCTTTGTCATAGGAAACCCTACGATTACCTTTAAAAAAGTCTTGACTGTCGGCTTTAGCCTTCGAGATGGTGAGCGGCTTGAAGCTCTCGAGGCTGCGGTCATTCCAATATATGCAACTGACGTAAACGCCATTAGGAGCACACTCATGAGGCTTTACAGCCTGGAAATTCGCATAAACAGTGTTTCCGCTTCTCTTGCAGCTGAACTGAACCAAACGACGCTTGACCTTGCGTTCTTCTCTGGTCCAGTTTTCTGCTATATTGTCTAGGTGCATCGCGAGCTCCAAGGCGGGATTCCACGGATCCGCTGCATAAGGCCCGAAGGTCTCGGTTTGATCAATAACGCTGGATCGTTGCAACGCGGAAGTCTGAATCAGCATTGGGTTCGCAACCGCTGAGAGTGTATCTTGTCGTTGCTGGGGCAGGACGTGGGCAGGCAGGTAGCCTTGAGCCGTAGAAGCACCATTTACCGCCATGCAGAGAGAAATCCAAGGCTGAGGGAGAGGTGGCCTTGCCCGGATTGCCATATTCGACGTCGTCAACGAGGCCGAGTTTTGGGCCGGTGGAACCGTCAATGTCGAGGGGTGGTGAGCCGGCGCGCGCGAGGGGAGCTTGTGGAGATAAAGAAAAGGAATGATGGGAACCATTTCCATGGGAAGCGCTAGGCAATAGATGAGCACATGGTTGTGAACTTCTATTCTTAGATGAGCCTGCACCTCGCCTATGGGAAGGGATTGGCATAGGATGAATGCGAATACAGCGATACATATCTGGTTATGGTGTTACAATTCAAAGGGGCGCTGCTGGACAACGGTCAATTTCACTTTTCAGCGCATACCTAATGCATTGGGCGTTCCTGGGCGACCTTCCGCGCATGGACGATCGCCATTCATCAATCCAAGTGATTTCGGCCATGCTTTGACGGTTCCAGCCTTAGGCGGATTACGGGCTGCTGCACACACTTCACTAAAGTCCCCTTAACAGGCTCAATTCAGCGTGGCACTCTGAGTTGGAACCACCGTGGTAACACTTCAGCTACGGTCCCTTTGGGCACTCAAAAGGAAAATTGAAATGGACCCCATGTTGGTCAAGGGCCAAGACGGATATGTGGTGCTCCCTTTGCCGGAGTGCCGGTGTTCACTCCTTGATTGAGGAATTATGTGTATCTTTCACTTTCTACGGTTCAACGACAAGCGTCGACTGCCAACTCAGAAACCGCAAGGTGTACCTTAGATCATGGTCAGCTGAGCTTGGTTCCAGTCGGGTTGAGCCGAGTCCTCAACAACTAAAAAGGGAAGAATAGAATTAGCGGGCGGATTTACAGTCGACATTGAGCATGCTAGGAAAACTCATCTATTCTTGGCAACGCCAGTCCGAGATCGGCAGTCGATTTCAACGAAAGAGGTATGATTGGTAGATCTCGTCACCAGGCGGATGCGTTTGATGAACAAGAATAGAGAAAGGGCCGATTTCATGGCCGCACAGAATGTGTGGCGCACACAACCCTTCTCAGATGTTCCATCTGGATTATCCATTCCAGCTTTTAATATTCTCAAGAGTCTAGAGTAGAAAACAAGGCAGGTTGAATTTGATAGGCTGAAAGGATTATGATACGCAGCACGAGCGGAAAATTGCATCTACGATCCGAGTCACGATGGCTATGTTCATCTAACACAGTCACTGACTCACTGCTATTGGCTGAGAGACATGAGAAGCTAGTTAGTCACGGCACTTTCTTCCAGGAGGCTACTTTGCATGGGTGCATGTCTCGCCACTGTTGGATCTTCTTAGCATCCCATCCTGAGTACCACCGTCTGCCGTTCTCGTCAGGCAATTTTCGGGAGCCCAATTTGAACATTTTATATAGAACATAGCACTCCCCTTCACTGTACCGGTACTGAAAGCAATCTTCTGTCCTTAAACAGGTGTCGCGGCAAGTGCGTAGGGATACACTCGGGTCGTCTGGAAAATCAAGGCGGACATCGGAGAGATTGTCCCAGTCATCCTCTTCAGTACGCATGCTGTTAGGGGGGAAAGGAAGCTCCGACAGTTCGCTGAATAGCAGAGGCTTCTATAGCGTAGTCGATTAGTGGGTTTCTCTGACAACTTAGAAGGTTGATATACCGATAGGTACTCGACAGGACGTACCATTTGATTCTTCCGAGACTGCTCAAACTCAAAAATGGCACTTCGCTCACGCGGTGTGATGTGATGCATGGTAATGGCTGGCTGGCACCATAGCACAGACCCGAATGCCATCGTGGAAGGCTTTTCTCCGTTTAACAGTGGCCAGTAATTCTTCACGTCAATGTCCAGTTCCTGTTTAAGGATCTGTGCTAGAACAGCATCCCCGCAGCAGTAATTAGGGAACACGTCGTCGTAGCGGCTTGCTAGGTCTGATTTTCCATCGACAAACTGCTGTAGTAGTTTTCCCGAGAAAACATATCCACTGCCTCCATGAGCAAACGCCTGGGGTCCGAGCCAGGCTGCTGACCCTAGGTACAGCTTGTCCGCTGCTGAGAGTTGTTGCAACCAAAGGACCAGGTTGGACCAAACCACGTAAGTATCGGCCTCAATAAACACATACCAATCGATATTGGGTCGCTCATGCCATACCTTCACAACGAGATGCAGAAACTTGTACTTGTCTAGTGCCCATGCCTCTCCCCCATCCTTTTTAAGCGTGGCCACGTCCTCCCAATCTCGTTGGTACTCTTGCTGCTTCCGATACAAATCAAAATCAGGGTGATTGTTCTTCATGCTTTCGTTATAGTTGGCGAGCGCGTCCTGGACGTGATAAGGGCCAATTTGTTCCTCAAGATCCGAAAATATAAGAAACTGTCTCGCGCAGCCTAGTGTGGTCAGGATCTGAGTAGGAAGTTTCTCATAAATCTCAGTAGCGCCAGTTTTGACGACAATAAGCATGTTTCCAGGGTCAGGAAATGCCTCGCAACGAAAATCTCGCAGGGCTAATACGTCGTGCAACCGGTTCGTTTCTGCTGCAATACCAGGGCCGGCCTTTCCGGACAGCATTATTGTCGAGGGCTTGTTCCGCAGCAAGCGGCCAGTCTCGTAGAATGCTGCGAGTAAGAATACAACAGCTAGAAGTAAAATTGCAATTTTCTGATGCCCTAACCGAGGATTGAAATTCATTGTGTCTGTCTTGGGTCACAAATATCTGGAAGGCGATGAGTGAAAAGGTAAAAGTAAAGGGAAGCGCTTCTTTCACTCCTTCGCCTCTTCAACACATCCGTTGGCCATTAGGCCTTCACCTCTCTCTTTCAACCCGCATCTCCCCTACCAGTATGTCCAGAAATGAACTAGCGTACGCGTTGTGCCTCGGATGCTGCTTGGTATGTCTCGCTGCCTCCGCAGAAGTACGAAACACACGGTTCTCTGATTGGTCGGGGACGAGGATTCAGTGTGACTTCTTTTCGGGTCAGTTGGTATTGCTACAGAGTTTCTGTTTCTAATTTTATGTGCATAACTTTCCAAAAGTCGCCAGCCGAGAGGTCGGGGCGGCAGGGAGTTACCAACCCTGACTTCCAAATACGGATGTTGAGGATTATCGTAGAATCTGAGATAAAGCAATTCTCGACGGTCATAACTGTACTACACAGTTCCACAAATCCACAGTAGTCAGTATACTCTGGGCGATCGGGTACCGTCAAGTTCTATAGATCCCAGAATTGAAGCCGAATAATCTCTTACAGACTAGTTAGAACATTTGCAGATCTTTTACTCTTCAGATTGTTGAGGGAGGGTAAGGTTTGGCATTACCCCACCAAACGCACAAACTCCCAGGTGGCGATCATATAAAATCCTGATGACGCTAGACCCACTGTGCATTTGGTCCACTCTTTTTCCTTGGAAGTGGCAGCTGTGGCTTAGCTCTTAGTTTAGCCATCATATGATAGATTCACTTGTTAACGTAATCGGTAAGCAAGCGGGCCATGTAGGCCAGCGGGCCACCTCTGTATTCCATAGAATTCGCGGGGATGAGGGTCTACATCAACCAACTCCCAAAGTTAGTAGGTAGCAGGTCAGCAGAAACAGATCCCGGAGTATAACACTAGCCATATAGTTCATAATCATCTGCTCTTGGTAAAATCAAAGTGTCAGCCATCCATATTGGCACTTGCCGTTCTCAGTAGACGCTCATTTAACCAGGAAATATTTTCAATATTAATCTGATGGATGCTTTTATATACCACATAATTAGATAGATTGCTAAGAAATAGACCTGCATCCCCCTTTCCAATCCGTCTATATGTATTTATCATACACTTGGATTTAGCGCAGAATGGCATATATTTGGATATTTAACTATGGGCCACTTATTTTAAATTCATTATATTATTAGAGTTTATACTTGCCTCCTTTAAATCCAACTAGTGATTAATCTGTCCCCTGGAAATGCGGATTAAAATGCGGATAAAAATGCGGACCAAGATGCGGACGAAATGCGGACGAAATGAGCCATCTAAACTAGTGTGCCAGATCAGCTGGGCCCTTTTCAAATGTAGATCAACGTCTTGAAAACCTAACAGGAATGGACGGATGCTATAATTCACCATGGAGGTTACATGAGGCCTTTCATGTATTACGCCGGTTTGCCGGATCACGGGGGAAATCCGGCCGGAAACAAGGGGACGATGGAAGAAATTGGTGTCAGCGTAGCTCTACCACAATTTCAATATTGCTGATGCTAACAGCCTACTCAGCTGGATGTTAATCTCTTGTCCCGATTCACGACTGTTGGGGACACCTTTCACAAGGGCTGATCTTCGTTCGATGCATACTCAATACCGCCGGGCGTCCCTTAAACGCTCGCATCCTTGTCGAGACGGCCTTTAAATATGGCGACCGATACGGAACAGCCTGGGACCGGAAAATGCCATGTTCAAAGTTTATTCTGGCTCCCATTACATTGAGACAGAAGACGAGCTACGGAGAAGCGGCATCAAGCCGGTTGAAGTTCGGGTCCGTGCTGACCAAGTCCTGTTCACCCATGGTGGGCTTTGGGTAGAGACACTTGGATCCTGTGGTGGCAATCTGATGTGGATGGGAGTGTCTACGGATCTTGTTGGCCTCCATATTGAGAGATACAGTCTCCATTTCATTGCTGATGCCCATGCGGCTTCACATTTTCTTAGTCGCTGAATGGTTTCTAATCACTCTATCTGATTTGAATGCACGTTGAGGTAGATTGGTGTAAGCATATAGGATGAACTTCCGGTTGCCTCAACATCCGGACTCCCTTTGACCCCTATTTGCAAGAATACCTACATACATTCCGTTATTGAAGTGAGAATAGATTGATTCTAGTGGACTTAACTACTAGGTTATATTTTATAGGGGGCGAGATGCCTCATATATATATCCATTTCCAATCCCTGCCGCAAGGTTCAGCCACCATGATGCTCAACACAGCCACCCTGATACTCAACAAGGTCTTGCTCCATGATTGATCACTAAACAGACATCCGAGCACCTTAGACTCGGCCATCTCAACATGTAACACATCTCCCGTCTCGCCCGGCTCTTCGGCTTCGGTAAACTGGATTATATTCCCCTCGCAATGTTTTCGGCCCATTCTATACGCAGTCAAGCCAAAAGCGCCTCGGCTCGGGCTTGGAAAAGGAACTCTTCGCCAGTGGTCTTGGAAAGGGCCCGTCATGCATGAGAGACCACTCAAGCAAAAGAGACCGCCCCCGCACTTCGGTCGACTTGGGCCGATAAAATAAGATCACATCTTTGAACCTCGGTCGTTGGCATCACAGAAGAAAGGCTATTTATGACCGGGGCTTCCCTCAATGCGGAGACCATTTACTCTCCATCATCTTCAGGTTAAACCTATGCAAGATAACCTTTTGTTATATCTCTAAAGCCTCCAGGAGAATGTCTGCATCTTGTCTGATCAATAGTCCCAATGGGTACATGCCCGCTTCAGAAAGGATTCCAGCTATTGCTAGACCCTTTATTAGCGACGGGGCAAAGCGTACTCTGGATGTCGTGGGTATCACTGCGTAATAGAGAAAATAGACTTGCTAACTTGCTTCCAGGTGGAGGAATTTGTGGAAGAAGAATGCATCCCAGCAGATCCCATATTTGAGCAACAACTCGGTGAAGGTGCGCGAAAGCGCTTCTCGGCTGATCCTCCTGTGATGGAAGATTTGAAGGCTAAAGCAAAGCAACTTGGACTCTGGAATTTGTTTCTCCCGAAGAGTCATGCCGAGGGGCCTGGATTCAGTAATCTAGAATATGGTCTCATGGCAGAGTACCTGGGAAGAGCCGCACTGCAAGCGAGGCAACCAACTGTTCCGCCCCTGACACTGGTAACATGGAAGTTCTTGCCAAATATGGTACCGAAGCTCAGAAGAGTCGGTGGCTCACCCCGCTACTTAATGGAGAAATTCGCTCGGCCTTCCTCATGACAGAGCCGGACGTCGCCTCGAGTGACGCCACAAATATAGGCCTGCAGATGCACAAAGACGGCAATGACTGGGTACTAAATGGACAGGTGTGTCACCGGCGGGTCATTTAACGTCAGTTACTAATTCTGTAGAAATGGTGGAGTAGCGGAACTGGGAATATCCGCTGCAAGATCTACCTTGTTATGGGCAAGTCGGATCCTCTTAATTCAAATAAATACAAGCAGCATTCTGTCATACTCGTGCCGGCCAACACGCCTGGGCTGACAGTAACCCGCGTGCTCTCGGTTATTGGGTTTGATCACGCCCCTGAAGGCCATGGGCAAGTCACGTTTGACAATGTACGAGTCCCAGCACAGAATATGATCCTCGGGGAAGGACGAGGATTTGAAGTCGTTCAAGGTAGACTTGGCCCGGGACGCATCCATCACGCTATGCGGTCAATTGGCGGAGTAAGACCTTATCGTCTTCAATACATATGAATACCATTAACTCTACTCAGGCCGAAAGAGCTCTCGAGTGGTTTCTCTCCCGTATCAATGATCCTGCAAAGAAATCGTTCGGCCGACAGCTTGCAGAGCACGGGATAATGCTTGAGCGAGTAGCACAAAGTCGCATGGAGATTGATTCTCCGCGCTTGGTCGTTCTCAACGCGGCGGTCATGATCGATGAGTTGGGCGGCAAACGTGCACTCAAAGAAATTGCTGAAGCGAAGGTCCAAACCGCCTCGGCGCTATTAAATGTTGTTGACCGCGCTATCCAGGCATATGGCGCCGCAGGCGTGAGTCAGGACACACCTCTGGCGAGTTTGTGGGCACATGCGCGAACAATGCGCATTGTTGATGGCCCAGATGAAGTGCATATACTGCAACTGGGCAGGAATGAAAGCAAAAGAGGAGATACACTCCAAACAAGAATCGAGGCACAGAAGGCAAAAGCAGCGCAAGTGTTTAGGGGGTACAACCTTAAACAATCAGATAACCTAGAGCTCAACAGAACTACGGCAAAGGCTAACTTGTAAGGCATGGGCGAGAGATTAACTTAGGTTGGTTAGTTACGGGTCAGATTGCCCAGTTCTGGGCCGAATCACCCCTATTTATTCTTGGTTATTCCGCTGTTGGTTTACACCTATAAGAAATTATATAACTTTCCTGTAGCTCACGAAACGTACCAATATTTCATTGATCAGAGGGGGAAGACTTTCCGCAAAACAACGGTCCCTAGCTGCGCAACCATGAAGCGCAGCTGCTCGTGCATATTTGTCCATATTTTCGATGACACTCCCAAAATGACGACGCTGGGTACGAGCCAAGCGGTCAATAAGCTTATGTGCAAGCGCGGGAAATTTCCGTTCGATTCGGCATTTAAAGGATTCGGTGGTTTTCTCCAGAGTGCGAAATTGTGGATCTGAGGCAGTGTCCACACTGATAGGCTTACAGCAATGATTGCTGAAGCACAAGTACTCGTCCTGAGAACAAACCAACTGACCACAAGCACAAGTTGATGGCAACGAGTCGGGTAAATGACCATTTTCAACATGCTTCTTGAGTGTCTCCAAGCTCAGGTGCCGATAGCGACAAATTCAAGTATTAACTTTGCGTTATGTTATGAGGTGCGTCCTCCAGTACGGCTGGATAGGACCCTGAGTTCACCCAGACTACTATTCTTGCTTCCTTTTACTATACTAATTCTCGGAGCAAGGGCTCATCAATGAACCCACTATTTAACATGGTGATAGCCAAGTAATGCGTCAAACAGCTCCAGGTGGGACTTGCGCTATTGGCGGTCTCCGTTTGTAAAGCACACTCTGGGGTGTACCTGTTCTGAGGCATACCAATTCGACTGCTACGGTCCGCTTTCACACCATCGAAGACCAGACTGGCAGGTAGTCGGGACTCGGTCCTATCGTCCTGGTGATAATTCAGATCTGGAGACACTTCGCCGGAGCCATACCAGAACGCGTACGCTGAACGGGAAATGCACACAAAGCGTGTAGAAACCATGCACTGGGCATAAAAAGGTTTTCGGGCCTTTACCTGCGAACCCCTGCCAACACCCCATCAGACTCTCGATCTGTTTCTCTTATCGAGCCCTTATATTTCTTTCTTCCGAGTCGATGACTTGTGGGGCAGTAAGGTCTGTGGTCCAATCCTCATATTCTGAAAGGTGAAACATCAGACTGCCATTCAGACTCTGACCCCGCTATAGGATACAAAACCGCTGAGCTCAGCTCGTCCCACGGTAGCTCGTACGTGTCGAGATCATGGAATGAGAGCTTAGGCAGGTCACCAGTGGAGGTCTTATCCTTACGCGTCGACTCTCCCAGCCAATGTAAGTACGCGGTCAAGGCATATCTGACCTCTTCTAGCTTCTTTGACATATGTAGACGCTTCTGCGCTACATATTGGTAGTATCGGCTCCCTATGCCTCCTTTGGTACACAAGCTTGCTTCGTCTCGTACTTTATGCCTCTTTCTCTGCATGCTTGTCCCACTGCATCATACGGGGGTTTGGCAAGGTCAACGTAGTAATGAATGTACTCGGACGTCGTTTCTAGAGAAACGTAACCCAGCCGCGGGAAGTTGTACTCATTATGACATCCTTTAATTGTGGGGCTAGATTTTCGTTCAGGGACAATTAAGTCAAGGTCGACTGCAGAGAGGACAAGACGACTGCGTCCATGAACTAGTTAGTCCAAGCATCCAATTCGAATATCGAGCTCATGTACTCGATCTGCAATGCCTCCATTGCAGATTATGGTGCGAAGAAACTTCCACAAAGACGAAATTCAATGATGTTCCCCATCATTCAACCATCTAGAGTAGATTTTAGCGCTCAGGTAGGCGTACCACTGACGAGACAAGAGAGTGAAGTTGCAGAGTGACGTCAGTCGCATACCCTATGACCATGGCGAATAGTTCAACCGGTAGGTGGGAAGGCTCTAGCATTCTTCTTTTCCGAGTGACGACCTTCAAGGCGATTGGGTTGTATTTCCACGACGCAATGTTGGGGGACGTTGTGTTTTGATTCCCATCAGTTGAGGGTATGTTGATGGACCGTGCGGCGTTTAAGCGGCGGTTAGCGGCGTTCAAAACTCTCGGACTCCGCGCTGTGGCTCCATGGCTCCCAAGACTCGTTATCATCTGAGAAAATTAGAGATCCCGATCCCGCTTGGGGTACCATCCAATAAGCAAGCACCCCTCACTTCGCTTTCCTTAATGGGAGCCAGTGTGACTCTTAGCATTCCGGGATTTACCCCGTTAGTGTGGATCTCCTTATATATATGGAGTAATACTTACCCAAATCCTACGGTAACTGTTCAGTTACCAAATAGAAAGTATGAAATAGTTAGAGTTGCACTTGGTGTGGGTTCGGGCGGGTTCAAGCCTAGTTGGCACCGAACCGCTGCAGTTTCGGGTTCAAAATTTAGAACCCGCACCAAACCCGGACCTGATGCGATTTGGTTACGGTTTTCACCGCAAAACCCGCTGCTAGGCCTAGCTAGGCCTATACTAACTAACCATGGTTAGATTCGGTTCGGTTTCGGTTTGGTTAAACTGCTAATCCAACTATTTTAACCCTTACCATTCCCCCGGGGCCCCTTCGGGGGACCCCTCTGACGCCCCTATCGAGCATGCTTATATACGACATCCGCTTTGAATCGGCGACTATCCTGTATCCTGAGGGGGCAGTGATGCGCTCCTCAATCTGGGGTGTCGGGGAAAATTTCCTACGGAACCAAGAACTACCCAGAAGGCCGTTTAGCCATAGACAGCACATAAGTGAGAAAATTATGATTTTTATATGAAATATATGGTAATTATCATCATACTAATCTAGTTCTAAATGATGAGTTCGATATCTATAGATTTGAATGGGTAGTGGCTAAAACACTATAGTGGTTGTTAATCCTTAGTTATATGTATACATATCTCTGCACCACTTCCATACCAACCTATGACAGAGATAATTATTCCCTTATATCCCAGCAACCACCAGGTATTTTTGAATAATATTTATATTACTAGATGGCCTTTGATCCAGGCTATCTAGTGATATTAATATTGATTAAAAATATCTGAAATTTAATAATTTTTAGGTAAAACAGTGTGGGTTGGTTAACCTAATCTGATAAAACCGCAAAAACCGTACCCGGCGGTTTTAACCGAACCCGAAGTGATTCCCTAGGCTTGCCCCGACCCTGCACCGCTGCGAGTTCGGTGAGGTTTGGGTTCGATTTTTGCGGTTCGGTTATGCAACTCTAAAAATAGTCAGATGTTTCCAAATGTTAAGGTCTAGAGCGTACCCAACAGGTAGACATCGCTGCATAGCACTAGGCCCATGAGCATAGGCAACTACCCCCATACAAGGGTAAGTAGGACTCGGATGTATTCCCCATGATCCGGCGACCGACGTAATAGATGAAAGGCCTCATGTAACCTCCATGGTGAATTATAGCATCCGTCCGTCCCCGTTAGGTATACAAGACGTCGATCAAGAACTAAATTTTGAAAAGGGCCCAGCTGATCTGGCACACTAGTTTAGATGGCTCATTTCGTCCGCATTTCGTCCGCATTTTAGTCGTCATTTTAGTCCGCATTTCCGGGGGACAGTAATCACTAGTTGGATTTAAAGGAGGCAAATTGAAACTCTAATAATATAATGAATTTAAAATAACTGGCCCATAGGACCAAATGGCACAGTGGGTCTGGTAGATGGAGACTCAAGCATCCGTCTTGGCATTCCCGCGATTCTCCCAATTCCCCTGTACTATGAGTAGATGATAAATTCGGTAGCACTAGTAAAGTTCCCGAATCACTAGTAATTTATATGGCCAGTTGAAAATTGTTGAATTCGCTAGCACTAGTAAGTTCCGAATCACTAATAAATCACTAATAACTCATATTGCAAATCGAAAGTCAATGAAGGTCCGATTCTCCAAACGAATGACTTACCTATCTCCTATTATGCCAGGGGTCAGAGAGGGGATTCAAATGATCGAATGCTATCGAATATTCTGCCAGGAGTGGCAGTGCTGAATCAATTCGTATGTGGCGCATTCTGACTTCCCTCGGTAGGAAAGAATGTTGTTCCACCCTACACATGTCTTTTGTTCCTTGGGTCCTGGCTGAGTGGCAGAGGTGCTGCCTGGCTGATGCCTATTGAGTAATGTAGACTACTAAGCCCTTCCCTTACTCCAATCTGGAAGACGAGATGCTGTTGTCTGTTCTGTAGAGGATTCGCTAAACGAAGTAAACAGCATGATCTCGGCATGTTGAAACAATACAACAGTATCATTATATACTGCTACCAATCTGGTGGAATACTTTCTCCAACAATTCATTCCTCTGGATATCACCCATGCTGGCCGGGCACATACAAGTAACAGCCATCTATGAATCCGAGCCCTCCGAATCTCTGGCCCGAACTGGACAATCGTAATCGTCCCCGCCCTACCTCTTGACTGCTCCACTGTACATCGTCTTTGTCCATCAATCCTCTGATCTCTTTACCTTCTTTCCTCAACTCCCTCTCCATCCCTCTCGAGTTTGATGAAGAAGACGATGGGTATATTGGACCTACAAGGGGTGCTTACTGCCCTTCTCCTGGCATCATCCGTCGTAGCCCATGGCGGCCACGAGGGTGCCCCTGAGGCTGCCGCCGTCTCCGAAGATCTTATTGTACGTGTCGTGTCTTTCGCACTTTACTACAATTATACCTTGAGGGTCAGGATCCGACGGACTAACCTTGCCCTCCTGAGTAGGATGCCATATTATGGATACATATGATCTTGATGGGATTTACCTTTGGCATCATCTTCCCCCTGGGAATGGTACTGGGGGTATGTTCATTGCCTTGCACATCGATAATGGCCGGCCGCATAAGATCGCACCGACGTTTGAACTGACGACTTGTTTTGACTAGATCGTCCGCTCGCGATGGCATGTCCCCCTTCAGATCGTCGGCACCGTTATCGCCGTTGTTGCATGCTTCCTAGGCCACGCTCACAAGGGTCGTCAGTTCGGAGAGAATGTCCATGCCTCGTTCGCGAACCTATTGATGGTTCTGCTTGTGGTGCAGGTTATTATCGGTCTTTGTCTCAAGCTACAACTCTTCAAGAGAATTCATGGTCGAATCCATCGGATCTTCATGGTGCTGCATAGCGTTCTCGGCAAAGCAATGCCAGTTGTGAGCTGGACGCAGATGCTCCTCGGGGAATCTCCGCGAATGGCTTCTGCAAGGGTGATCATCTCGGACAATGTCTGGCGCATTTCATCATGGGCAGCGCGTTCATTGCCTATGGTATCATGCTTACTATCCTGCTGCTTGTTGGCCAGTTCTGGCTGCCCCGTACCGGCCGCAGTCAAGAGTTCTTCGACTCGCTGGTCATCGCGGCCTGGGGATGCGTCAACACCTTTACGGAGCATCGTTGGGGAGAACCGTGGGGACACAATGATCTGCAGCATACCTCTATGGGCATTGTCTGGTGGTGTGCCGGTCTTTTGGGTATCTGGATGAGCAGAAAGAGAAATGGCCGGCCCAAGCGGAATCTCATCCCGGCCGTTGTTATTCTTCTGACCGGTTGTGCAATGTCGGCTCATCCCCAGACTTTGATGATCAGCACCTTGATTCACTCCATTTTTGGCTACACATTGATGGCTGCTGGTTTTACCAGAATCGTTGAAATCGCCTTTGTGCTGAAGGACAAAAATACGGTGAGCCTCGACGGCGCAGACCCGAGCAGCTTCCAATATCTGCCCCCTTTCGTAAGTTCATTTTGCATCTTTCATTGAATCACCCGTTTAAACGTAAGTTGGGCTAATAACGGATTTTTCGCAGCTCCTGTACGTATCTGGCTTCCTGTTCATGGGTGCAACAGAGGAGCAAATGCAACTACTCCACGATGCTGGAATCACCCACGTGTCCTACGTCCTGATTCTGTACAGCATTGCCTTCATTCTTTTCCTCTGTAAGTTGGTTGACTTCGCCCTTTCGCCTCCGTTTAGGTTGATGTTTGCTTGGCCTAATCTTTACCGCAGTCGTCAATATCCTTCTACATATTTACACTGTCCACGCCTGGCCCGACTCCGCCAAACTCTCTACCGATTCCCGTTCGTTAAGCACCGCAGACCAGGCTCATGTTTCATTTGTGAACGACCACTCCCGCTCGATGTCCGAGACTCAGCAGATCAATGACATAGAGGCATTCGAGTTGCAGGGTCTCATATCCGACGAAGATGAGGACGGTCCCGGCAATCGAGACCATGCCATGGGCCCTCGAAAAGCGGAAGATGAAGAGAGCGCCCCTTTGGTTGCAAGGCCGTGTTATCGAGCTGATATTCCAGGATTGGCATGATAGCAATCGGTAAAGCGATGGATGCTTGTCTGTTCCCCAGGGGCTACTCCCCAGGGGATGAACCATCCAGCCCTCGATGGGCTTGCGCGCCCCCTGATTAGTCCATTGCACTGCCCAGGCCCGGCTCCTCCCCTCATATTCACCGCGCGTGCTCCCGGGTGCATGCGTGCGTGGGGATACAGCCCCCTAATATGATGCTGCCCATATTTCCTACCTCAGCACTCTAGATCCACGCCTTTGCCCTGATATGATCACTGATTACTTTACTGTGTGAATGGCTTCCTAGCCTGTGTTTTAGATCATGTTCCTAGCTCATGTTTCTAGGTTGCATTTCCATGGCGTGTTTCTAGGTCATGTTTTTAGGTTGTGTTTCCAGGTCGCATTTCCAGGTCGCGTTTCTAGTTCATGTTTCCAGCCATGTTCCCAAGGTCCCCTATCTAGGTTATATTTCTATATTATCTTTCTATGTTACATACCTAATATATCCTACCTAGTAGTGACCTAGTTTCTCCTCTTACTATATATATCTTCTTCTTTTAAATGGACCTATTTCTCTACAATCCTACCTACCAGGTCTAGATCTACACTGCACCTCACTGCCAGTATGCTATCTCACCCCAGACCCTACTAGGCCACCTCCGCACCCACCACCAGTCCCATCCCTCTGTGGCCACACCTACTCTCTGTCAAGCAGTGCTAACCCAGATGCTCCAGCAGCCATAGGTAGACCCAAGCCAGGGGCCCTGCCCCCAGCCCTCCATAGGGGACCCTCCTATGCCAGGCCTGCTAGTATACTAAGGGCGTGGGTGCCCCCACTGCCCCTACATCTACCAGGCTGTGGCTGGGCTTCAGGACCACCATGCCCAGAAACATAAGGACCAGGATGGATACTAGGGCTAGGGTAAACTTTCAGCTACTTAGGCCCAGATGTGGGCCCAGGCCCACCTAGTAGATTGTATGGTTAGCTGCCAGTGGTTCTACCGTGCTGGGCTAGGGAGCTATTTCTTTAAGGTGACCTGTGCTGCCTAGCCAACCCAGTAGGCCCTGCCAGCTACCCCCCAGACCCCTGCTGAGCGCATCCGCGCCTATATAGACCAGGCCCTATGGGAGGGGGAGGCTGCTACTAAGCTAGCTAATAGCCAGGTCCCTAGCCTAGTTACCCACCCAACAGAGGTCTCTCCCTGGCTAGAGCTAACCTACTAGCTAGAGTACCTACAAGGCCAGGACCTGACTGAAGTAGCCCTACTTAGGTGCCTACTAGACCTAGTGTAGGAGCCCCTACTAGCCCTATTTAGTGCTAGTATTGAGCAGCTGCTCTAGCAGGCCTACCAGACCATCCAGAGCAGCTAGATTAATAAATTTAACTAGATCCAGATTAATACCTTCTTTCACAAGCCTGGGATTTAGAACTAGCCTATCCAGATCCACCTATAGCCAAAGACCTATCACCAGTACTGCTAGGTCTGGCAGCAGCTGGTCTGCTTCACCTACTGTAGCACCCAGCCTGACCAGCCCATCCAGCTGCACCACTAGCTAAATACTGCCCAGCTCGCCGCGCTGGACTAGATGGAGGAGTATAGCCAGCAGCTCCTAACCCTGCGTGCTAAGGGGCCCAAGACCCAACTAGTATTAGAGGCATCACTAATACTGCAGGAACCAGGGGTATTAGGGGCACCATAGCTAGCACCCCTAGCACCCCAGGCATCAGCTGAACCCCTAGGACCCCTAGTGCTACCAGCACCTACACTACTCTCCCCCTAGAGGTAAAGGCACAGAACTAGCTAGACCAGGCCTGTCTTACCCTCTCCATCGCCCTCCTGGACCATACCCTGAAGGGGGATCTCTTTAAAAGCACCCTAGTTACCTTCCTAGTAGTGCTAGGGGTGGATGCTGTGCGCTAGACCTTCTAGGAGCCCTACAGCTATACTAGCTACCTCTCTAGACTAGTCAAGATAGCCTAGATGCTAGTAGCCCTGCAGGCAGTCCACCTGACCAAGGCTAGTGCAGTCAGCCACCCTGCAGATGCCCTAGATAAGATGCGTGAGCACTTCCTACTATATAGGGTGCATGCCCCTTTGGCTGGATCACATAGCTGTGCACCTATAGGAAGAAGATCCAGAATAGCATCACCAGCCTAGGCTATATCTACTAGAGTGATGATGAGCAGACCCTTAGCTATAAAGACCTGCACCTTAGCATGTGAGGGCTACACTAGTTCATTGCCAGCCAGGTGCAACTAGCCTAGGCAGACCTGGCACGGCTCTTCCTCCTCCATGAGGAGGAGGTAAGGGAGGAGATAGTGCCCTAGCTAGCCCTATATAAGCTATAGGATGACCCCATGAAGAACCAGTGGGGCTGGAACTTCCTGCAGGACTAGTATACCTAGGCTGCCCTGCCTACCACTGGGGAACAGTGGCTGCTGGATCATATTCTAGGGACTAACTAGCTCTGGGAGGAGTTCTTGCAGCTACACCAGAATGGCTAGTAGGACTAGGTGCTCTAGTAGGCAGGGGCTTGTCATACCCTGGGATCTGTCTCTGCTGTTCTCTGCTAGTCAACTACTTTGGGAACGGGGTGGTATAGTCCCTGGACTATACCTGATACCTGCCTAAGGCCTACTGACCGGGTAGCATAACAATGCAATAATACAATGATCCAAGTAGGATCAAGGACAACTAAAGGTAACACAAGGATAATAATAGTAGAGATAGAAGCAAGGCCTATTAAGTATGTATACTTAATAGTAAAAGAGTAACTAATGAATTAGACTAGTGAACTTGTACTTAAGTGAATAATTTATATTAAACATAAGGAACTAAACTAAGAGTGCTAGATACAGTAATAATAAATATCCTTATATATCTATAGTTCCTCCAGGTGATAGTGGTGATATGTGGTATGGTGATAGAATGGTAGATGATTATAATATCCTTCTATTATTAATTCTATATACCCATCTACCATGTCACATGATAATGGTTTGTTAGGAAATAAGTTTAGTCATGCCCTACTGAATTGTTTTTCTGCAGAAACCTATCTAGATTAAGTGTTTCTCCAGATCGTGTCCTGATCACTCTAGGATTAACTAGTGATTATTAATTCTTAGGTTTCTGCCTGTCACATCCGCCCTGTACTAGTATGGCTATGTTAGTGCTGTAACATCACCTCCCCCTCTCTTAGTGTTTTGTCCTTAAAACTTGATTTAAAAGGCAGCGCTTTCCTAGATAGGTGTGTTTTTTATTTCTAAACCATGTTTGCTCATCATGCTGAAGTATCATGCTAATACTATCCTTAAAGGTGTTCCTAAACTTCCCTGTAACTGTGACTAAGTTACTAGTTATATTTATTAGGAAGAATACATTATTAAAAATAGTTTCATGACTTCTTTTCCTTATGATTGCTGCATATTGTTAGGTAAGGTTTGCATGATGGATTGAACTTATTATTATTTAAAATATACATTATGTACCCATTAGGGTCAGTTATGTAAGAAAGATTTCTATACTAAAAAGGAGTAGGACATTTTGAAGAGAGCTAAAAAGAAGATTGCTTCTAAGCTATCTATAACTAATAATAAGTTGGAGCTTCTCTACTCTAAGCTTTAATAGTTATAAGAGCATTTAGAAAAGATCTAAAAGGAGTTAATAGAGAAATAATAGAAGGTTACTAAGTCTTTAGCTTATTATTCATGACTTTGAAAATAATAAAAGTTTCTTAAAGAATGTGGTTTCAAAATATTAGAATATAATACTAAACTGCTGCAGATCTTAGATAAGAAGAAGTTATCTAATTAGCCTAATCCTACTGCTGAGGTCTAACAGCTGGCTATGACTTCTGATAATCCTAATTTTAGTTAGATGATGATAGAGATTGATTAGATGCCCCCTTCCTTCTAGGAGAACTTTGATTTCCCTTTAAATAGTACTATTAAATGAGTTGGTGGCAGCCTGTTAGGTTCTTAATAGGCTCCTATGTATTTTCTAAGGTATTATAGCCTTTCTATTTCATAAGGTAGTGTGGCTTTCCACTAACTTATTTATAGTTTAGGATTTATTTAACTTCATACTCTTGTTCTGTATTATTATTAATTTCCATATTTTTAGTGATTTTTGTGTTTTCTAGCACTGGTTCTAATAATGAGACATGAAATACTAGATAAATTTTTAACATGCTTTTTAGTAGTCATAGTTAATAGTTAACTAGTCCTAATTTTTTGTTAATAATAAATAGTCTAATTTTCTGATGATCCAGCTTCTAACTTAGTCTTTTAGTTTTAATATTTCTATATAGCAGGTAGAGTTGCATAACCGAACCGCAAAAATTGAACCCGAACCTTACTGAACTTGCAGTGGTTTGGGTTTGGTTCCTAGCCTAGGGAATTGCACCGGTTTCGGTTTCCATAGGGTGGAACCGCTTTGAGTTTGGTTAAAACCGCCGGTTATGGTTTTTGCGGTTTTGTGAGTTAGGTTAACCAACCCGCAACCATTTTACCTAGAAATTACTGAATTCTAGATATTTCTAATTGATATTAATATCACTAGATAGCCTGAATCAAAGGCTATCTAGTGATATAAATATTATTTAAAAATACCTAGTGGTTGCTGAGATATAAGGGAATTTCATCTCTGTCATAGGTTGGTATGAAAGTAGTGGTAGTTTATATATATATGCGACCAACTGTTAACAATAACCATATTTAAAAATGATTTTTTAACCACCACCCATTCAAACCTATAGATATTGAGTTTATATTTTAGATCTAGATTAATATGATGATAATTACCATATATTTCATATAAAAATCATAATTTTATATAAGCATGCTCTATAGGGGCGTTAGAGGGGTCCCTGAAGGGGGGAATGGTAAGGGCTAAAACAGTTAAAATTAGCGGTTTAACTAACCTGAAACTGAACCGAATCTAACCATGGTTAGTTAGTATAGGCCTAGCTAGGCCTAGCTAGGCCTAGCAGTGGGTTTTGCAGTGAAAACCGCAACCGAA